CCGAATTAGAAAATGGTTATGAGGTATAGCTTTTAGATAACGCGTTATAAAGTAGGTATGTTTGAACCGTTTAAAATTTGATTTACATACATAAAAATACAGATTTTGTTGTAGTTAAAGGATGCTTTAGAATAACTTTAAATATCACTTTATGCTCTGTTGATTATGCAACCAATTAAAAGATTCTTTAAAGTTAAACTAACCTTCATGTGCCTTCATACGAAATCGGTCTGTAATTATCTATTTTATGTAGTAATAATAAGTTAGTTATATCGTTGGATATTCTGCCGAAGAGGTTACGATGTAAGACATATATTCGTAAAATAGATTGCTGCGACAGTAAACCCGAACAGTTCCGGACGGTTATGCAGCAATAAAATGACCAGGAAAGTAGCGCCTGGAAGTTTTTGTTGACGGAATCGCCCTTGTACGTTGACATGTTCGCATAAAATGTGCAAGTCAGGGACACCCGCGCGCATTATTAATAGCCGAACGGGGCCCGGCGCTACAATGGCTCTTGGAGATTTTCCGAAATATCTCGAACTGGGATTTTCGCAGAGGCGCGCCGGGGAAAACCCATCGCCGAAAGCCAGCTGTAGCTTTAGCAACAACCGAAAATATTCCGATCGTTGATTGAAGTGTTGCGCTCGAAAACGTGATGGTTTTGGTAACGATTTACGCACCGGAGTAGTGGATTAATTTTCTCGATTCGATAGTAAACGGCGAACACACGTCCCTGGTGCGTCCCGGCCATAAATCGTCAGTTATGCGGTAATTATACAAAACACTCTATCCCCGACGATGCGATTTGACCCTCTATAGCATGCGAGTGACCCGGTGAAAAGCCTCTCCATGACCACCCGTTTTGCTACGGTTAAAACCCTCCTATATCAAATAAATATCGCACGGAATCGCCTCGCAATCAATGCTCGTACATCGTCCTTCGCCGATGTAATCTGGTGAGTTTACATTAAATCATCCATTAGCGCTTTACCCGTTACATACATGTACGAGGAATGCAAGCCAGGCCGTTTCGCCCAACTTTTGTTTTTTTCGTTCGCCGGAAAGTTAGAGGCTAATCGTGGAAGTTCTTCCGGAAATCGCCCTCCACTAATGATCCGAAGAAAATGTAAAAATACAAATAAATTTCGTTCCGGAGCGGAAAACAGAGAAATTAGGCGTAAAGTTCGCTCGCTCTTTCCCCTAATGGCACACTTATGGCTCCACTCAAAAACCCTATAAGAAATCTAATGGCAAACAAAAATCTTGTAATAACATACGGCAGAGAAAGTTTAGTACGAAAAAACAAAATCTCACTTCATTTCTTTAAACTATCGTAGAGCAGAGAGTAGAGAAACTAGATAGACACAGGGACTAGAGAAACTAGTGAGACTAGAAAGACTAATAGAGAAACTAGAGAAACTACAGAGACTACAGATACTAGAGAGAGACTAGAGAGAACTAGAGAGACTAGAAACTAGAAACACAGAAACTAGAAACTAGTGATTAGAGACTAGAGACTAGAGAGTAATGAAGAGAAGAAAATGGAGGGTAGAATAGAGTCGATATAGTAGCTTTATTAATTTAGCATGAACAAAAATCAAGACTAAGGAGACTAAAGAGACTAGAGACTAGAGACTAGAGAGTAATAGAGAGAAGAAAATAGAGGGTAGAATAGAGTCGATGTAGTAGCTTTATTAATATAGCATGAGCGAAAATCAATACATAAAATTAAAATGTTAGTACGTTAAATGTCGTTAGGGCAGGTGTACTAATGATATCGAAGGGAGCTTTCGTCGCGAGTAGGGCTTGTATATAGCGTGAGAGCGGTTTTTACGGGGCCATTTCGTATAATGAACGTCGTAAAAATATCTTTATTTTGCAATTTAATTTCGCTTTATAGGGTCCCGTTCGATACCGAACTCGTAAATAAGAAGTTCGCGGAGATTGACGACGATAAATGGGCGGTTTATTAAACTATTACTTTTGCCTTACCTGCCCGAGCGATAAAAAATGATGTTTGAATTTGAAGATTTTATTTTTTGTAAATACCTAATTACGGTAGTAAATAATGTAATGCTAGTCTCGTGATTACGAATTATGGGCTCGTAAAAGGGATGCCTTATAAAAATCGGCAGGGCACTAATAACCTTCTGCAGAATTGCCATAATTCAAAGAAAAGTCCTTAATTAAAAAATCTCGTACAGCCTCATCACAGATTTGATTTTTAATTAGATTTACGACGAACAGGAGCGGTCGAAGAAGGAAATTTTCCTTGTAGAAATCCTGAATATTTATCGCATCCTAGCGAAAACATCACTAGAATAATGCACGTAGTATTAATTAAATAATTAATTATAGTATTGGAATTGTTTGGGTTTTTTCTACAATAGGGTGTATACAAATTTTTAAAAAGAACCTGACCTGGTTATGGCTTGTTCAAAATTAATGCCCATCCCCGGAGGCCTAACTTTTTGATTGACATCGTAAATAGGGCTCAAAGTTTGATTGCTTCAAAATTAATTAGCCTCAAATACAACCCCCCATTTTTCAAGACTTCCACTGACAATGAATACCCAACAGGAAGCATTAAAAAATATTCAAAGTCAATTCAATCGGAGACACCTAAAACTTCTTATTGTGCAAAAAATTGTCGATTCTATCAGTTGAATAAAGAAAGATTGTTGAAATAAAAGTGGTTAGAGTGAGTAAGTTGTAATCCCACAATATCACTCTTTCTTTTTGCTTTATGTGAGACTTATGGAAGTTGTCTTTGTCGCTCACACAGACCAAAATGTGTATACAAAAAACCATAGAGCATTCGATTATTCAATCGAATCAAAACCAGGTCTCTCCTATTAATTCAACTCGAACCGTTGTTTACAAGCTACAGCGTAAATAACGGGACATTGGTTTTTTTCGAAAGCCATAAAGCTCGAATCTATTTTATCGCCGTCGCGAATCCACTTCGCGCAAATATTCGCAAACAACGCTCCGGTATCTTCGGCGGCCATTTTCGCCGGACTCGCGCGAGAAAAAGGAAACGTATATCGAACAAGTTCGCTCGTAAAATTTGATAAACGACTGTCATTCGTTCCGCGGGAACAATCCAGCAACCTTCGACCCGTTATCCTTTTTTAATTACCTACACTCGATGCGAACAGCGTCGGTGGATCCCCCGAATTTCCAATCTAAACGAGTGAGTTTCGAATGCAGGTTTTAGCTAAAGGTTTCTGGAGCTAGGGTTGGAAATTGGAGTTTTTTGCTACATAAAATGAAGCTATACAGGGTGGGATATAATATAATAATTATGGTTTATGTTTTCGAGTGGTGTGCTAGCTTTGTGGGTTAATATTTGTTTGAAAAAGGTGCAGCGCCGCTGTCGATGGGAAATGATGGGAAACGCAGGATCGGGTCGGACAAAAAAATAGAAGAGAACATTCTGCAGCTAGGCCACAATTCATTCAGATTGGATTCGCGATGGCCAGTCATAAATTGGAAATCAACTCGGTTCAGGATGAGTGATATATATTTGTGTAATAAGCGCGATTCGAACCGGAACGGATTTATGTTTCTGATCAACGTTCGCAATGAATTTTTCCTTTGCTGATTTATGCGGGACCGGGAAACCGATTTTTTTTTGTTGTTATACTAATTAGCGAAAAATTCGGCAGCCGCTGGTCTAACGTATTTACAGCGCCCGAACTGCCCTTTTGTTCCCGCATATCGTAATGTAATTGGAACATAATTAAATGCATTGTGTCGTCGACTATAATGCATTTATAATGAGGTAGTCGCAACCAGACGGCCGCGGATGATTTTCCACATGCAAACGATATTCCGCGCACCCCGAGCGTTAATTAAAATTCGTTTTAAATATTTCATCTGATGAATATTTTAAAAACGGTCAAATATCCGCCAGATAGGCGGATTCGCGTTATCTCGCAAAATGAACAAAATTCTCGAATAGACAGCGTTTCGTATCCGTTTTAACACGATAACGCGATCTTGCCGGTTTCCACATAAATCCAGCAGAAAAAAAGCAAGGCTCGTAAATTCGATAAAAACCAAGAAAATTCCGCAAAACTCCGCCGTTAATGCTGAATAATTGAATCGAGATTTTGCTTTATTTATGCCCGAGACAAAGGTGAGATGCACAATTCAACGTGGATAAAGGCGCGCCGTCGTCGTAACCGTAATTTTTCCATTCTAGCTCCTTTTTACTGCTCCGATAATAGGTATAAACAAAGACGATAGGGCTGTTGCGACGGCTCCCGAGGCAATAACGAATTAATGAAAGGAAGCCGAGTTATTGCGGATTCAACCCGATACTAGGCGATTCCTTTGTAATATTTTCAAAAAAATTGAGCAAATATACACCCGCGTTTGTTCAATAACAACTTTAAAAATTGGAGTCGATTTGAAATGGTAATTTAAATGTCCACCTGTGTATAGTTCAGCTTCTCGTGCATAGATGGCGCTAGTTGTGTCAATTTTTTTTTCCCGTTCGCCATATTTAAGAGTTTTGTTGTTATCATAACAGAGGGAGATACATTATTGAGTCGATTTACTGGAATAATGCCCGATTGCACCACCGTGTCTTAAATCTTCAGTTTAATAACCTTACAATTTAAGTGAAGGCGGTGCAATCGGGCATAAATTATGTATTATAAATTATAAATAAAAATAATTAGTGACTGGTGACAGTAGTGATTGACAGTTCGATCTTCTGTTTTATTCCACTATGTGTCTGTGACTATAGTGTCAGTAAGTCGCTCGAAATTGTTAATTATTAATTTTGCGACATTAATTAAGTAAATAATAGTGCTAAATAATAATATTAAGCAATTTATATGTCAATAAAGATGAAATGTATTACTTATTAAAAATAAAAAGTAAGATTTATAACAAACATGTCAAGTAGGTATACAAAATGTAGTATTAATTCGTAGTTTTGATACGAAAATACAATTTAATATGATTGTTGTGCACTTACATATTTGTAATCGAATAGTTGGCAAAGCTGGCCGTTGTAGAGCTCAGTCGAGGTCAAGGTTCATCAATTTCCATTCTATTTTTACCGGATTTACTTTTCGTGCGCGCCCGCGAGTTTTTCCGATATGCCCGAACGGTTTTTGCGCATTGTAAACAAACGTTCGCCGGACGATTTCTGCATCTTAGCAAGTGCGCAATTGATCGATTGTTATCGCGTATGCCGTTCGAATCGACATCGTGCACTGTCCATCGAACATTTTCCGAAAATTCGGCCCGTTTGGCCGAATTCGCGACTCCGTTTTCACCGGGTAAACAACTACACGTGATCGAAGCATGGCACTGGCGAGTGGTGGGGACGCGTCAAAAGCCGTCGCACGCGAAACTCGACCCTATTGCGTCGACATGCAAGAACGAAGGTTCGCACTCGCTACGGGAATTTTGTCACGTAGTAGTTGTTATTGAGAAACGCTGGAAGAGTACACGGTGCATTGGGAAAAAGAATTTGTTGCTCTTTTTTTTTCCTCTCGATTTTTATCAACAAGTGTCACGTGTTTTTTTTGTTTAATTTCGCTACGCGCGTACCGAACTGAACGGGGGGCGCTTCGAAAATGTTGTTGTGTATCACATCAGTGTAGCAGCGCTTGGATTAGAATAACCCTAATGTTAGTTTCCGTACTTTCTGTGATATGACTCAAATTCAAAGGGATACGGTTATTCATCTAGTTGCCGGAGGGTAAGTCGAAAACATCCCTTTGTTTACATCGATATTACTCCTGCATTTCCTGGTTTATATATTATATAATACCCGTTTCGAAAGCGCTAGGCCTCCTGCATATGCCAGTCTCCATGGTTATAACGAATTTGTTATCAGTTATCAGCCAGCTTGATTTCGAAGAAATTCGCAATTCCAACGCCTTCTATAAATACATTTCTATTCTAAGGCCGTCTCAATCAGCTGATTGTTTATTTACTTTCCTTAGGTTTCACTTGTATTTTTGTTTTTAATGAATAGATAAAAGCTATTTATAGAATCGCTAGTTTCTCTTCAATTTCGATAACCTAAGATTGACAAATGGTAAACAATCCATCGAACCCACTTCTAATTGCGATTTTTCCACACTTATCACTATCTTTTATTACCTGCGATTAGAACTCACACAAACACACTCGATCGGGGGGGCTCGTTCGATTACATTTAAAACGCCCCGCCATTAACCGGTACTCGAATTATATCGAAAACAACCATAATTACACCGAACAGCTTGTTCGAAATAACCAGTTTGTATCACTGTTGATTATCAACAAGTATTGTAATTATTTCAGCAGATTTTATAGAATTCGAACAAACTCATGGTTAATCTATTACCGGTGATCGGTTTTAACCGAAAACAACTTGGTATATCAAGTCTGTCAATGACATATTTATTATGAAATCTAGTAGGCCTTAGACTGTCCCTAGGAAATCTTAGAACAGTGTATGAAGTCAAGGATTATATGATAATAGTAGACCCTAGAATATCTCTATGAAATCTAGTACATGTAGAATAGTGTATGAAGTCAAGGAGTACATGATATTTAGATTATCTCAGATATTATTAACTAGTCTAATATAGCACTTCTCGAGTAAGATAATGCGTTGATGTAAAAGCAATTTTTACACATTTTCGGTTAAAGTTGAACTTTTCGACTAGATTAGATATAGAGAGAAAACTCCAAATTGTATAATGTAAATAAATTCAAGGCTCCGCATATAATCGGCGTTCGTTCCACATTCAAGATGAATATGTACCTATTTCTAATGAGCCCGAATAAAAATAGCCTTCTAGGAGATGTGTGTGTGTAATTATCTAGCCGCATTTTATTTTCGCGTCGCGTCCCCAAAATTTCCTTTGGACATGAACCCGATCGAATAAACCACACGTTGCGTAATCGCCCAGAAAGTTCCGCTCCGATTTTAGAGGCCCCCTAACCAGAATTTGACTTGTTTTTTTAAGGGTGGCCGGGACGACGGGGGCGATCGTAACCTGTCCGCTGGAGGTGGTGAAAACCCGCCAGCAATCGTCGAAAAGCGGGTTCATTGTGGTGCGCGAGCTGCCCAATGTAGCGGGCGAAAGCGCCCAGCCGAAAACCACCTGCAGAACGCTGCCGAATCAAAGACGTAGGTTGTGGACAACGTCTCAATATAGCCGGCCTCAAGTTGTGGCTCTTTCAGGTTACTCATACGCGCCGGCTCAATCGTTGAGCATACTCCAATGTCTCAAGCACATTGTGCAGCACGAGGGCCCCTTGGCTCTTTTCAAAGGTAAGTGAAACGGTTCGGTTTATACTCCGTTCCCCAACAGGAGATGTTAGATCCCTCAATTGAACCCTTGGAATTCTTCATTTGAGCTTAATCTACCATTAATTACACTCCGTTCGCTATCAGGATAATTTGAATCACCTAACTAACCCCTTAGATTTCTTCAATTGGGCTTAATCTACCTTTAATTATACTCTGTTCGCTATCAGGATAATTTGAATAACCTAACTAACCCCTTATAATTTTTCAATTGAGCTTAATCTACCATTAATTATACTCCGTTCGCTATCAGGATAATTTGAATCACCTAACTAACCCCTTAGATTTCTTCAATTGAGCTTAATCTACCATTAATTATACTCCGTTCGCTATCAGGATAATTAGAATCACCTAACTAACCCCTTAGAATTCTTAATACAAGCTTAATCTATCGTCTAGACTTTCATCTACCGTCATTTGACCATCAATTATAGTCCGTTCGCTATCGAGAAAATTTGATTCGCCTGACTAAACCATTGGAATTGTTCATTTGAGCCTTGTCTACTTTCTTTGACCATCAATTATACTCTGTTCGCTAGCAAAATAATTTAAATTTGAGCTTAATATACCCTCAAATATACACTGTTTAGAAAAGGTTCTAGTGTTGTTTGTGCGTAGAAAATTAAGTTTTGTGGCTATATCTCTTGATGGCGAACGAAGTATAAGTAATTGTTGCAATTATGGTACGAATTATTCCCGAAATTGGAGCAATTCGGGGTGCATTACGGCGGATAATTGGGACATTTTTGCGGTTTCGTGATATCTAAACATGAATGCTGTTTATGTAGTTAGGTATCAAGGTCGGTTCGCAACGAATGCAAATAAAATTTACGTTTTAATTATCGAATACAATCGGCCGGTTTATATTTAGGTATTTAATTTAAGTGTTCTGTAATAGTTTAATAAATAGAATAACCGTGGAAGTGGCGATTTTTGTGTTTATTCTAGCGTTTAGAGCGTACACAAGGTAATTAGCGCACCGGTACGTGAAATTTTATTTCGTATTATTCCGTCTACGTATAATAATAACTAATTTTTCCTCTTATAAATTATTGAACTCGGTAAATTTTGCATTTTAAAGAACCACGTTACGTCACTGATAAATCGAAAAATATTAGGCTCAAGTGTACCTACATTATCAGTGTACTCGCTAAAAATAGCAGTGTATTTGTATTAAAAAAAAATGCTAAATTGTAAACACGCGGATCAGTGCAATAAATTTCGCTGACTCGAAAAACGTTTCCCGCTCGGAATTTTTAATGATCGAATTTCATGCGAATTTCCCCCCGATTTTTCTAATCCGCTAATTAACTCGCCAAAGCGCAATTTTTGATGAAATTGTTGCAAAAGTAGCGAGCGAATGTTTTCATCAACACGCTGATGCATACGTTCGGTCAATAAAAATATTTTCCATTAATCATGTTTGTTTGCTTCGTGTTTATTTAGACTGCTGATAAAAAAATAATACCTGGATTCATAGAAAACTCCAGCGAAGAGTATATAACGATAATCAAATAAAGTCCAGCCATAAACACCACAATTAGATACATATGTATAGAAAATGAATAAACATTACATATTAAATTTGTTTTGCTACATCGGTATCTAAAAGATCAAATAAAACCCAATTAAAATTAAAAATTGTATGCAAAAAATTCATTACTCGATGATAAATTATGTAATATTGAGTAACGGATACAATAAAAAAAATCCAGTTTTATTACCAGCAACTATTCATCTAAAAAAACTATTTTTACCGGCCAAAACTCGTTGACGTAAAGAGGTTAAGGGGCTTTCTTCGAAAAGTTTATTTTTATTTCGGTTGCTTTTAATCGATACCGATAATAAAATGCTCCGTTACGCCGAGATTACACTGAATTAATTTGATTTGCCAAGCAAGAATTATAATTAACGTTATAGCAAGTCATTAGCCATTTTTACGGAGGGATTTTTTAGTGTAAAAAATACGAAAGTTCTCTACGAACGGAATTTTAACCACTCCTGTTTGTCACAATTATCCGACAAACAAACCCACCCTTAAGTCTCTATAACAGCCATTTTAAATTCTTCCAATCTTAGGTAAAGAATAATTAGATATAATATAACATTGTAACAAATCGTTAGCCATTTTTACGTGGGATTTTTTAGTGTAAAAAATACGATCGAAATTTCATCTCCCTATATTTTAACTGATGCTCAGAATGTCCCAATTATCCAGCAAACAAACCAGCCCTTTGGTCTCTAAATCGAACCATTTTGTATTCTTCCAGGTCTAGGACCGAACCTCGTAGGCGTAGCCCCGTCGAGGGCCGTCTATTTCTGTACATATTCCCAAGCTAAGGCCTTCTGGAACGGCATCCTGCCGCCGGACTCGCCGATAGTGCACGTCTGCTCGGCCTCGTGCGCCGGCTTCATGGCCAGCACCCTCACGAACCCCATTTGGTTCGTCAAGACGCGGCTCCAGCTCGACTTCAACCGCAACAGCAACGTGACCGCCATGGAAGTCGTCAAAAGGATCTATTCCACGTCGGTGAGTTAACCCGCAGGCGGCAATCGCGCGGCGTAATCTGACGTTTCCGCGTTCGGTTTCAGGGAATCTTGGGCTTCTACAAGGGCATCACCGCCTCCTACATGGGCATCTCGGAAACGATCGTCCACTTTGTGATATACGAGGCGATCAAAGCCGAACTGATAGCGCACCGGTCGCACGTCAGCGACGAGAAGAGCTCCAAGGATTTCTTGGAGTTCATGCTGGCCGGGGCCATCTCGAAGACGGTCGCCTCCTGCATCGCCTATCCGCACGAAGTGGCCAGGACGAGGCTGCGGGAGGAAGGGTCCAAGTACACGGCCTTCTGGCAAACGCTCGGTTTAGTTTATAAAGAAGAAGGTACGTGAATACATTCAGCTGGATACCGGTGCAGTACAAGACCGTTGAAGTATTTCATTGTTGCAGGAACTAGGGGGATTTATAGAGGATTGGCGACGCAATTGGTGCGGCAGATTCCCAACACGGCGATTATGATGTCTACGTACGAGGCTGTAGTGTACATTTTAACGACTAGGTTTAATAATGATTTTTACGAGAACGGCAGGGGGCGCTAGTTGAGGAGAATTCTGTTGTTTTTGTTGGAAGATATGGTGAGATAAATTTTAGAAATTTATAATTACTTCGTATTGGTATCGTTTTAGTGGGTGAACATGTTGCCATTTTGATTTTTTTACTAGTTTTTTCGGGGGTTCGTAAGATGTAAAATGTCGATTACGTCGTAATAATTTATTTTTATTTATGTTTTGCGATATTACGATGTGCCATAAGTGTACTTCGAGACCTGTAAATTTACGATTGTATTGAATTCGTTAAATTCTCGCATTGATAACTCCAAGTAAATTTGCTTGTAGATTATGCGCCGTTAAGATTCCTCGAGTAGAATATTTCTGATTGTGGTTTATGTAACATTTCTACGTTTACATTGTTTTATAATACTTTCGTTGATAATGAATAAACCACATTATTTATTTAAATAAGCGTTTGTCGAAAAGTAAAATGTATGTAATTGCCCACAATTAGTCTTGTCAGGATGAGAAAGACTGATCCTATTGATGATAGATTTTTGAAAAGTGATAATATTAATTTTGTTAGTGGTACAGTAAAAATTGTATAGATAATTTAAATGATGTTTATACTATTTTACGTCTTTTTTTTAATAATGCATTAAATAGATTTCTTTGTTTAGGTTGTTTACAATAGATTTTCTTTTGCGATGTTAATATTTTACGTTATTTTGCCTTGATTGCGATCATTTGCATAACGGTTGATTAATATGTATATTTTTATCGGCTTTATGAGTCAAAAAATTGTATTACGAACGAAAAATATATTTAAAAAACCTTTTACAATAATTTCTAAACTAATTATCATCAAAAAACACGCTAAGAAATTTCATGCGTTACAAAATAAATTATTTAATCACTATTTGTGATTTTTACAAATACTATTGCATTTATACACCGTTGAAAAAACTTTAGAATTTAAATAAATTATCTAATTCACAAATAGGAATTTTAAAGAGTATATAATACTCTTTATACGTGTAAAAAAATTAATTTTAAAGCGCTGCTCAAAGTCAGTATAATATAATGATTTCATCTAGCTATTTCAAATTGTCGTAAAAATTTAAAAAGTTCCTACAAAATACATTCATTCATTCAAAACAAAACGATTATTATAATACTTTCGTATTGAAACTAAACATAGTACATTTTGTTGCTAGTTTTATTAATTTAAATTACAACCATCCTAGCATGAATGTAATCTTTTTGTTTTGAACGTTTATATAGTACTAATTCTCATCACATTACATTACATTAAAACGAATTAACGAAACAATAAATAGAAAAATTAATAATGTATACAGGCAGATTCTCCAAAAATGGATCTACTAATGTTTACTTAAAATGTAATAATATTTATATACCTTACATTCAATCCCAATCGTAGAATAAATTCAAACAAAAGTCGGGCGCTTTAACCCGTCAGTCTATTACATTACGTAAAAAATAAACCCAATTTTCATCTCGATTATAAAACTTGTTTGCGCCGAAGCGGCATATTAAATGATAGAATTTCTAGTATAAATAAATAAAATATGATTACGCGTTTACGCCACCGGCGTCCTGAAAACTTCCCGTGTAAATCCTGAGAAATTCATCTCCCACTTTCTCTTGCACTATTTGGCCGTCGGCCCCTTCGAAAATGGGCCGATTATCGTTATAAGGATTTCGTAAATGTCTACAAATCGAAAGAAATTAGAATCATAAAACGATTCGTTACGATAAAAATTACAAATCACCTTAAATGTATAAAAGGTACTTCGGTTTTAAACAGCCATTCTATCACAGCAGTCGGTTTGCCAGTTTTCTCGCTATACAATTTAACAAACCTGGCGACGCCTTGGAAGGCGTTCGTTTGGTGCACGGTAAATAATAAAATCACCGGTTTCCTATACTACAAACACAAAAATATATATAAAAATAACCCATCAATAAATAGAATATAGTTCTAAATGATTCAAATAGAAAACTTTTCACCCTACCCTTGTAGAATTGACCATATTGCAAACATATTTGCATTTACCCCTATACAGATAGGTGCAACACTGCACGCAATATGGTCTATATGAGTGCAACAAAAACAACTTCCACAACTCATATAAAGGAAAAAGAACCTCACTCTAACCACTGTTCTTCAAATAATCCGTCTTTGTTCGACCCATTCTATCGCATTCTATCTAATATACTTACGCTTCTATAAGTCAAAATTTTCTTCTCCGTTTGCGGCGCGAATATCCACTTGCTCGTCTGCTGGGCGATGTCCACGTTCCTCGTCTGCTTCGGCTTGATCAATATGAAGATCTTCCCGTCGTCGACCAGCGGCTCGGGCACGTCGAAGCGCCACCTGTTGCCGCCCGAAGAAGCGCCCTCGAACTCGCCCCCGAGGCCCGGCGGCCCGCCGTTGTGGCGCGCGAACAATTTGCGATTCTGCGCGGAATCGGCCCGGTCGCATTCGATCGAATTCGCCCTCGTCGCTGCGCAAAACAACACACGAATGTAAAAAAGAAACGTTCGGGCGCTCCGATTAGGGGCGGTAAAACAAACGCACTGCTACCAATAACACGCTTTATTTGCCATACGATATTTATCGGACCTCTAATACTATCTAGTAATGTCTGTAGGGTTAGCTAAAAACGGTTGTTTCTACCTGAGTTGGACGATCGTTTGATAGCACCGGTTATTTTCCTCGGACTAGAACCCGGCCTGTAGCCCACTGGATTTTGGTACGCGGCGTTATTTTGTGGAGGGTGTCGATTAAAATCGTTCTTTCTTTCTCTCCAATTATCACCACCCGCGCGATATCTTTGAGATTGAGGTAACGGTAAGAAAAACCTCGGTTTTCTGCCTACAAACAACCAAATTATCAACAACAACCGCATTAATAAAGCATTTTAAACGTACCGATGTGTAACGGAGGCTTCAAATCTGCTACGGTTTCTTCGGCATCCAATATACTCCTTACGGTTTTTATGATTATATTATCGTACTCGGTATAAGAATACCGAGGACAGGTCAAAACGTTTCCGATTAACGTTTCCAAAGCTTTCCTGAGGTAGATGAGGTTGTGGTTCGGATACTCGAATTCCATCCAATCGTCGATGTTCAAAACGTTCGGACTGGGCGTGACCGTATGCACGCCGCATACGAGGCCAATCTTAAAACGTTCATAATTAAATCGAGCACATAATTACCTCTTTTTTTGTACGATTTTACATCTAAAATCGTACATAATAGAAGAGATTGTTAACGCTTACTGTGGCTGTTGTGACTGCGGTTACTCCTCTTATGAACAAACCGTTGCCGTGCTTGACGAGTTCATCGAAAATTAACCAACTGGTTATGTTCCGTTTGCCGCATATGCTGCTCGAATGGACGTGCACCTTCTGTTCGCTCCTAAAATAGATACATTACAAATTCTTCCGTATAACTTACCGCGTATTTACCTAGTGGCTAGTGTCCCTTGATGGGAAATGGGATAGGCCACGTTCGGGTAGCACCCCGTGCAAATGATCAATTTCACGAACGGCCAACAATTCGCGTTTCTGTTGAAATCCTCCAAGTTCACTTTGGGATTGAAGAACATGATGGACCTCAATTGTCCGAGGAGTTGGCTGCGCGTTTCCAGTATGAGGTTCATCGTGGCGTTGCTGATGAAATATTCGTTGCAAAATTGCGATACTTTACCCGTCACCGAACATTCCTGTAGAAAATAAATCGTTTTAGAACATTCGTAGAAGCTCAATTAGTATATCGAGGCGTACCTGCCATTTAGCAAACAGCTCTAAATACAACACGTGATCGCTCAAAACCCCATCGATCAAACTCCTTCGTTTCTCCGCGGCCCAAGTTTTTAAATTAGCCTGCGGTGGTAACTGAAACGGATCTCTAAAACCGACAAATTATAAAAAAAAATGCATCGAAAACGTTAAAAACTAACTTACTTATGCGCCATCGAAGCTACTAGAGTCAAAATCGGCTCCAAACATCTAAAAATGACACCGTAAATGAGCATTTTACCCAAATGCGGCTCGATAGTCAATTGCGCCAAGTACGCCCCTAATCTAGTCAAGTCCTCTTCCTCGTCCAAGGCGCCCAGAAATTGCAGATTCTCGATGGCCACTTTGATGGAACTCGCCGAAGGCGGATCGGGAGCCAACGAAAGGAAATTGTGAATGTTCATGTCTTTGGGCGCCAGGATCTTCGTGTGCAAACATAATTCCTACAAAAAAAATTAATCACAATCAATTCGAATCAATAGGTGTATAATAAAAGCTTACTTCTAACGAAACTCTTAGGATCTCCGGTATCCTTTCCTTATCCATATGCTCGAATCGTTGCTTTGAATACAATCGAAAACACACTCCGGCTCTTGTACGACCTGCCCTACCCTTCCTTTGATTAGCACAAGCCTGCGATACCCATCTAGTTTGAAGCGAAGACACCTTATTGTACTACAACAAACGAAATTATTAATACACTCATCGCTACACTCTCAACAAACTCACCGAATCGAAACACTTCTCTTTCACCTTACCCACGTCGATCACAAACACCACATCGGCTATGGTGACGCTGGTCTCGGCTATGTTCGTCGACAGTATAACCTTCCGCAGGTTGTTCAGCTTCTTGAACACGTTGCTCTGCTCCTTCATGTTGATCGAGCTGTGCAGGTAGAACACTTTGAAGCTGGCCGGGTCCAACGAGGACCTCATCAATCGATCGCTGCACAGCATGATCTCGTCGTAGCCCGGCAGGAAGATCAGTATCGAAGCGTCGCTGTCGCTGTTCGCGTGTATGAAACTCACTAGAGTGACGATCAGATCGTAGTCGATGAAGTAATCGGGTGTTGTTTTGTCGAAGAGTTCTAGTAAAAGCGCGCCTTCTTTCGTATTGGTTTCCGAATCGTCGGTGGATTGTCGCTTGTTCTTCACGTAGGCGAGGATTCTGAGTATCTCGGGATTGTCTCGGGCGTAGTCGAAGGCCGTTTTGTGCAGCTTGCAGCACAAATCCAAATTCGCGCCTAAAATACACGCAATTACTATCGATTTATTAGTAGTTTAATGGTAAATTGCTTACCCATATTGCAGAGTTTGCTGACGAACTCTTTGTCACCGAGGAAGGATGCGATCATCAAAGCCGTTTGACCGGTTTTGGTGTGCTGGTAATCGACGGAGCCCCCGTTGAAGAAGTACATCCCTAAATTAGCCGTAGCTTCGGTGTGGTGTAAGTGATAATCGTAGTCGTTGCTGAAATGTAGGTACTCCTCGAGGGCTTCGTCTATGTAAGGGTTGCTTTGATGCTCCTGCGGTTGATTATCTTCGGTGTGATTATCGGGTTTTAGAGCTGCTAGTTGCTCGAAGGCGTTTCTTTTCTGTTTAGCAGCCCGCATTTCGGCGGACATGTACTTGGTGAGCACCAGCACGTCTTCTAGGTATTGCACATCGATCGGGTACAATCTACCGGGGAGCGATAGCACTTGGACGTTCGTAAAGTATTCCTCGAATTTACTGACGCTTATGGTAGCCGACATCAGTATGATTTTCAAGTTGGGGTATTTGTTGAGGTCCTGCTTGAGGCAGATGAGCAGGAAATCGGCGAGTTTGTCGCGCTCGTGGATCTCGTCGATGATGATGTGGGTGATCTTCGAGAGGCCGTCGACGCTGCACATGAGGTTCCTCAGCAGCACGCCCGTGGTGCAGAAGATTATGTTGGTGTTGAAGCCGTAGTTTTGTTCGAGTTTTATGTGGTAGCCCACGGTGGAGCCGATGGCGTCGCCCCTTTCGAACGACACCCGTTCAGCCGCTGCTATCGTCGATATCCTCCTGGGCTGCGTGCACACGATCTTGCAGGGTCGCTGGGATTCCGCGCAGTCCTCCAGGATGAATTGCGGCACTTGAGTGGTTTTACCGGAACCTGTTTAATTATAATTATATTATTCATTGCATATTCTAATTCGAGTAGTTTATACCTGTTTCTGCGGATATTACAGTGATTTGGTGGTTATTAACGGTTTCTAAAATGAGCTGTTTGTAATCGAACACAGGTAAGTTCTGTCTTATTTCGGCCATTTCGGGTTTGATTGTTGTGGCTGTAGGAACAACGGGAGGACTGTTGATTAATTTACCGGCCGCTTTATAAACGTTATAAGTGTTGGATGGTTTGTGTGTAACTGTCGGAGGTGCTGGGATGTGGACGAAATCGTTGAGGTAATATTGAGCTTGTTCGCAGGGGATTACTTCGAAATACTGGTTCCCGAGCTGTTGGCTTTTCTTTTTGATGTGTAATTTTCTGTTGGGTTCTTTGCCGTAAGAGCGGGATATTATGTTCTGCTTTTGGGCCACGTTGTGGATGTACTTTCGCTGCAGGTTGTTCAAATCGGCCGGGAAAATGTGCTCGTTTTTGTCCGGATCGTCGAGGAATTCTTTGAATATTTTGTCGATTTCGATTCGCATTTTCTCCGGCATGCTCTCCAAGCAATTCGCGTCGACGGTTTTGTTCCATTTGGAGTTTTTACTGAAAAATAGCGAGTTTTTTTTATTGAGAATTGGATCATGTTTGGCATTGTTACCCTCTATCTCTTCGTTTCGATGTTTCCATTGTATAAGTGCTTCGCGTGTAAAAATAAAATCAGAATTAATATCATTAAAAATAGAAGTTGGAAAAATACTTTCACACTAATCACAGATAACAGACAACAAAAATGGAAAGAATGGTAGAATAGGAAAAAATGAGGGAAATTTATTTTTAATATAATTTTTATAACTGTCAATAGTGTCAATCACTTCTTTGACAGCAATTATCATATGGGTAAAGGAAACTGTAATTGTAACGGATTGTCAAATTCGGAATTATTAAACAAAACATTTATTCTAATGAATTTTACCAATTTAATATTTTAATACCTTAATCGCTATGAAATTATTGCAATTATTTCAAAAATACTAAGAAAATGTAACTGCATATTCTCTATAGAGAAGATCAGATTTCTTCTTTTTTGTATTGGCATTTTAAAAATGACAGTTACACAAATTTAAAAAAATGCAATGCACTTTAAACGTTGCAGATAAATCTAGAAAAAAAAAACTAATTCGCATACCTATGAATTATCAAATTTAACAAACGAATTTATTGAGTGAGTAATTATAAAAATATACAATAAACTTAAAACTCGCGTAGTAGCAACGTAAATGCTGAAAGTATTATTTACTCTTTTGTACAATAAGCACTGCTGTGGGGGCTAGACCTAAAACAACAATTAAAATAACAACAAATCATCATATAACTAAATCAACATTTACCTAAAGAATCCAAGGGTTTGTCATAATCATCCGATACAAATATTTTCTTTGGGAAAGTGGTCATCAAAGTAAACGCGCCCTCTTTTACCTTCCCTTTCATTTCGATGAACACTCTAACGGCCGAAAGGGGCTCTTTCGCTCCGAACGTTTCAGTCAAACCCGTCCCATCGGGAAGCTTAATCTGTAGCTTGGCTTTGGAATAATTAGTTTGCACTTTTGTAACGGTCGCAGCCGCGGGTGCCGCAGGCGTCGGGGCGCTAGACGTCGCCGATTCCTCCACGACGCCGCCGAATTTCGCCTTGCGCGCTAATTTATCCTACGATTCACAAAAAAATTAATAAACACATATAAATTGGGAATTAATCTTGAACCTGTTCTATTTGTTCTCTGATTCTTTGCTTCGCTAACCGCTCTTCTTCCTTCTCCCTTTTCTTCTGCTCTAAAAACTTCTTCATTTCTAGTTCCTCATGCTTTCGCTTCGCCTCCAACAGCTCTTTACCCGATTTGATTCGGTTCTTTTCCCTCAACAGGGCCTCCTCCTTTTCCTTGGATTCCCTTTCCAGGCGGCGCTGCTTCAGCTTGGCCTCGATCTTAGCCAGTTTCTCCTTTTTCTCTTCATCGGTGAGCGGTTTCTTCTCCTCGGACGATTCAGAGAAATTCTCGTGACCTACGAGCGAGCGTTCGTTAATCAACTACTCGTAACGAGTATCAATGGAAGGGTACCTGTCTTCGACGCGTGGAACTCCACCTCTTCGTTGGTTTGAAACAGCTTCCCGCAATGATCGCATTGTATTGATTTAACGACGGGTGCGGGTGTTTCTGGTTTGGATGAGTCCTCCTCGGGGACGTCCTCGCTATCTTTCGTACTGGAATTATCATTGGTAGGTATTTGCGGAGGGACGTCTACGTCCGCGTCGTGAGAGAGCAGCCAGTCCATTACTACCTGCACATCGCTGCTGCCCGTCCGGCTCACAGCCAGTTCACTGAAACCAAATAACCGGCATGCTAATTATCGTTGTCGCTACAATCGTTCAGTACGTACGCCTTTTCTTTATTAAAGCCCATTTCGATTAGAGTATCTATTATATTCGACATTTTTCTAGGTAAATTAATTGGAAACTAGTATTGCTAAAAATAGGGAATCATACTATGACGTTTGACTTGACTTTGACAACTCTGTCGTATGTCATACTTGTCTAATTTATTTGTTGGTTGATGTTTTGCGGTGTTGCCAAATTGTGAAGTTTCTTCTTTTTTGTAGTAATTGTATTGAATGCTTAATATGTGTAGGCCAAATTTGGGGTTTTTGTCGTAATTAGCTTTTTTTTATTCTTATTTAATTAGCTTGTAATCTACAGCATACATGACTTTCAGTTTATCAACAGGATAATTAAAACAAATGGGAATAAAACAGGTTCAATTTATGTATGAATATTTATTATAATTTAATAATAGAAATACACAGTAATATATTCAGTTTCTCTTCATTATTCATCTTCAGTATTCTTCACTTTAGGCGTTAAAACTGCATTAAGCTCTTCCTGCTTCCTGTGGTTTATGCATAATCATTTTAATTGTTATCAAGGACTTACCCATAAAATTAATCTATTCTTATAAATACAGATACCAGCAAATTATATCTCTTAATGGCTCGGAAATAAAAGAGACAAAAACAAGTTATTTTTTATTGAATAATTCATACAAATTCGGGACGAGTCGGGCTCCCCAATAACGGTTCCTGTCACATAAATAGTGCACTCCAACAGGTGTCGGGAGACTAAAATACCAGAGCACCTGATGAAGTACAATAGGCATGTAACACAGCTAGAACGTCGGCGAATTTTTCGTGGAAATCCCCCGCGAAGTTCGTGGAAAACGGTGCATTTGAATAGAACAACGCGCGCTACTTCAGGTACCTGACTCTCCGAAAACGCAGCCTAGGCACCGAGGTAGCACTCGCAGTAATATCGAATCGAATCCAGCGGATATTCCTGCAAAAGAAAAGCAGACAATCAATTATAAAACCTCTAAAACAACCTTTACTCGGAAGCGTCCGGTTTATAAATAAAATCGAAGCCTTAGCGAAGGCTGTAAATAATAAAAAGCGCAAGCAAGCTCCAAGAAAGTTACCTGTCCTGAAACTACCTGACTGCGGTTGTTTCCAGAACAATATATTCGAGATAACAGAATATTCACGTGCATCGAATTTAGCGATAGCTCAGTCTACATTTGTGGAACTAATTTATTTTTAATTAACCGGCTTAATACGCTTTCTAAATAAATTGGCGATTTGATAGAGGATAGTGTGGAATTGGATTAAAGGCAATTAATAAAACTGGTACGATGAGAATATGCTAATCGTGCGGGTAGAGAGGGATAATTAAGCGAAGAGGAAGTAGTAATAAGGCCTCGGGGTGTTTAAAAAGACCAGTAGAACGTTCTACTAAAAAGATTTCGGATAATTACCGGAATAATTGCGTTCATTTCGAGTAGAACAAAACGGCAGAGAAATATTAATAATTACGTCACGGGTATTTTTTACGAAAATTAATGGCCGGTTAAGCATACATATTTAAAAACTCGTTCAGTATGTAAATAGTCAGTTTTTTTTTCCTACAATCTACGTAAATATCTTACTCAGAATTTCAGTTTACATCAGAGTTATAGTTGAAATAAAAGCGACTATAAATAGACGCAAAGATACATTTTTCCGGTTCATTAAACGCAATTTTTTAAATAAATTTCGGTTTATTGTTTGTATAACGAATAAGTAAAGGTACTAAAACGACTAGAAAAGCTAGAAGTGTTTATTGTACACCTGTAAATATTTTATAAGTAAAATCGAATCCTAATCATGTTTGAAACTTGTAGAACAAGGTGAAAACTATACAATTAACAAGCCCCTATAGGCGACGTTAAGGATTTAATTTATCGTGCTTCCATTGTTATACATTGAAGGAAAATCTATAAATAACTAAGGAGGAAGATTTCCATAAACGAAACAACTAGCACGGAAGCAAGAATGTGCTAGAACGTTCCATTTTCCTCCATCGTTCGAGCATATAAATCGAAAGCAGTATTCGTCTTGTCGAAACGAGTCTCTGCCTGCAACATTTAAACAAAATCCATGCCGTATGCGTCTCGATTTTCGTCAAAATTAACCTTGATAGAAGCGGTTCAATCACCTCCGCTCATTTCGTAGATGCCAACAATTTCCTTTGTTAATTTAACCGGCGCATAGATTGCCAAAAATTTATAATAAAAGCCCGGCTATGAATATACAGGATGAACGATTTTAATGGCGGAAGTTCAACGGCTCGCAGAAATTCGAGAATGACCTAAATTGGATGAATTTTTAGGATTTAGAGGAAAGTGGAGCCTTTACGTTGGCAATACGAGGTGATTTAAGGTGAATTGTTGGGTACTTTTTGAGGGTAATGCATTAATGTGGGTAGTTTAAACATTGGGAGTAGAAAACGTTATTTCCACAAAGGAAAACGTGACAAGAATTAATGGAAACGATGGAGATAATAATAGCAAATTGCATTGTAAAGAGAGGAAGAGGAAAAAGCGCACCTGGCTAGGGGGAACTCCCTTTAGGTGCTAATTTTCTGACCCTAAATACCATCTAACTTTCCTCAAATCTTACTTCGTAAACGGCCAAAATACCCGCAAGGAGGCCGTTTATTTATAACGATTAACAATAACATCTCCAATGCTATTTGCCTATTCTTTTTCTAGCAGCGATTCCGAGTAATAACAGCGGAGATAACGTTTCTTTTTTTTTATTTCGTTTCACCTTGAAAAGGAGGCAGTCGGTAGTTCGGCGAACAAAAGATTTGTCCTTTGCGAAATTTCGGTTAGACAAACATTGTATCTAAAAGGAAATGCCTTGGACGTTTCTACCTGTGGTTTGAATGAAGGCCCCGGGATTATTTACCTGAGACCGATGACAATCCGAATTTCGGGCCTACCTTCACGGCAATCCGTGATCCCTAGAAATTTTTCTACGACCTACCTACTAGATTTTCGGTTTGTTAATTGTTAGTGCATGTCGTACGTAACAAAAAAAAACACTAACGATACGGCATGTTTTTTCAGTGAATAATCGCAGTAGGTGCGGTAAATTAATTATTTAGGAGTAATTGAATTAATTGAAAATCGCGTATTAAGGAGATATATTTTTTTTATAATATTCTAGATCATTGTTGGCAATGTTGGCAACATTGGTTAGGCTAAAAATCTATGACAACTACCGATATTGAAGGCCACTTTTTTTATGTACCGAATTTGTTATTCGACTGCTTATTGTTGAATGTAGATAAAACGTATTTACATATTAATAAAAGCCTCGCATTTAAATCGCAATATCCGCATTTCCCCGATAAAAACGCACAACCCTTATCCGGCAATTGCGCATTATAAATTTACAATTAAAAAAACGATTTATCACCAAATTTACTTACCGATAAATACCGTACGAATCCACAATTAATCCAAATTAAAAACCATCGACACTCGCTGGTCTCGGTATTTCACAATATTGCGATTCCTTGGACATAAAAAAAAACATTCCACCGCGTCTCGAACGTAAAATAAAACCAAAAAAAGCACCTGCAAACCAAAAGAAAACGAAGAAACAAAAAGGATAATACGAAAGGCCTTCGAGGCCTTATGCTTATAGCCAAAATTGAGTCCAAGGTAACGTGACGTCATCACAAATTCCAAAATTTCTTATTCACATCAATGGAATACGCGACGACGATTTTAATACAAACAATCGCAATGGATACAATAGAATTGAAAATGCCGAGTCTACAAGCAATATGTGAGAAATGGTGGAAAAAAGAAACTTTCAATCGAACACTGTTCACTAGCACACGTCCGTCCCAACCGGCTTCTGATACTGATATGAATTGATAACTGACCACGACGACAGAACTAAAGTGAAGAATCCAGTAAGTTGGTTGGAAAACCAACGACCTGTCCAATGAGACGTCGGTTGGAGGCGGAACCGCACGAGACGGCCCGAACGGAGGGATCACGGGCCGGTGTGAATCGGGTTTATGTCTGGGTCCTTCACCTAGCACAACCGACTGTCGTGCCGTCTCGGTCGCGCCCGTCGTCGCGGTGCTGGCGCTCTCTCTCGTTTCGTCTGCAAAATTTGTTGTAGAAATGCATCCTATGTCTGCATTCTGCCCGTCTTGGCATTTGGGAAACTGTCTCTCTCGTCTCTGGAAAGTTCGTTTCGAGGCGGCGTTGCCGGACGCTCGCACCCGAAAATTTTTACTAGAAAAATAAATAAATAATACACCTACTACGATTTTTTTTATTATTACATTAAATTGATTGGCAGATCCAAGTGCCATTTGAAAGATTGGCGTTTGTGACGTTTTCAATTCGTGAGTTGTTTTAAATTACTCGTAAAATTTCTTGGAAAAAATGTTACCAGAAATAATTTGTTTATAAATACCGTACAATTCTAGCGAAATCATTATTCCCGTTAATGTTATATTAAACACATTAGAAGCGGTACATATTTTTGTAATTGACAGTTAGAAATGTCATTTAGATTTATCGTTTTGACAGCAAATGTCAAACAATTTCCCGACGCACATTGCACGGGGACAGTCGAAAAGATTTCGCCGCAATTAAAATTCCAGCTATATCGAGCATATCGATTACACTTCGTCGAAAACAAATTTTAATGCGAGTTTATATTTTGTATTAACAAATTTTTATGCGCAGATAACGCTAATCAAACTGATAATTCGCGTTATAACGTCGCCGGCAAACCCCGAACGAATCGGTGCCATTCCGGGTATTGCTCAAGAATACAACAGTAATTTTCGCCGATAAGTTGATAAGATTATTGCGCGATAACAGGAAAAACCCTTTAAGTTTAGCAAAAGGTTCTAATTTTTGACAGTTACTCAGCGAGAGCTCTTATTGGCTGGTAAAAGATTTAAGTGTAAATCGAGTACTGTGATTGGCTGGAGTTAGTGACACCATTGACAGCTATAATACAAATAATGCTAAATATTAGCTAAATTATAGGTAACGCAGTGGTATGATTTGTACTAATTATACAGTCGTTTATCGCTAAGAAAATTTAAATATATTCAAAAAAACTGATCTACCTTTTGCTTCGAGCAGGTATCCAACGCAGATAAGCTAAGCAGGCGTTGATTAGACTACGATTCTTAAAACACGATACGGTAAATGTCATTATCAATAGAATTCCATTGTTTATACTAAATTTATCGTTTAAAGTCTATCTGTCCGGCGGGCGAAAACGTGTGTTATTATAAATAAAAATACATACGTCAGTGTGTATAATCGTAAATGGCGAACGCGATAATAGTTGCTAACTGAAAATCCGTATGACGTCGGTTCTCGATGATTCGCACGACGTCACCTCCGCCCGATGTATCTCCCGTGTAATAACATTGTACGGGTGCGTTTCGCATACACCTATACAGCAAACATTTTAACGACCATCGATATCTGTTTTTAGTTTTATCGAACTGACTTTGACGTCAGTAAATTACGTGGAAATAAACTAATAGAATGCGCGGGCGATTAACCTCTCTCACGCTGTATAGATTTCATATTTACCGAAATCGCAGAGTGCCGGTTTCGAAACTCACTAAATCAGTGTTACCAACGCGATTTTCGACACTAACATAGCTGGTACCTCGTATTGTAAAATGACCGACCGCAGAATGTACATTTCTAACAGCGCATTTATTTTTGTACCGTTCAATAAATTTATTTAGTACAAACAAAACGCGTGTAAGGTGAAAATATCTAATAATAAACATATTATAATGGCATGTGTCGTGACTTAGCTTTCATTCAATACGATAACGATTAGCGTTCTTGGAATTATCGAGAGAAAATTGTTGATTTTTTTTATGGTGAGTAACAGTTTCGAGAAATGAATAATCGGCCAACACTCCAGTGAGTCACAATTTGTGCGCTTCGTCAGAGAAACATCACGTTATGCCCGCATGATTGTGAAAGGATTAAAACCGTTTCATAATAGGAATAGGAATCTTCGTTCAATTTATCACGCACAATGCATATTGCTTAGAGAATTGGTTATTGCTCTATTGAAAATGCGCCTCGTACAAACCTCTACCGACTATTTAGAAGGAACCTGTTATATCCTTACACTGGCGATAAAATTGGTTAATAAAATTTCGAAATTTTATCGCCACATGGAAAATTCCACAACCGCTCGGCAGAATAACAAATCTCAAGTCCCCAGTCCCAACTTATCGGTACCTACACAATGCCTTTTATGATCCTTTTCCGGCGCCTCCCCTTTCATTGACACGCCGCCGATACCGAGCCCGACGTAGTCTAAATAAAGCCCTGATAAAAATTAACAATATTCGGCCATCGCTCGGTTGCGTTTCTAAAGATAAACAAACCGATCAAGCGATTGATAAATCGGCGAATTTAAAGGACGAATCGCGACGAGACGAGACGTTCCAACTATAAAAAAATACACCTCTGAGGCGCCGAAAATTTATTGGGTAATGCCTAAATAAATATCGGACGCCATAAAAACCGAATTTGTGGAAATTTTCGCCACTTTCAAGTCAGTGCTCGATTGTTAAAGGTGCTGCAAAAGTTCTATTTGAAGATAATGAAGAAATAAGAAGGAAATAGACATCTTGTAGGTACTTTCCAGGAGGTCCAATATTATGACCCTATATATAAGGCTGGAGGTTCTAGGGTTCTACAGGGAATTCTTTTCCACTTTGTATCCCACCAAAAAAACCTCATCTTTTAAATAATTTTGCTGGCTTCTACTAGCTTCTTCTGCTCCTAATAAACAGTTTTGTATCTCATGAAAGGACCATATTACTCGAAGATCCGGTACGCAAACAAACGCAATGAAAAACCCACCGGCGACATATCGAATGCGGTTCGATTAAAATATACAAAAAATCAACGTGTACACGCGTGTGTGAGTGTGTGTGTGTGTGTGTACGTGACGTCAGTCCGCCCCCATTCCATTCCAGTCGGTTCGCGGCGGCCCCGCGTATGTTGCTAAGCGAAACGAAACCGGCGAGAGCCGGAGCGAAGGAGGATTCACTCGGATCTGAAAATGGAATGGAAACGATGGCACCGGTACCGGCACCGGCATCGCCACCGCTCTAAGCCAAGGTCGTACCAATGTCTTTCGTCGTACCGCGCGTTCGAGTGTGTGTGAGTGTGTACGTTTCTTTTTGCTCGGCTCATTCCACCTATTTTCTTCGGCCTCGCGACGACTCAATTCAGTCGATGTGCCCCGGCGGGTTCGGCTCGATTTGGTTGATAAGAGCGTTATCGTTTGCACCTTTCGGGCTTATCCGGTGTATGAAATGGATGGGCATTGAGAGAAGGTGGTAAAGATGTACCAGAAGATTAGTATGGGCTATTCCAGATGAAATATTAAAGTACCTATCCGTACTAATGATGCTGGGGATCTTTACTTTTTCGTATAGAGACTAGCAGTAGCTTTCTTAGTGAACTACCTATGCTACAAATTCAAATTGCTGTGAAAATTTTATGTAATTGTAAGCTTGGAGCCTTCAATGAGCTTCTAGAGTGGTCCTGGTAAAATCTTGTGCTTACAAGAGCCACAATTTCTAGGAAATTCCTGATTCAAGTTGCACTTAGAAGGTGCACCATTCTAGTTGTACCTGCCAGAGTTTATTAAAAAATTCTGTACAGTTGTGAGCTACAAATATTTAAGGGTCTTCTTGGAGTGGTCCTGGTAAAATCTTCTACTTACAAGAGCCACAATTTCTAGGATATTCCTAATTTAAGGTGCACCTAGAAGGTGTAGAATATTCTTGTTGAACCCTGCAGAGTTTGTTAAAAAATTCTTTACAGTTGTGAGCTAGAAATATTCAAAAAACTTCTTGAGTGGTCCCGGTAAAATCTTGAAGCTTTAAGAGCCATAATTTCCATTATATTCACAATGAATGGTGTACCTATTAGAGGAAAATTCCTGTTGTATGCTTTCAGAATTTATTAAAAAATTCCGCATAATTACTGCTCTCTCTGGCAGAGGATTAAGTCTCCTGCATAAAATCTTGTATATTTTCTCCAAGCAGCAAATTTCAGATAGATAAAAAAAAGGGGTTTAAAACAAGGTCCATCGATCAGTCTGGTCGGCTCGATTTTTTCCAGATACCACGGGGCGTCGAAGGTGTTTTCCGAGAATGAAAATTTCCTATTAGTCCTAACTGGAATATCGCGAAAATGGTGCGCTGTGAGTCGGGCTTTCGTCTCGCGAACCATGTCGCAATGCCATGGGTTGCTTGCGGTGCTACCGAGCCGGCAGTATGTTATCGGCGTTGTCTCGTCGGTATTTATTTTCGCGATACTGCCGATTTTTCGTTGAGAACTTGGTGTATTCCAAAGCGCCCCGGCCTTTGCGGGATATCTGGGGACCACAGAGAGCTTATAAACTGCTGGAAAAACTGGAATAACTAATAAACATTTCTTGATTCTTCTTTACTCGAGGGTAGAGTAGAGGAGAACGTTATTTTAGAAATAACGGTTATTTTGTAACATTCGTTACTGCACCTCTATACCAAAAATCGATACCCACCTCTATTAAACGTCTGTCACACGAAATACGAAGTGTCATTAATGTCAATTTCGACAATGAAATTGCCTGCAATTCAAAATACTTTAATTTAAATAAGTAAATACATTATCCGGCAAATGAACGGCCCGAAAACGACCTCTCGCGTGCCGTTGGCGTTACGTTAAAAATCCCATTCAACCCGAATTTATACAATAAAATATATCCGACCGCGACGCGAGCTCTTCCGTCGATTTACCTGTACTTTCGAAGCGCAATTAAATTAATTGCCCCGTCGAAAACATCCTGTGCGCGTACCGAGCCGAGGAGTACCCGAGTTCGGGCCGCGGACGACACGAAACAGAAAAATAATAAAAAAAAAACAAGAAATAATGGTCTCGAAACGGAAATGCCGAACGATCGGCGTTCGAGCGGCCGCGAGTTGCCTAAAAATCTAAATTTAAAATTAAAAACCGGATATTCGACGCATTCCTCGTATACGGGGATTTTTCGGCATTTCCGTCGGCTACGAGCAAAACGACTTGGCGTTCGTTCAATTGTAAATGTAATTATTATTGTTAATAGATTACTCACAGATAATCTAAAAAATTCTTGGCTTTTCTAAGCGAGATATTTCAACTTCTATGAATTCCTTATGTAGGTATTTCAATTGGTCTTTATGAGGTTCTTTCACCTCCCATTTTCAAGTCTGTAAATTACACTATAGATAGGCTCCTCTTGGTCTTGAAGCGCTAGTTAAGGCTAGAGTTCAGTACTCTGAAAATAGGCGTAAAATGCCCGATTCGCCGCGACGTTTTCAGGGCGTATTTTGAAATTTGAAAGGGGGGTCGCACTCTACATATGATCTACCCATTTAGTTGTAATGCGCGACGAAGCCCTTTTTTTGAAAAATGCTTTTGTTTTCGCTTAATTAATGAAAATGTTGAAATCGTATAATCCATTTTCAGGCTACATTTTTAACTTTTTGTATGCAATTTTTGTACCAATGGAAAGAGCTGACTCTTTTCGAACGCGCGACGAAGCCCTTTTTTTGATTTTCCTTGTCATTTGTTAATAATTAGGTTGAATGTGTTTAAAAATTCATCGTTTCAGAACACTAAATTATCAGTTTTAGGCAACTTGTTATACAGTCCGAGAATGATTTATGAGGGGTTGGTTTCGTCTTCAATTTTACGACCCAAATCCGATAATCCGATTACCTACACTTAAGATGTTAAATTTTAAAATTTTAAAATTGCAAATATTGAATTTAGTGTTACTACATACTTGATTTTTTATTCTACTTTTATTTTACCTCAAGAATTTTTTAAAATATTGTCCGGTTACTAAATTTGATTTGACTAAATTTGACTAAGTACAGGAAGTACTTAGTTATTTTTAAAAAATTATTTATGTCAAGCTCTTTTTGACTGTTGGTACTATTAAATGATTTTGTAACACCACATATGTTATATTAACAAGTAATTATACTCTTTACTCCAAACCCCTTTCATTGAATATGTCGACATTAGATACATCGTAACTAAATAAACCATTTTTAACCAAGTTATCAATACAATATCACAATTTTGATACAAAGGACACACGTGGAAATTTAAAAATAACACACAAATTGAATATTCGGATATAGACAACACGAAGACAATGAAGTCACAATTTATCAATAGTCAAAATTCGGAACTGAGTGAATCTATATCGATCAAAACGGTAGGGGTAAAAAGAAAAACGTTGTTTTTATTGATTCCCTTCGATTGTTGATCGATATGCGAGATGGATTGAAATGGATAATTTCAATCGGAGAGGTCGAGTTGTCACCCGAATTCTAACCGGTCAGTTCTTATGAGTCGAGTTGTCACCCGTTACCTGGGGTAGGTATGGCAGGGTGCAATTAGGTTTTCGATTAATCCTACTTCGTTTAAAATTCCTAAATATTTTTTGAACGTAACCAACTTTTGTTTTTCTTATTATTTAGATAGATACATTAAATATTTTTTGAACTTTACATAAATATTTTATAAGATCAATATGATTCTGAAAATATTAAAATTTATATAAACTCAAATTTCCTTTTACTTACATGTATGTAGAATTTATTTAATGAACAAACGCAAACCCAAATTTGAAAATTTAAACGAACATTTAAAAATGTATGTACATTAGGGTGGCCCGTATAAAACGATTGATTACTTGTCGCATAAAATGATTATTCACATGCATTTGTGGTTCGTATTAAGGACGAAGAATGTTCGACCCATACTTGAGAAGGAAATTTTGAATTGCTGTCAATGTACGTTTCCACTAAATAATCACAAAATTTTGTAACCTTATTGCAATTTGGTTTTATCTCTAAAAGTTCCAATGCAAAACATCCACCAACTATTTCTAACCCAAAATCAAAAAACCCAACATTATTAAGCAATTAGACCCTTATAATCTGCATCGAACGGATAACAATAGACGGGTGACAACTCGGACATCACCTTTTTTCGCACAGGTAAAATTTTGAAATTTGGGTGACAACTCGGACCTGTCCGATTATTTATATGCAGAACAATCGAACCTAATAATGTACTAATGATTGTAGTAGGTAGACAATAATTTTTAAAGTTTTACCAAACCGTTTTTCAATGTTTTTACTTCTCTAATACTAATATCGTAAGAAATAGCGTTTTTAACTTGTCACAATACGAGTTAATTCGAAAACAACTGAACAACTTATGCAATTCTGTGCATGAAAATTTGCAAACAGTTGTCCAGAATTCCGATAAACTGAAGCAAAATATTAGACACTAACTTCTTTATTTAAAATGAAATATCATAGATATTTTTACATTTTTAGTATCTTCATTATGAGCTGATTTCAATGATGTGTTACACTTGCTATTTATCGTCGATATTAAAGGATCTACAGCCATTTGAAATTATGTTTTTTGACTTTAGGCAGCCCCGCGAGTGGCCGTAACTCCTTTATTATCGATAATAAGTATTAAGTATGACCTATCGTTGGAATCGGCTCGTCTTTATGATTTTAAAAATGTAAACCATATACGAATTATTTAATTTAAAATAATTTGTCGTCATCGGCATTTCTAAATATTCGAAAATATATTTTCCTACAATATCGAAATTCGGATATTCTAAAATTCAAATTCTAATAAAAGAAACAACCCAACCGCTTATCTCAGTTTTACGACATACCCCGCTGTGAGCTTACTACCTGAAAATTTGCCGAAATAAAGTGACAGGTCTTGCTGTACAAGTTGCCTATTCCCGAAAAAATATTTTGCGAGTACTGAACTCTAGTTAACCTATATGAAAATCTGGCCCTGCCTGGGTATTTTTAAGAAGTGATTCTTCTACAATGGATACATATACAGTATCCCCTTGGGGTACTATAATTGGATTCTTTAATAATCTTATATTGACCCAATAAACTTGCTAAATGCCAATTAGAAACTCCATATTGAATATTTAGACCACCTTTCTATACATTTAAGAACTCTTCTCGTGCACTTACCAACATGAAAATAAGGCTAAAGAGTGTGGGATTCTAACTTTACTCTCACTCTAAGCACTATAATTTTAATAATCTTTCTTTGTCCAACTCATAGAATTGACCATATACGACAAACAATGGGATTTGTTGTAAGATGGTGGATTCTGGATTGTGTGGTGGATGAATGGATCAAATTACATCCACCAGCACAGCGAGAGATCCTGTATAAGTTAACCCGAACGTGAGGAGTAAACAAATTGTGCAATAAAAATAGTTTTTGTCGACCGTAGAGAATACCAAACGCGCGGGTTTTCCCCGACCTCCAGACGCAAAAAACCGCTCAAAAGAAAAAAACATCCGAGAATACATCTCGGCTCTGCCTACATATCGCGTATATTTCGATACCAGCGAGCTGCACTAAATTCGCAGCAAATCGCTTTCTCCTCGTTTCTTTGTTAGGAAGAAAAATATTTGCATCGACCGTCGTCATAGGTCTCAAGACGACCACATTCCGAAGCGGTGCAAGGTCTCGAACGGTGATGGGAATAACATTTCATTCCGGTTAGTAACAAAGGCCGAAAGAGCGGCGAGCCGCGCTCGGTGCACCGCTTCGGTTTTTTCGCCTCTGCTCTGCCTCTCTGCGCTATCGGGCCGGCCGGCCGGCCGTTCTTTCGAACAATAACCGATTTAAAAATAACCATTCATGTAGATCTCGAAGGTCGAAGTGGCCATTATACACTAATCTCATCTCGGACAGTTATTGTATGTGCTCGACGATACGGTGCTATGTATTTATTTATTTTTCGCCTGTCCCTCGTCGAATTGTTTAAACAATACCATTGTGTTATGGTATGTATGTCTAATAAAGAGTGGTAATGTATACAGCGTTATCGAAATGATGACATAATTTTATTATATTATGCGCATACATTTATGGACTTATCATCAAAATTACTGATCTTCTAAACTTCTAAACTTAAATTGGAACGCCAATGGGAATTAGTTTAGCATCAATTGGATATTATCTAGCCTTAATTTGAAGATATTTAGCACCAAAATTGCTATTATTTAGCCCCACTTCGTTATAGTTGAGCACTAATTTGACGCAGTTTAGCTCCACTTCGATATTATTTAGCTCCAATTCATCATAATTCAGCACCAATATTGCTTTTATTTCGCTTTATTACGTTATAGTTTGGCACCAATATGATGCAATATTTAGCTCAAATTCAACATTATTTAGCTCCAATACGATGTTATTCACCCCAAATTCATCATAATCAGTCCCAATTTGTTCGAACATGTGGAAATAATCCCAATATTGACATTATTTAGCATTATTTAGACATTATTTAGCAACATTATTGAGCACAAATTCGACGTTATTTAACTCCAATCCAATTTTTTTGAGCTACAATTCAACATCATTTAGCTACAAAACCCAATTCGACGTTATTGAGCCACAAATCAACATTATTTAACACCAATGCAACATTATTTAGCTCCAAAATAAAATTATTTAGCTCCAATTCGGCGTTATTTAGCTCCAATTCAATTTTTTGAGCCACAATTCAACATTATTTAGCTACAAAAAAAACATTATGTAGCTCCAATTCGACGTTATTGAGCCCCAAATCAACATTATTTAGCCCCAATGCAACATTATTTAGCTCAAAACAACACATTATTCAGTCCCAAATTAACATTATTTAGCTCCAATTCGAAGTGATTCAGCAACAATTCAACATTATTTTAGCCCCAATTCATCATAATTTAGCCCTAATTCGAAGTTATACAGCCCTATAATATCGCTATTTAACCTGATGCTAACCTGTTATTCCCAGGGATATCATCATATTCGACCAAACAAAAACGAGTTCTAATAAAATAACTGGTATATTCTCTTGCAAATAAATAAAAAAAAAAAACATATAAAACAACAATAATTCAAACAGTCGCCGGTTGGGTGGGGTTCCACTTCAAGCAAGCCGGATCGACCTCCTTGAGCAAGGAGCCGCGCTTCTTCACCCTCTCCACGTACTCGTCGAGCACGTCCTGCTTCTTCAGGATGATGTGCTTGCCCTTCCAGTACTTCATCATGCCGAGCGCCTGCAGCGTCGACACGATGTCGTACGAGTGGATCGCCATCTCCTGGCTGATGTCCTTCACGGAGAGCGTGGTGCCGGCGCGCGAGCACAGGTACCCCAGCAGGACGTCCTTCCAGTAGGACCGGTACGAGATGAGCCCCAGGTCGCTGAGCGGCTTCTCCGGCGAGCCTATCTTGCCCTCCACTCTGGTCAGCAAGTAGCCTGAAAGAATCGATTTAGACCTTTCGAATGCGACCGGCCGGAATTCGTGTATCCTTGAAGAGTTTATCAGCTATACAACTACCTGCTTTATGGGATTTATAATTCATTTTTGGGGAACGTTAAAATCGAAAACGGTTTCGCCGAAACGATACGCTTAATTGTCGACCGAAAAATAACTGGAGACAATGCCGGCTATTGTTAATTTATGCCGGGGAATTTACCTAGAGAGACCACCGTCGCAACGGATTCCTGCGATTTTCGCACGATTATATTTTATGCGAGGCGATAAAAAAAATACGGAGACCGTCTACAACTTTGCATTCGTTCTCGGAATTAAAGTCTGCGGGTGTAAAATTAGCGCTGTATCAATTTTTCCGAGGAGCGCGGAATGGAAACGGGGGAAAGAATGGAGGATAGTCTCGCGCCCCGTGGGATTTATTAAAAGTAACGAAAAACTTATTCTGCTGTAATATTTAATTTGCCCGTCGCCGTTCGAGTGGAATTGGATTTTAGTTACAGTGGATGCGTCAATTGTATATGCTGTATTAGAATAACAACTCCTGCGAGATTGATACGAAATTCAGTAGAGCCATAAAAATTAATATTTTGTGTTGACCTTAGAGGTCTATAAACGATAATTTACACCCTCGATACATACACGTAACTACTAAAAATATACCAATTAAACAAAGTATGCGCGGAAAAATTCATCGTGATTCACGCGTCACCGTTTTGCATATCGACACGAACGAAAATGCCGATGAGAGGGACCGTTTTTCGATGCACATCGTACCGAGTGCGCTAAATAATAACAATAGAAGAAAAAAAAATAATAAAACCCACCACCCGACAAAATCGGAAGTGTAATTCCCGGTGCAAGGTGTGCTGGGTGTGGCGTCTAGCGTGACGTCACCCATTGACGACGGCGCCTCGACTGTAGTACGACGCCAGACGTCGCCTATCGATCCGTCGAGAGGTCAACAATCGCTCCTTTCGGTCCTCCCTTTTTGCACCAGATTCTGGGGCCGCGTATGTGCGATGCGTGCACGTGTGCACGTATACATCCACCATTATATTCTGATTCGGCATCATCATAATTTATATACTATCGAATTCGATTCATTTAAAGTACCGATTAAAGGGCTTGTATACTTCGTAAAAGGTGGTGTTAAACATTGAGGGAACGATGGAGGAAAGTTATACTCCGTTCGCTGATGTTATAAATGTTATTATGTTCAGATGTTATAAAATAATTGAGTACCTATACAGGGTGTTAATTAATTGAGTGCCGATACACCAGGATGTGAATCTTTGGGTGATTTTAAGAAGAAAAGTTTATATCAATATTTGTTCTAAATCTCTTAGTTTTCGAGCTACAGGGTGTTACAATAAAAAAACTCACTTTTCTATCATAATTTTCTTAGTAATAGTTACTAATAGTAGAAAATTAATTTTTTGTCACAAAAAAAAGTTTCCATGCATGGTGGGCGCCTACAAAATTTCAACAAAATATCAAAAACAGTCTCAAAATGAACTTTTGGGAAAATATTGTTTTGGTTTTTATTTTTTTTACGTGGAAATGGTGCGTCGTACGAAAGTAAACCTTTGGACCGAATTTACTCCAAAATAAATGAGAATTTTAAAAATAATTTTAGTTTTTAGAAAAAGTAGTGGCGTGCCATTTTTTCTTCAAACTTATCCAGTTCAAACCCCGTACGGACGTCACTGGTAAAAATTTTTAAAAATCTTTCGCCTCAAAAAATGCTTCTTAATAATTAAAAAGTGTGTACAAAATTTCATAAAAATATCTGATGGAGTAATAAGAAAATTATGATAGAAAACTTATTTTTTTTCTAAAACTGTAACACCCTGTAGCTCGATAACTAAAAGGTTTAGGACATATATTGATATAAACTTTTCTTCTTAAAATCATCCAAATATTCACATCCTAAAATATCATCACTAATTAACACCCTATATAGGTAATCGATGAAAGAAACTATCTATACTCCGTTCGCCATCAGTAATTTCTAATCACCAGATAAAGTGATTTAAAAACAACGCAGTCATCACGCTTCCGAGATATTAAATAGAGGTAATAAAATTAAACATAATTTTCATTGATATCTTGATAACTAGGTAATCAATAGTGCCTACTTCAAGAAGGTTTTGTGATTATCTCCCGATTACGAACGGAGTATAATTATTCATTTGAAACCCAAACAACTCCTCCCCTAAAGTATTTTACCACCGCCTAATATCGGAGTATAACCGATAATTAAAATGGACAGTAGCTCAAATGAACCGTTCCAAAAGGGGTTACTTGGCTGACCCCGCATTAATTCTTCTATCAAAAACAACCGATAATAATCAAACTATAGCGATCCCCCGAAACCCGAGGAACAAACCTTCGAAAACACCACATCTTAATCGATTCGAAAGAGCTTATACACAAGCATTTTTATCCAGTCGAATCTAATAAAATAAAAGTTAAGTTCCATGACCTGGCTAGACCGAAAATGGAATGGGGTAACTGTGATCTGCGTCGGGCCGGCCGGGCGCTGCTGACGCTGACATTCGCACTCGTTCCCTATCCCTATCCCTTTTGTCCCCATGTCTGTCTGGCTGCGCTCCACACACACACACCTACCTCTATTCGTTATTCGTTCCGTCTAGTCTAGTCCGCCCATCCCTATCCCTGCGTGTCCCCGTCCTTATGCCCGTCTGGGTCTCGGTTTAAAAAGGGGGGGTCTCGCCGCTTCCCTGCACCCCCGGGGGCTCGCGGGAGCTACCGGAATGCTAATGCCCGACGTCTTTTACAGTCTATTTAACGCCCGATGACGTTCGTTGTTAGTCGTTTGATTTATTCGAATGGGATGGGCGAGAGATTAATAAAAATTATTAGATGCGCAGTAGGAAGCCGCGCAGGTAGCGTCCGTTGATATTTATAGCGTGGTGTAAGTAAAGAGTAGATTATTGAATGTAATTTTATACTTACTAAAATCTATTAAAAGTCGACCGTATCCTTGTCGTTGGTACGGCGGTAACGTTAAAATGCACGAAACGTTGTAGTTCAAAAACGAATTTTTCTCCTGAAAAAAAAAAAAAACAGCGATATAAAAAAAAGTGAGTGAAATAAAACAGCCGAATCGAAAATTTATTTTAGTCATTAGTGATAGTCAGCCGTTCGAATGTACATGTATTTCAACGTACGGTATAAGGTGGAGTGGGCCCCCCTTTTCGAATGATTATGATCGTGTCAAGGGCTGGGTACGTTGACCTTCAAACATCCGAGACACCCGAAACAATAATAGCGACTGGTCGCGCTGTTGCCACGTCCTCACCCATGTCCCCATGTCACGGATTAATGCGAATCAATCAGATTTTTTCTTAATAATTAGCTGGTGTTTGTTGCTCATTTCTAAGTACTAGAAATTTGCTCGTTAAGGAAGGTGTTTTTGTAGGTATTCTAATAATGTATAAAAATTAGGGGTACCTAAATGGGTACTTATAATGAGGATAATTATTCGCCATCAGGAGATTGTAGTACACCATTATATGCTAAAGATAGCATAAAATTTCATAACTTTCAGACTTTTACCACTGTGTAATAGTTTATTTTACTTTATTACACTCTGTATACAGGGTGTGTAACAATAGAACACCTTTTGTAACACCAGAATAAGTGACCTAAGACAGTGCCAAGATATAGTAAAACCAAAAATCGCTTTCACTTATATCTGAATCTATAATTATAACAATTGTCAGGTATTTATCAAATTACTTGTTGATCCTCCTTCAAGAAGCTTCTACTACCATCCCTCGATGGCGAACGGACTATAATTATTCATCAGAAACCGAAGCGACACCTCGTATTTTCCTTAAACATTGGTTTTTTTTTTTGGTTGGATTTCGTCGGGAAAGAGGCGAGCCTCGCGAGGAGCCCGGCTAATGTCTGCGAAATATATTCCCGGGCCCATTCTTTCGCCCCGTCTAGACGGGACGCAAAAACCGATGCGATGGACGTGGAGAGACGGCGGAGAGGAATGGAGAATGGAGGATGGGGGAGAGAAAACGGGTGGCGAATCGAAGACATCGGGCGCGGAGAGGAGGCACACGGTTTTCCGAGCGCGATACGCTCCGAAGGAAAACACAACCGTTTTTCCCGAGGAATCGTGGCCGTTTTACGAATTTAAGGGCTCGAATCGGTCGATTTTGTACGGGTTTTAAGCGTGGAGGATTGATTTTCCGTCGATCTGTGGTAAATAATTATGAAAACCATCCTGTCTCAATGTTATCCACCACACTCCACCATTAGTACTACTTTTTGAAACCTTCCAAGCCTCTCCATTACCTTCAACAAACCTCTCCATTTACCTTACTAAAATATCCAACGGTATGACACCCTTCGTTATCCACCAAAGTCATCACGTAGAACAAAAACGGCTCGACGTCGTAGTACAGAGTCTTGTGATCGAGGAAGAACTTGGCCAGCAGACAGAGGTTCTGGCAGTACTGCTTGTACCGCTTACCGTCCACCTCCCACACCGATATCCTGTCCTTGCGGTAGACCTCTTCGCCGGGCGGGTGCCTCCACACGCACTTCACCACGTGCCGGTGCAGTATGGTCTGCGACTTCATGTATCGCAGACAGTACTCGCATATGTACAGCTTCGGCAGGCGCGCGTAGTCGTCCGGATAGGGGCTCTGGTACCACACCTCCATTTCGAACTTCCCCATTTCAATGTATTTAGTACCTGCGGTATCAATCGATTAGCTACACTAAACGGCTGCATAACTCGAATCACCTTTAGTCCCAGGAAGGTTCTTCAAATCGTTCTCGATCGTCTCGCTGGATAGCGCTTGGGCGTCCTGGAACAGCTTCAGATCGTACTCGGGCACGAAGTTGCTCAAATCCGGCTCGGTCGTACGATTGCCGATCGGCTTGATGTCCTCGATCAGCTCGGCCTTGAATTTCGCCCGGAAGTCGCGCACGCGCTCCAGGTACTGCTTCTGGTCGTGCGTGACGTGCGGCCGGGGCGTCTTCTTGTGGAACTCGAGCGCCTTGCGTCTGAACTCGTCGCGCTTCTTGCGTTCATCGAGCAGCCGCTTGCACTCGTCGATGGCGAGATTGTGGTAGGCCGGGCAGGCCTCGAGCGTGAAGTGCTTGTCGTACTTGCCGCTGACGTGGCCACGGCTGTCGCAGTTCTCCAGCGGGCACGAGCGCTCCTCCTCTAATTGGGATTCGTTGGTTTTCTTGCGGCCTTCGTTGCGCTTCTTCGTTTTACCCTTGGCCGAGGCCGCGTGGCTTTTCTTAGCCGGAGACCTGGATAGGGATCTCTTCGTGCTCTCTGTATCAGAATCGGTGTCTGAGTAGACGTTTTTGCCGAGGACGTGCTTGGATTTTCTGGCGTTGGCTGATCTAGTGAGTTTTCTCATGGTTACTTGGCCCTTGGCGGGCGTGTGGGAGTCGTTTTCCGAGTCGCTATTGGCCCCTTCTTTGTGCACCACCGAAGGTTTCTTCACAGGTTTCTTGGTGGTCTTCCTATTGGCTTGTTCGGAGGATTCCGCACTGCTTTCGCTATCCGAACTACTGCTCGAACCTGATCCGGACGAGGCCGAACTAGCGGATGATACTAAAACGAAAAGAAAATTGAGTAATCGTGTGAATTACACTAAGTAGATAGTTACCGATTTCTTTTTTAGGGACGATTTTAGGTTCGATTTTCTCGGCTTTTACTTTTTCTACAATCCTAGCTTTCGCTCGGGGCTCGGCTTTGGCCTTGCAGTAGACTTCTTTGTGGATTTTTTCTTTGATCGAATCGGATTCCGAGCTGTTTTCGGGCGAGAATATGCTCTTCTTTTTGTTGGCGTCCGAGTTTTTGGTGTTCGATTTCTTGGGGGGCTCCTTGCCTCGAACAGGAGCCGCCTTGACGTCTCTTTTATTAGCCTTCGCTGAGTTAGCGGCCGATTTAGCCAAGGCTCTCGAGGGGGTTTTTTGAGAGGGTACCGCCGTGGCGCTGCTCTTGGGTTTGACGTTGCTCTTCCGCTTGATCGACTTCTTAACGTCCTCGTCGTCTTCGCTGGATAATGCTTTGGCGGCCGGTTTGTTAGATTTTTGGGCGGGTTGCGGTTTGCTTTTGGCCGGGGCCTTCGCGTCCGTGGATTTGCTAACGTCGGAAGCTTTCCGGACTTGTTTTGGCGCCGGGGCTTTCTTGTTGTTGTCTAAATCGGATTGTCGCTTGTTGGACTCCTGGGAGCTCGACGAATCCGAATCGCTCGAAGAGGAGGAATCCGAACCGCTCGAAGAGGAACTCGAGCTGGACGAGTCCGATGTCGATCCGGAACTCGTGTCTGACGAGGTTGTACTCTAAAAAAGCGAGTAAAAGTGAAATATTGTAGCGGAATTGATTGAATTTAAATACCTTCTTTCGATTAGCCATTGTTTTTGTTTTGAAAATAGGTTATGTTTGGTTAATTGACTTGACATCTGTCATTTACGTTTATTAAATTGTGCCTTTAGTGAGTGAGTTATACAAGCAACCGAAAATGTCATTTACACCGCCATCTATTGTGAGTGAGATGTGATAAATATTTTAGGCATATTTTAGCGAATTACAAATTTGCTACTTTTTTTTTCGTTTTCAGATAATTTGTAATCAATAATTGCATTTACTAAATATTTTAAGAGGGGCGTTGAGCACTTCAACAGTCGTACCAATCGCCCCTAGAATCTAGTAATTTTTCGTAGTTTCATTAATTGAACCAGATGGCGTTAGCTGTCTCAAAATTAAATTTTTAGCCAGGTTTTTAACCAGTGATATTTCAGAAAATGTTCTAACAGGTGGCGCAAGTGCAGTGAATCTAAGAGACTATTTTCAAAGTAAATGTATTGTTATCGTCGCATTGTAAATAAAGTAAATTTGCATAAGCAGGTAGCCGTTTATGATTGTCCGTCTAATCGTTTTCGACCCCTAACACTCTGGCGAATATTCTCTCTATTTTCGTAGCGGCGAAAATGCATTTTTGCTTTTAGAATTTGCAAATTTCATTTTTGATATACATACGTATAGGTATATTAATTTGCAAATTTTATTTCAAATATCAATGACTATATAAATATTATATAGTTTATTAGTTAATTATATTTCAATTTCTTATTGCAAACTTTGTAAACTATAATATATGTAAATTTGAAACATTTTATTAATTAATTTTTATAATTAATTACAAAGATACATTAATAATAGACGTACAATCATTGCTAGAAAGACCAGTCTTTGTCGAGTGGTACCTATATTACAATGGTATTAGGTAAAAATCACTAAACATTTTTTATCACTAAAAATCATGTAATTATGATATAGTGTTCATTAAAATACAGGGTGTCCCAATGAAAAGTAGCTCCTTTAGTGAGCTAATATTACAATGGTATTAGGTAAAAATCACTAAACATTTTTTATCACTAAAAATCATGTAATTATGATATAGTGTTCATTAAAATACAGGGTGTCCCAATGAAAAGTAGCTCCTTTAGTGAGCTAATATTTTTTAAACGCCTAATGATGATAAAACATGCGGTTTTGACAAATATATTATTTATTTTTCTATAACTTTTTGTTGCAGTGAGACAAAAATTTTGTATCGCCTGCACAGGATGTTTCATAAAAAAAACCCTCTTTTAAATTCGCAATAACTAAATTTTATGAAATAGGACGTCTTCTTTTGTAGAATAATATCTACAAATAATATATTTTTGAAAAGTAGAAGAGTGTATCTTTTAAAATACCTCTGTATATACGGGATGTTCCATTTAAATTAATTTGGTTACTGTGAATTTAAAAGAGGAGGTTTTGATAAAACACCATGTATTGTTAATGCATAATTTCTGTATCACTGTAACAAAACTTATAATAAAATAAAACATATTTGAGAAAACCGCATGTTTTTATGATTAGGCGTTTAAAAATTATTAGCTAATTAAAGGGGGTACTTTTTATTGGAACACCCTGTATTGTATTGTATACCTATGTAATATTGTAAAAGTACGTGCAGGCGACAAAATGGGAGATGCGATTCTACGATCGAATATATTGATAAATACCCGATACAATAAGTACTCCGAACACACACTCCGATAATGACAATGCCTCTGATGAAATTGTAAGGCCCGGTTGCTCATACGCGGATCAATTATGATTAAGCCGAGATTAAATCGGGATCAAATATGGCCGCCCTTTTCCAGGGCTAACTATTGATCCGACTTTGATTCGAGATCAGTTGATACGACTTTGATCCGCATACGAGCAACTGGGCCTAAATGAAATAGTTCTAGTACAGCCACTCTGGGTCGTAGAACTTAGGTGGGGACCTGTGCAGGACTATTTTCAAGCATAGATTTAATCAACAACCTGCCCTATGGGATGCCCGATGCAACAATAAGTACTCCGAACACACACTCCGAAAATGACAATGGCACTGATGAATTTGTAAGTGAAATAGTTCTACTACAGCCACTCTGGGGTCGTAGGACTTGGGTGGGGACCTGTGCAGGACCATTTTCAAGTATAGATTTGATCATCAACCTGCCCTATGAGATACCCGATAAAACATTACATTCCAAAGATAGAAGAGAAGAAAAGTGGACCGATGAAACTTGTATATCAACTTGTATATCAACTTGTATATCAAAATTGTTAAAGTAGTATTAAAATAAACATATTTACACAAATGAAATGTTTGAATTCTTTTCCTTACAGGTACAACAAGTTTAGCATGATAGTTGAATTAAACGTAAGTCATATCATATCTAATAATTGATAAGTGTAAAGTTGGAAAAGAAAAAATACAATACTAAATTTGTATGCCAATGATGAATATGAAAAATATACCTAATAGTGCACGCTGTGATAAATTTTGATTTCATTCTAGTCTTCAATCAATCTTCGAATATTGTTTTACAAAATAATTAATAAATGCATGATATCCAAATATAATAACGTATCTTCATAATTAATTATTGTTTGTATATTGCAATTTCAATTGCAACTACAAAGTAATAACTCGATAAAGTATAATATAACAAATGTAAATATGGTAACGTAAATATAACCTAAAAATCACATTGACATCTTGTCATATGTCATGTCATTCACGTCAATTTCTTTATTTTGTTGGCAACAATGACACTTACAATAAATTTTCACTTGAATTTCCTCAATTCTCCTAAATTTGTTTATTATAATAAAAACAGTGTGCTTTGTGAAGTGCATATATATCGTATATTCATAATTAAACCTTATTTCATGCTTCTAGAGCTCATATTTACTTGAGCGTATGCAACCCACATTACATAGATATCATTTTCGCTATTCCCTAGCGGCAATTCGCTGAAGTTTTTTCCAAAATTCAGATTTTACTGCATACAAATCTCAAAAAATATAAAGAATTTCGTTACCAAATTTTCACAATACGTTTCTATTACCCATAGCTAGGCCATAAAGGAGTTTGGTATTCGTCCGTTAGAAAAAAAAACTGAAAAATGTCTACCTTCAAATGCTTGTAATTTCGTTATTTATGCATAGATCTGTAAAAAAAACCTTTATGACCTACACGAAGGTTCACTCTATCAGCTGCGATTCATATTATATCTCAAAATTAAGTAAAAATTGAGATTTGTATGCAGTAAAATCATGCTTATTTTCATTGCTGCCAACTGAAATTGGGTTACCAAAACTCAACGCCCCTCTTAATATTTGTACCGCATCATATTTGTATTGTATCACAGCCAGCTCTCAAAGTACTCGAAATATTTAGCTCGAACAATAATCTGTACAATTTAAATTTGAATAAAATTTGCGATAACCTCTTTTTTTAAGAAGCGTAATTAATTTCGCATCGCGAATTGGGTAAAAGTCGAGTAATTTTGAAAATTTCGAAAAACTGGGTGGGTAAGCCACAACAAAAAGATTCACGGATTGTCCATTGAACAGCTTACTCGATTTCCGACATGACATGAAAGAGAGACGGCGATATACGGATGCTATGGAAACGACAAAGATGTTACTTTTGCCAGATGTTAAAAAGGTTGAGGTTTATGAAAAGTTAAAGTTTGGTGCGAGAGTTTCAGTACTGAAGTAAATGTTCTTTATTTGATAGAAAACCACCACTGTAGAATTAATAGTAATTTTTTTGTAAATTCGAAGGCTAAATGCGTACCCGTGAATTCTGAATTAGATTAAGACTAGTCGATTTATAAGTTAAAATGGCGATTTGAAGAGTGGAATATATGAAGGTGGATATATGAAATTTCTCTGCGTTCGGATCCGTCACGATGGAAGATAATTCTCTAAACATGCAAAACGGCGGGCAAATGGGCCCCCAGGGTGGTTCGGTCGGCAACAACAAACAAAACGACGAGATCAACCCGAAGTCCCAATATTCCATACCGGGCATCTTACATTTTATCCAACACGAATGGGCCAGGTTCGAATTGGAGAGGTCCCAATGGGAGGTCGATAGGGCCGAATTACAAGTAAGCTATTCATTTTTACTTCATTTCTAATGCATTTTTACTTCACAAAATGTCTCGGGACAGTCCAGTTTACAATTAACATCGATGCTTTTTCCTCTAAAGTAAATAAATAATACTCAATTTCGCTGTGTTTTAAGCATGATAATAAATATTAAACTCCGCTATATCGTGAAGTTGTCAAAATAGAAAAATATTAGCCTTTAAATGAAAATTTCTGGTTGTTTTAGTAGCAATTTAAAAAAATATTACAGGCATCGAATAATACGTTTTTATTCAAATCAATGCGAAGAATTTCAACGTACTCATTCCAATTTAACTTTATATATTATTACTTCTATTATTTCTGCTATTAAATCATCGAATCCGAAAATTTTCAACGTTTATCGATGAAATCGTACGATTAGAATTGCATAAGTTATATCTAACAAGCAACGCATTTTTACGGTTGAGTTCTCCAGCACAAGTTTCACTGTGTGGAAACTTTCATTACGCCAGAAATCCTTTGTGACTATTACTTATTACCGCAACTAATTGTTTTATATTCGATTCGTACATTTTATGAGCAATCCACCAGTTATTTAGCGGTTCGGTTAAGTTCTAAACTTAAAATTCGAATTGTTCCAGGCTCGAATCGCGTTCCTGCAGGGCGAGCGAAAGGGCCAGGAGAACCTCAAGAACGACCTGGTGAGGCGCATCAAAATGCTCGAATACGCCTTGAAACAAGAACGCGCCAAATTCCACAAGCTGAAATACGGCACAGAACTGCAACAAGGTAAATAACAATTATTCGTACAACTCTCTAGAAACCCATCGATTAACCCCGTTCGATTTCCAGGTGATATGAAACCGCCTGTGATAGACGAATCGAGCGAATCTCAATTGGACAGCGACCAATCGTTCGTGTCCGTGTCGAATTCCACGTGGAAGCAGGGCAGGCAGCTGCTGCGCCAGTACCTGCAGGAGATCGGCTACACGGACCGCATCATCGACGTCAGATCGACGCGCGTCCGCGCCCTCTTGGGCCTCAACAACAACAACGCCGATCAGGAGGACAACCAGAACGGCGGCGGCCTCAACGCCAACGAGTCCAACAAACGGGCCAGCGAAACGCAAGGTATGAGAGCTCTACGATGAGCCAATTTATGATTTTAATCGCGGTTCGTTTCGCAGGGAGAAGGACTCCGGCCAAGAAGGCCCAGCCGAGTTCGCTCGCGGAAGCCATGATGTTGGACACGGAGGCGGCCGTGATGGCGAATTTGGAGTTTTTATCGAACACCGACGTCGATATGGACGACGACGACGACATGAACGACGACGCCGATATCGAGCCGGGCGACGAGATCGAGGACGACGTGAAAATGGGAAAGAAAGGTCCGGTTTGTTGCTTTATCGAATACCTATAAATCCGAATTCGCTCGAATAAAATGTAATGTGATTTTTATAGATAAAATGGATAATGATTTAGGTTTAGGAGACGACGTCGACGCGATAGCCTTAGAAGTGTTCAACGAACTCAATAGACTCTCCGAAGCCGAAAAGAAGCAGGACATTAAAACCGAACAAGGTGCGAATCGTACATATAATTCGCGTAGAATCGTACTATTTAAGATATTTCTTTTAGGAAAGAGAGCCATAGGAATAAACGATGAAGATAACGTGGATTCCTCGTTGGGACTCGGCGAGTTGGCTCAGCTTACCGTTAACAACGATGCTGAGTCTACCTATGATATTGCTAGTAGTAAGGTAAATACCCCAACCTCAATCAATCGTTTAAACTTTAAAGAGCAGAACAGAGTAGACCAGAGTAGACTATGGTAGAGTAGAATAGATTCAAAATATAGTAGATTCGGTCTAGAGTCGATTGAGAGTAGACTAGGCTAGTGTAGAGTAGATTCAGATTAGCGCAACTTAAAGCAGACCAGAGTAGACTAGAACATATTAGAGCCGACTAAACCAGTCTAGAGCAGATTGGAGCAAACTAGAGCACTTTACAGCACACTATAGCAGACTAGAGCACACTAGAGTGTACTGGAGTAGCTAGATTTTAACTCTAATCAATCGTTTAAACATTAAAGAGCAGAACAGAGTAAAGTACAGTACAGCAGAGTGGAGTAGAGTAGAATAGGGTAAGGTACAGTGAAGTAGAATAGATTCAGAGTAGAGTAGAGTCAGACTATAGTAGATTAAAACAGACTACAATAGAGTGGAGCAGACTAATGTAGCTTAGAGCAGATCAGAGCAGATCAGAGCAGATTAGAACATATTAGAACCGACTAAAGGCACACTATAGCAGATTGGAGCACACTAGAGCCGAGTAGAGTACACTAGAGTAGCTAGATATTAACACTAATCAATTGTTTAAACTTTAAAGAGCAGAATAGAGTAGTGACTCTCTAACTTGGTAGTTGTACAACTCGTTTAAGTTAAAGAGACCCTTTTAAGTGATCGATTCAAAATTGTTTATCTCGTTACTGTAACGATTTTGTAATTTACAGGAGGCATTTAGGAAGACGTGGAACGCTAAATATACGTTACGCAGTCATTTCGACGCCGTACGAGCGCTCGCCTTCCATCCGACCGAGCCCGTTTTAATAACGGCCAGCGAAGATCACACGTTGAAATTGTGGAACCTGCAAAAGACCGTTCCCGCTAAGAAAAGCGCCTCGCTCGATGTGGAGCCTTTGTATACATTTAGAAGTCATACCGGTGAGTTTGGTTTTGCCGATGGGATTCAAGTCTGGCTAGCTATCCAGACTCATCTCTAATCACTACCTAGAATAACTCGATTGAGTTCTCGAATGTGGGAATGTGTGGGAAAAAAGTTCAAAATATTAGAGCTTCCAAACCTTAATTGTTTAGTATAAAGAGGATATAAGAACGAGTTGGAAATATTTTCATTAAATACTTGTACACATCTGTTGTATGATACTTCTGTTGTATTAAATTGTATGTTTGTTTTTTGTAGGTCCAGTGCTGTGCTTGGCCATATCGGGTACGGGCGAGCATTGTTACTCGGGCGGATTAGACGGCATAATAAATTGTTGGAACGTGCCGAATTCGAATATCGATCCGTACGATCTGTACGAACCGGACATATTGAACGCGAATTTGCACGGCCATTCGGACGCCGTATGGGGATTGGCCGTGCTCAATTCCAAGCAGTATTTGCTGTCCTGTTCGGCCGATAAAACGGTGAAATTGTGGGCGCCACACGCTAAAGTAATTTGATTTGTATATACTGGGTATTAATTAATTGGGTGCTGATATTTCAGGATGTGAATGTTTGGAGGATTTTAGGAAGAAAAGTTTATATCGATATGTGTCCTAAACCTCTTAGTTTTCGATCTACAGGGTGTTACAGTTTTAGAAAAAAATTATCTTTTCTATCGTAATTTTCTTATTACTCCAGATATTTTTATGAAATTTTGTATACACTTTTAATTATTAAGGAGCACTTTTTGAGGCAAAAGATTTTTTAAAATTTTTACCAGTGACGTCCGTACGGGGTTTGAATTGATTATGTTTGAAGAAAAAAATGGTACGCCACTGCTTTTTCTAAAAACTAAAATTATTTTTAAAATCCTCATTTATTTTGGAGCAAATTCGGTCCGAAGGTTTACTTTCGTACGACGCACCATTTTCAGCTAATTTTTTTCTAAAACTGTAACACCCAGTAGCTCGAAAACTAAGAGGTTAGGACATACATTGATATAAACTTTTCTTCTTAAAATCACCCAAATATTCACATCCTGCAGTATCGACACTCAATTATTTAACGCCCATGTATATTTCGATTTATCAAGAACCTAATCGAACTAATCGTTTTTTTTTTTGTATTTGTAGCAACAACTTCTCTCTACGTACGTTTCGGAACAGGACGGCATACCTTCCAGCGTGGACTTCGTCAGAGACGAACCGAACCGCATCGTGGCGTCCTATTTTAGTCTAAATTGTGTTATATTCGATACGGAAACGGGTAAACCGGTGGCGCGTTTGGAATCGACCGCCGCCGATGGCGTCAACAGCACCGCCAGGCAGATCAACAAGATCGTCTGCCATCCGACGTTGCCTTTGACGATTACCGCCCACGAGGATAGGCATATTCGATTTTGGGACAACCACACCGGCAAAATGGTCCATTCGATGGTCGCCCATTTGGACGCCGTTACCAGCTTGGCCGTCGATCCCAACGGGTTGTACCTTCTTTCCGGTGAGTCCAGACGTTTCGTTTAGTTTTTTTTTTTGTGTTGCACGGAACGTGTAGTTCTGGTGGTACTATATTTTGACGTTAAAAACTTTAGATTCGTGTATTCAGCACTCTTTTAAAGCAAAACAGTCGTTTGATTCTTTGACTTGACAGTTTTACATTGTTGTTATTGGAGTAACTAAGGAGATTCATTCGATTTAATAGATTTACATTATTGTTATGGAGTAACTAGGGACATTGCTTACGTTATTTATAATTTAATACTCTATTTAAGTACCATTTAAAAGACAATTTAAATGATTGATTATAGAAAGGAACGTGTACCACAAACGTCATTTTCATGATACAGTATTTTGACAATAATGACATATTGTTTATTTGTGATACATAGAACATATCAAACGTCATTCTGACGGAACAGTATTTTGACGTGTAGTGGCGCATATATGTCATTTTGATGGTACAGTATTTTAAAAATAATGACGTTTTTTTAGGTTCACATGATTGTTCGATAAGATTGTGGCATTTGGATAACAAGACGTGCGTGCAAGAGATAACGGCTCATCGTAAGAAATTCGATGAGAGCATTTTGGATGTCGCTTTCCATCCGTCGAGACCCTACATAGCTAGCGCAGGCGCCGATGGTTTGGCCAAAGTGTTTGTGTAATAATACCATTGAATAAAAAAAAAGAATGTGTATTTGTGTAAAAACTCTTATATAGAACTTCTTCGTATTATAAGAACGTTACAGAAAAGTGATTTATTATTTAATTTTGTCGTCTTTTTGCTTTTTATATTTTGTAGGTTAGGTGTACATATACCACGATTTTTAATGTTTTGTATATACATTCTCTAGATCACTTGCATATTATTATCTGTAATCGTTTGTAAATAAGTTTATTTATTCAATGCTAACGGTTTTATTATTATTTTTTATTTGGTTTCTAATTAAATTTCTCCAAGATTAACCAGTGATTATAACAGAAAATGGTTGTATTATTCGTTCGTACGATTTAATGATGGTGCTATTTAAATAATAATTAACATCAACTTTTTTAATTTCGATACTATATAAAATTTTCAGAAGGGTTTTCTTCTCGATTAAAGTCCGATTAGTTGACTTTGAGTCATTTACTCGGTTTTATCAAACCAGAAGGCCGCCCTTTGTACATAAATACAAATAATATTTTTAAAATATACACGTAAGACCCTTAAAATAGTTTGATGAAACGTTTAGCATAACTTTGAACAAATACTACAACTATAAACGATTTGACTGACACATTTTTATTCTTATTTTTCTTTTATTTTTTCGCTTTTTTTACGCAATAAGTAAAATATACACGCTATAAAATTCCATTTGCGATAATCGATTTTTATCAGTAAATAGTTTGTGTGTCGAAGTAGATGAAAATTTGTGAAACACGTCAATATAACATATACCTAACATTTAGATATGTATATAAAATTTCATTATCGGCAGTTGGATTGATTTGATTGATCACTTTTTTGTGTACATTAAATTTGTCCTACCGAATCCTGATAAGACAAAAAAAAAAACCGTACAGGATGTCCCGAAAAGATTGGTCGTAAAATAAATCGCCTATATTATTACATTTTAAACTTACCCTGTAACTTTTTTGTATTTACGAGGGATATGTGATATATTTTAAGACCAATCTTATCGGGACACCCTGTATATCGCATATTGAATGTAATTGTAATGAAATACAGCGGGTTGCAGGACCTTTAGTCATTAAAGTTTTAAAAGTACCTATTGATTGTATCTACTATCCTTCTAATTTCCGAGCTCTTGTTTAAACGGGGGAATTTAAAATATCGACAAGCTTTGGAGAGACTACACGAATCATTTTTTTTTGTAAAAAAAGTTAGTTTAGGAAAATATTTTAACCTTGTATTATTTGAAACAAATTGTGTATTTATAAGTATCAATGCTAACGCGGGTTTAAATGAAATAATATTCGCGTATTTAAGCATACAAATCGATCTTGTTTTTGTAATTAATCCTAGTATTTTACAATTGTGGTAAACCTCGTAGAATTCCTTAAAATTTTCATTTCGGAAATGCGCATTACATTTTCCAAAATTACTCTCACGGCCTCCTGAATGCTTTTCCACTGTGTGTTAAAAATTAATTTTCAACTCTACTATTTATTTCAATGAGGTCTCGAATATATTTTTCACACTAACTGAAACGTTACCCATCATGGTTCTACATTAAATTTAATATTTTAAGATACCCTACCCTACACATCATAAAATTGATAATTATAATCTCGAATTATTACATTACTTTAAAACTAGCCTTTAAACGTTGTACATATTATTTTGATAACTTGATGATGTAAATACTCGGACATGTTGATCTTCGATTAGTCGACATTTTTGTTCACTTAAAGTAGGACAAATCAATCTCACGTCTAAAAATAAACTCCAGGAAAGTCTGTCTCGATTCCTCTACTTTAACTATTGTTAAAATTCATTTTATAAATATATTTTTTGTAATTAAAAAGAAATCGACTGTTTTTGTTTAAATTGTTATAGCGTATTTTCTAGCGAGTATAGTATAGTTATAAAATTATTAGCTGATGAAACAATTAGGCAGTAGTAACTGATAATAATTGTGAGTGTAAAAAAATGTGTATTTAAAATATTATTCCAACTTCTTTATATTTAAATGAAAACATAAGGAAATCGGGATGACCCATTTATTATAAAAATTTTCGAATATTTACGCCCGAGAAGTATTAATAATTTTTTGTTCGAAAGAATGGGACATCCTCTATTACGTGCGTAGCATTTTTCGTTATAAATGAAGATTTTTCAGTTGTAATCCGCATCTGAACCTACCTACTTCTAATTTAAATAAAGCAATCTGTTGATCGGATGTTTCTTTTATTACATTTATTAATATTTTACAAAACACATACCTTATATCCCACGTTGAGACCTCACATAAAATACTCTCTTTCAATACACACAAGTGCAAAGGATTATGCATTTAATCAATAAGAGCAATAAAGAAACAAACTGGTATATTTTATTAAACACACTCATCTACAAGACACCTCGTTCTACAAACTTTTTCATAATAATACGATGAGTTTTTCCTCGTCCTAGTCCGATTCGGATCGTTAAAATCAACTTGCACCAAACCGAACCGTTCCCTACGAAAAATAACTAGTAAGTTACCCACAATAAACCCACAATTTACCCGATTTTCTTACGTGTAACCCGCATTCCATTCGAAATTATCTATCAAAGTCCAAACAACGTAACCAATGACATCCACACCTTCTTCCATCGCTTCCCTGATGTTACTCAAGTAATCCTATGCACGATTAATTTGTAGACAATTAGCATAATTTATTATACCAAATCTCACCCTTAAATAATTAACTCGAATCGGATCGTCCAGCCTTCCATCAGAATCCGAGTAACCGTTCTCGCTAACCAGTATTTGGGGTTTATCGTACTCGTTATACAACCAAACCAGCAGCTTTTTTATACCCCAAGGCGTCACCTGCGCAAATAAATCCCACTTTAGAAACCCCAAAAAAGCCTATGAAGGTACCCACTTTGAGCCAAGAGGACGCCGCGCCCTGCCATTCGGGCCTCTGGTACTCGAACACCCCCACGTCCGACTCGATGGTGGGCTCCCCGAAGGGCGGCTCGGCTTCCGCCCTGATAATGGAGGTGGTGTACGTGTTGGCCGAGAAGAAGTCGCTGGTGCCTCTGATGAACTCGATCTCCTCCTCGGTGAACTCCGGCAGCCGCGATTTCTCGAAGCCCTCGCCTCGGCTCCTCATCGCTATCCGTCTCTTCATCACCTCCGGCCAGTCGCCTTTGTAGATCGGATGCCCGAAGAAACCCCACTTAATAATGCGATAGTTTAATGCAAATCTCCGATGAAGCTTGCTGGCTTACCGAAAATTGAAGTTTGGTATTCGCCGCTTCGATATCAGCCGTGCTGTTGGTCTCAGGCTCGTACCAGTTGAGGTTCAGCGGTATGGATACAGCGCCTAAGAGTTACTGTTGAATAGACGAAGATGTGGCGGTTTGTGCGGTACTTACCGGCTTGCTTGGCGCGGTACTCGCGGTCGTACAGGTGCCAAATGCTGGCGTGGATCTTCAGCAGGTTCTTGGAGCACTCGTAGGCTTTGACCACGCCGTCCCAAATGCACGTTTCGTAGGGTTCGTTGATGGTGAACCAGATCTTCACGTCGTCGCCGTACAAGTCGAAGAGCACGCGGGCGTAGTCGGTGAGCCATTGGACGGAGCTGGCGTTGTAGAAGCCGCCCAGGTCGCCCAGGCTCTGGGGCATGTCGCCGTGGTAAATGGTCACCATCGGCTCGATGTTGTTGGCTTTGAGTTCTTTGATGAATTTCCTGTAGTGGTCCACTCCTAGTTGGTTGATGGTGTCGTTGAAGCCTGTAATAAGGTGTGGTTGTGGAAGAGTTGGCGGGTGGATTGGTGGGCTGGTTACCGTTTGGTAGTATCCTCGGCCATGATATGGAGAATCTGTAGTGGGTTACGCCGATTTGCGCTAGTAAGGCTATGTCTTCTTTGTATTTGTGGTAGGAATCGCAGCTGATGTCTGCTGTTTGGTTGTCTCTGATTACTGATGGTATTTGGTGGTTTTTTGTGTCCCATACGCTTGGCGTTTTGCCATCCTCGTTCCAAGCGCCTAAAAATTGATATAGTATTTTTTCTCTGCAATATTTTTGTATCTATGTACCTTCTATTTGGAAAGCAGCAGTGGCGCAACCGAACATGAAATTTTTCGGAAATCTGGAGTTACTTGTGGCCACACTAAAAGTAATATATGATTACTAGTCGATTGAATAATTGATTGTATGCCTGATTGTAGGTATGATGCTCGGCGGACTTATCACTCACGCTGAATTCTCGTTCCTTTTCTAGTACACCCCTACACTAATATCGATAGTAAAGGAGCGAGAGTTCGGGGTGAGCGATAGGTCCTTTCTAAAAAGAATTACAATAGATCTTACCAAGTTTCTATAAAAATTAACAGCAATAATTTTCGGTACAACATTTTTGATATGTTGTCGTCAATATGCAATAAAGGTTTTGCTTAGGTAGGTACTTATTACAATAAATTGTTATATGAGTTGATTTTTATCAATTAAAAACATTGATAAACGTTAAAAAACACTTGAATTTGATAACGAATTTTAATTGTTTGTAAATATCATTTTTTTTTATTTTCTAAGTGTGCCTAAATTTAAAATAAGTAGGTACTTCAATTAGATAAATTACTGTTGCCATAGATATATAATTTTAACAAATATGCAATACCTAATACCAAACTATTTAGGTGATTGCTATGTTAATAATAATAATTAATCTATTAAATTCCTTAAAGAGCAAACTTAGGAATATTTGAAATTTTTCCGACAATATTTAAGGAAAATATGTCGAAAATTATCAGTAGATCTCTCTCCAGCGTATTACGATATCGGCATTTAATTCCGCTTTAATTGGTTTGAAATAACGTCCAAATTGAGGTATTCAATTAGTAACATCTTTATAGTGCCCGATCATTAATTACGCGTATTTAAGCGCATTCCGAATGAAACGCGGCACCTAAATTTGTCTTTTAATTATCGTAGAAAGCGATAACGATTAGAAGAGCGGTTTTAATTCGACGATGAGTTTTCTGTCCGAGCGAGGATAATTGTTTTATAACAACCCGGACATTTTCGCTTTTCGCGCGTCCAACTGTCGTTTTCTCATTATTCTCATTCACCCGGAATTTAATTAGGAATCTGAAATTTCAAAACTAACAGACACCTTTCCACTCATGCGTGCCAAACGGTACGATAGATCCATGTTTATTAGTATTGTTAGAATAATCACGGTGATTTAACATGTTACTCCGGGCACAATTTAAACAAGGAACCTTGTACTCAAAATGCCGTTAATTCCGCACATTTCTGCGAAACTCCAATAATTATATCTAATTTCGCTGTGCGAGATAAGCGATCTTTGTTCGTTATTCTTCGGAAAATTTCAAAAAATTAATTATGTTTCTATATACCTGGCGTGTACAGGGTGTAGAATAAAGCTTGTAGTATTGCGGGATTCCGTTATAAAATTAACTTTTCGAGATACTTGTGCATTGTATTGTTTCTGGTTCTGAGAGATTGCATAAAAAATTACGTTCGAATTGTTTGGACATCGAGCGAATCGTGACTGGAAGGCCGAATAGGAAGAGTTACAGTAAGATGAAGAAAGTGTTATCAATCCATTATAGTCCATCTACAATAAAGTATTTAGTAGAAGTAGCTCTTGAAAATTATACGTATGGAAGGTACAAATTAACGTGGCAGTGACGTCACGAGTTGATATATTGAAATATATATAGATTATAGAACTGAAAAAAAAATTAACAATCGTTGAATTTTACCGGTGAATGAGTTTACGTTTTGTCGTAAAATAAACGACTTCTACTCTAAATTAATGACGATCCATAACCACAAATTCTGATAAGTCGCTGATTCGAAAACACGATTGCTGCATTATTCATTGACTATCGTGTGCTTCATTTACTACCAGAAACACATTGCATTATTTATTCAAACATGCACGTTATATACCCATCTGTGTTTCCTCCATTGATTACAACCGGATCGAAAAAATCGACCTGTTTGGAGGAGCACCTTCGTTTTAATTCAACACATTTTACACCGGGTAAAATTGGTAGAGTGTACAGAGCAAAACTTACGCAACGACTTCGTGACCTATGACATCACATAATAGAGATTAACTGAAATAAATAGTACGGGAAATTTCCTCATCCTCGAGCGAGCAAAGTGCCGTTGGATCACGACTGAAGCTGATAAGAGAAATCGAAGTGGAAAAGGAGATTCCTTCTCCGCAATTTACGGTTATTGTTGCATTGTTATCCGCGCCAACATTAGTGATTTATGTTCGAATATTTGACTAACCCTTTAATGGATTTTAGGACATATTCATTGACAATTTCCTTATATACCACCACAAACGTCATCACGTATGAATTGAATGTTCTTTTGTGAAGTTTTCTCTGATGTTATATACGAATAAACGTGGATATTCATGAACTGCTCGCTTTACACGCGGATCGCTCCTCTACGGACGGCGACGATGTTATCGGAATTGTTGAACAACTCCGTGCCCAGATAATCTTCGCAATTGCTACCATAAACGTATATCTCCGGCGATGTATCTTTCAGTTTCTTTCCGTTTCAGAGATAATTACGTATGTGCCGTACGCAAATCAATGCGCTATCCATGTCGAGATGCGCCGCGATAATGCTAAAGATGCCGATGCTGCTGCCGCTCTTGCCGGTTGAATTATTGATTGAGATGTGTAAAAATTTAGATTGGTTCCGCTGAGTTTTTGAATTTTTTTTAACCTGCAAGTTCGGCAATACAACTTACTCTATGTGTCAAATATCTGTCAATTTTTATTTGGTCTAACATCCAGTAGGCTAACTTTGTATTGGGTCGCAGATTAATGGATTTAACGCCGAAGATGCAGCCAATGCTACTCTTGCTGGTTGAAGTATTGATTAGGATGTATAAAAATTTAGATTGTTTCCGCTAAAGTTTGAATTTTTTACCTCGTAAAATAGAAAATCCGACTTGCTCTATATGTCAATCATCAGTCACTTTTTTATTTGGTCTAATATCCAGTAGGCTAACTTTACAATGGGTCACAGGAAAAATAAATTATTATTGCTAAAACCAAAGATTATAGCATTCTGCTCTTGCCTAGTAGAATTATTGACTGAGATGTATACAAACTTAGATTGCTTTTAGTAAGTTTTTGAATTTTTATCACCGCGGAAATTAAGTAACCTGACTTAACAAATTCATGTGTCAATCATCTGTCATTTTCTTTAATTAGCTCTAGCATCCAGTAGGCAGTAGGCTAACTTATTTGCAATGGTTCACAAGCAGAAGAATTATTGCTAATAAATTGGTGACAAGTAAAAATTTTATAGGTATTGTATTGTTTGAGATTTTCTCTCTTGTTAGTAGGCCATTATATCGATTCTAAATATATAATAGCGGCCATTATTCGAAATGTAACCCCGCACAAAAAGGGGGCCTTGATGGAACAAATGAAATTTGCTTTCTAAAAACCGAAATGATCCTCATTATTCGCGTTTAATAAAGAGACAATTAAGATGTACAAATTGTATTGTGTATATAAATAAATAAACAGACTAGACAACTATTCGATTTACGACGAAGATAAAACGATTATATCAATGAAGTATCGTCACGACCGTGTGATATACTCGCCGTGTTTCCCGTTAGAGGATTAAATTTATCTAAAAAAAACTCGAAATTTTTCTCTTCCTTTACTCACCTACACATTTTCTTCTACAAATCAAGTGACCAAAACGCCAATTTTGACATATGACGCACGTCAAACTTCAATTATTCACAAACCGTTTATCCGTCGATATTTTCCCAAATAAATAAACATCAGCTTAATTACGAGTCAAATCCTTCGATTGCGGGCGATCGTACGTTCGTGAAGTACGTAATGAGTCATTAATTACAGTGTTAAATTATAAATTTGTTACAATAGTACGACACACGATACTTAATTCCGTTTTTGATTGATTGACTGGCAAATGGGAATCATCGGTTCACGCAATACTTTCGATTCGAAGACACAAATAAGGTGTGGGATAATTGATAATAGAACATGAAATTGTAGGTACAACATGCTCTCATGCATAATCAATTATGAGAATATTTCAGAAATGTATTTGGTTTCCGTTTGATTTTAATCGAAACATTATATTGTTTACTTTGTATTATTTGTTTCTTTAAAAATTCAATAAATATGGAAATTAGGAGTATCTACAATTTATGCATTATTAAGTTATAAATAAAATTTAATAATAAAAAAAACTAGTTGTTAATTAAGCGAGCATTAAACGCCTTCGGCCGTTCCTCGAACACATTTTATACATTTAAACATTCGAATTTCTCACGGATCGAATGCACATCAGGCGCTCATTTTATGCTAAGTATATTGTGGTACGGCGTTGGACCAGTTTAAAAATCATTGAAGAATCCGCATTTTACATCACATTTAAACAGTTACCCACGATTTTAATAACAATAAATTTACCCGGCTCGTCAATACTTTCTCTATTTAACCTTGTGCCGGAGGAACACGGAGCATTCCGCATACACCGGAGATAAAGAGGAATTTACGTGCGCAGAACGCACACCGGCGGGATCTAGATTTATTTTTAAAATTTTTGACGTATCAATACGTCAATGTCAATCAATATGCCTACGAGGAATTTTCTGTTTACGCATTTCTATGTGTCAATCAACTGTCATTTTTTATGATGTCCAGCATCTAGTAGGTTAATGACATTTGACATATATGTCGTAATTTTTTTCAGTTTATTTTTTACTGAATGAATATTCACTATTCGCTGACCTACGACACTGGCTACACTCTTTATTTAGTACAGGTTGTAATTTATCACTGGGTATAAGCGTGCAATCTTTATTGTAATTTTAAATTGTGTATCACACGGAATTTTATGAACAAATGCATTGGTAGACATCTATTGAACGGCAATCAATTATTCCCCGAGTTACTATTGAACAACTTATTTATAGTTTTTATTCCGGTTAATTACTTTTTACCTTGGCATAACGGACAATATGTGTGTATGTAATGTTGTTCAACGCAAATATACCAAATGACAGTAAAACATGTCAATAACGTCACTACTAAACGAGAGCTTTTATTGGCTGGTGATATGATTGAAATAAAACGGGGAACTGTGATTGGCTAGATTCAGTGATGTCACTTATAATAAATATGGCAGTAATTCGGAAAATTTGGAACGACGAAGACTTTCTAATTTCAAACGGTTGTATTTTTGCGATTTGCATTAATATTTCGAAATTACCGGCTGATAATAAAACGAATTTATATTCGTTTAAACAGTAAATAAAAAAGTATTACTCTAACGCAGATTCGACCGGCTTTTATGGGCACATTAGCCGTTGAGCAACCCAAGCACCTCTCCAATCATCTCCTTCGATCGCAAACGCGTTAAATTTTACACAATTAAATTAATTTAACAATTTTATTAAGATTTTCTCAACGGACTCAAATCGGCTGGTACTTATGCTCGCTTATATGGAATATTATAGGCGAAACTTACGGAATCGTAGAAATAACGTGCCCGTTTTTATGCCACTATAAAATCATACTGGGTTATCTTACGTCAGAGAAGACGTTTTATTTCTTCGTTTATTGCTGTTGGTACTAGTTCAAAGTTCAAATTTGTTCTTATATCAAGCTATATTACCTATAATGTTTAAAATATTATTTAGTGGAACACTTGGTAGCTGTGGTAAATTGGGAGTATAACAGGAGTAGAGAGAAGAGAAGAGAGTAGGAGTCGAGTAGAGTTAAAATAGAGTAGACGAAAAGAAGAGTAACAGAAGGTGTAGAGTAGAGTAGAAGATAGTATAGGATTCGAGTAGAGTAGAATAGGAATAGTGTACAGTGGATTAGAAGAAGAACATAGGACTAGAGTAGAGAGAGTTTAGAGTAGAGTAGAGTAGAGTTGGAGTAGAGTAAAGGAGAAGAACAGAGCAGAGTAGATTAGGATAGTGTATGAAATTCTAATTTACCTATATAATTAGAAAATACATATTTTGTAATCAAATAGAACATAAGATTAAAATCTGTATCCCATCATTTTGCGCCCAATTTACATCTATTTGAAGCCCTATAAATAAACATTTTTGAATTAAAATGCATGAAAAGTTCTAGTAGGTATATATTTATAGTCGAGTAGAAGCTATTAAGAATTAGAATAAAATTAAATAGTCCTTTATAGTAAGTATAGGAACGACGCAGGTAAAACAAAATAAGTCGTTTGGAATATAAAATAAAAGAAACGTCGAGTTTCAGTGGTTCGTGAGGAGAACATTATCCGATACAATGGCTCTTCGTGTGTGGCGAAATCAAAATAACTTTTACTAGGAAACACTCCTACTCGTTATCATTTACTGCTGTCGTTGCTACAACTTAATAGTATTTTCCTTTTATCGACTCAATTTCTACACGCCGCAATTTTTGATCGGCATTCCTAAATCACCATTTGGACTGTTCGAAACGGATCCGTTTGCGTAATAAAACGGCGTCCGTTCAGCCTCGTAAACATTCCGTTTTATTTCAACAAATTAGACGATTAAAGCGCCTTTTTTTATCCGATTTTTTTCGACTCCCACAAACGGCCGTATACACGATGCAGTATCAATAATTGCGGACCTAAATGATTATTTCCAATAGCGCTTGCTAACAGTTACGTTGACCAATTAAATCGACTATTATGGGATAGTCGAATAGTATACTTTTTCTACTGATTGTACTGCTATTTTTATTATTCCTGGAAGCTTTGAGGTGTGTGTACTTTTTCATTGGTCTACTTAGAAAAAAATTATTAAGAAAGGAGCAGAGCTGATGGTGTGTAAATCTATTCAATTTGTCGATTTCGCAAGCGCATTAGCAAAATACACGATTTTATTGTAGTTACAGTTACAGTATAAATAAATCCATGCATCGCCACAAATCAAATTATTTCACGTCTGGGTACTGGAACGCCGTATAAATATTGATAAGATTTTATAATGGTAAAGCCAATCTATAGAGGCACATTCTAAATAATCGCGAGCCGCGGTTTATTCCTCATTTGCGCAATTTACAGGCGTCTGCTGGGTCACGATTTTCACGATCGCATATCTTCCATATACACTGTACAGGGTAGCGAGAAACAAGAATTACAAACAGTACATATACATCTAACACCCAATAATTAGCTATTACCATTAAGAGCAAACTCTAGTATATTATAAATTATTGAATTAAACTTACAAGTTAATTATATACTCATTAGGAAAACTAGAACGCATTGTATCCATTCAATTGGAAACAAGAATTCTAGTTAGATATACAAAACAAAAACGGAATCAATTTATTTTAAGAGATAGGTAACCCTAAATATTTCGAATAAATGGATTTAGAATAAAATAAAAGTGCATGGAATCGAGTTAGGTGCAGCCCAAACCAGAGATGTTTTGCATAATATGCACCTACAGACATTGACAAGATGTAATCTACTAAATTATGACTTTTGCCTCATGCAGAAATGCCCTCGGGCGAATTTGCGGAAAAAGCTCTTAAGATCCAAACCAATTATAACGTTAACTAGATAAAATCCTTGAATTTTAAACTGCATCTACCGAGCATATAATATACGTAAAAGTAATCAAATCGTACGGGCACTTAACGAAGAGGGGTTCGGTATGTTAAATGCACAACACAAATTAAATTAAGTACTTGATTGTTATCCATTATATTTTTAATTAGTACTTGTAAGTAACTAACTGATAATTACATACCTATTTTTTTATATTTCGTTCTAATAGTAATTGCATTTAAGTTGCAATTTTGTAATTACTACCTGTATAAATAGGTCTATAATATTTGCTTTTGTTTACTTATATTTTGATAAAATATTGTTAAAAACATTCATTCCCAGGATCTCTAAATCACGACCGGCGCGTTTGCACAATAATTGACATGCAAACCAAGCGGGAAATTCTCAAACAAGGTGAGATTTCACATTTCACCAGTTCGTCTGTTTTGTGTATACCGAACAAAGCGACGATTAAACTGCACCAGTACAAGCTCAGTTTGCTCGATTTTAATCTTATAAAAGTATTATATCGTCGTTAGCAGGTATAAGTAATTGCTAATTATACGTGTGGAACTTTTCGAAGGACCCTCATATATTTGCACTTTAAAATACGTGACCAATTTAAATAATCTTAAAAGGTGAAATATTGGAAAATTGGCGGAAGAATATCCATTGTACCTGTCTAAACATGACACACCTTAGTGCAGGATTGTACTCCAAGGACTAAGCGCGAAATATTGTGCAATTTTTCGAAACCCGCGGTTTTGATGATAGCCGTGGCGAAATTTACCCACAATAATTTCACTCGAGCTAAAATATACTACATAGCAATGAATAAATATGAATTCAATCAGCCTATCCCAAAATATCCGAGGAATTCAATTAACCACCGTTAGGAATCATTTTCTAGTGGATTTTTGCGTGTCGCAATTCGTATCGAAAGCAGGCTCAGCGGAAAAAAATTAAAGATGTAGATAATTTTTTATTTTCGTGAAGGTAGAGTCATAATAAAAGCAGCGATTGAAGATAGGACAAGGTGGGTGGTTACGAGGTATTGTAGACTTATTGTCCTAACCAAATGGGAGTTACCCGTAACTGTCGCAAGCAATTCGAACTCTATAGAAAGTGTTACATGTTTAAAGGAAATGCATTTTTCTCTCTATTTCCATTTGAATATAATTTTTAATTTAGATGAATATCTAAAATGGTTCGTTGCGTGACTATAGTCGGAGGAATATTTATTTACCAGCTTACAAGAGAAACACCAATAAACATGATTTCTATATAACCTACAATGGGAGTTACAATTTTAATTACAATACTAGTTTTTGAGAAGTTCAAAAATTTATTTACGAATAAATTTTGTAATAAAAATCCTATTTAATATACTATACCTGCCCATATAGAAGCGCGCATAAATAATCATGCAAAATTACATGTGTAATGAGTTCGCAAACAGTGCGAGATTACCCATTTATGAAATGATTTACAATTTATTAGTCCCGTTCTTCTCGTATAGAATTAATTCTTACGCAACCAGCTGCATAACGGATTTAATGTGACGAACAAATTTGAGTTTGAAAGATGATTTAACATGCATAGGAGCGGCGTGTCTAAACATGTTTATAAACAGTGGTGTGGAAGAGGGTTGAAAATTTTTATTATATAAATTCATACAAAATTAATATTCATTGCACACATTAGATTGAAATTAAAAGTTACCTAACAAAACGAATAGATTAGAGAAACAAACAATTTATTAATAATCGCATATGCGCGAATAAAATTTACACATTCGCATTCAGATGTAAATAAGGATTAAGAACGATAATTTTTATTTATGGCCCTTCTACGAGTTCCACGTAATTTATTTGTTTCCATTTAATGCCGTAATTACAATGCTCGATGCCCAGCAAGGTGCATCGCGTTGGTTAACAGATCAAGGTAAATTCTCTCTACGCTTGGCGATATCGCATAGGCGAAGAAAGAGAATATTAAGAGCGCGCAAAGTGAAAGGATAAAGGATTCGGATCCCTTTTACACCGATTCGCGAAAAATCGACAGATTTATCTATCACAAACATTTTTTTTATTCCTAGTAGGTGTATTCATAAATTGCAAGATGTCTAAAACAATACAGCATTAACCTTTTTGGATCCAATAGTGAGAAAAGTTCATCTAATTTACCCTCTCTCCTGATTGCATTTGAACTGGGTAGGTACTCATTAAACATCACCGTTGTAAAAATTTGAAAGAAATTAGAAATTGTTTTAATAATCAGTGCAATGAACAAATTTACACTGTAGGATAGGGTAGAGTAAAGTCGAGTATAAGAGAGTAGAGTAACCGGGAGAACGATATTTGAAAAATAACGCTTATTTTGTAACAGCCGTTGCTGCACCTCTATACACCAAAAAATCGATTCCACCTCTATTAAACTTCTGTCATACGAAATGTCATTAATGTCAATTTCGACAGTTTTGTTTATGTATCATCGAACGCATCTTAAAGTCCCACTTATTCGCGTACTAATTGTTGTACTCGTAAATTCATCCAAACAACCCAATACATTTGACTAGACCAATTTATACTAGTTAAACGAAATAAATAAAAGAAACCCTAGGTATCCCTTTATGTTGATCGTTAGAGGTAGGTTTCCTGGCAATAAGTTCCCACCTTCGTGAAGTGCTTGTAACGATTTTTAATTAAAAACGTGACAGAGAAAGTGTTTGGTTGCATTTAGTGTAGCGCTATGAGCAACGGCACAGCCGAATCGTGAAAACTATCCGTCTGATGGGAGAGACCAACGCAGTTTATTGTGTTGTTATGTAATAGTGCAATACCCAGCCGAGTTAAAAGTTCACCAACGATTTGCATTCAATTAAAAATGCCGATGCCTGCACTCCGCGGTGCTGTACCCATGCGATATGCCGCTTCGTTACTTCTATTAGTAACCACCTTCTTTTCCTTTCCCTTCGAGAGAGCCAGCCCGATTCGAATTCGATTTGGAATTGGAAAACGTTTGTTACGGATTACTATAATTTAATTTTTTTTCCAAACACCTCTGCAATTGTTAAAGAAATATCTAGGTAGCTCCGCGTAATTGGGGAATCTTTACTATAACACTCTGTAATAACAGAAATTGTCACATGTACGGTGCAATTGAAACATTACACGATTAATAAGCAAACGTATGCACAGAAAAATCCGCGTAAAATGTCGACGTATATCGAAATTAATTAATTATTCCTGTTTTCTTTGAAAATTTCAATGCTTTAAGTGAGTACACGAGCGAGTACCGCACCTCTAAATATTAAATTGAGATTTATTTAGCGCCCGGTTCGGGCTCGTATCTCATAATCTCGTATCGAATATCTCCGTTCGGCTATTTACTATATTTACATTCAGCAGGTGCGAATTGCATTTTTCCAATTCTGCCTTTATTGATAAATCGCTATAATGTTGCTAATTATACCTACAGGTACAATTAGCCGGCTACCGTAAGTTAAGTAATTGTTTCAAACGCCTTCGATACGGATTTGTTTAATTAAATTCCGATCGATCGAAGTGGTCCCTAAAATAAATTAATTGCATACGAGGGCGGCGTGAGAAATTCTAGCTTAAATTTTTTTTAATACAAAATTTGCGAGTTTTTTGTTGAAGTATGGAATTTTCTAGAATCAAGAAGAAACATTGATTTATTGATTATTTGAGAGTTAAAAAGGGCGTTAATTGTGCTCGTATAGGTAAATTGGGTGTGATAATATTTCAGGTAAGTGGGATTATTTGAGTTGATTAGAGTATAGAGTAGGAGTAGAGAGTAGAAGTAGGAGTAGGAGTAGGAGTAGGAGTAGAAGTAGAGTAGAAGTAGAAATAGGAGAATCAGTAGGAGTAGGAGTGTAGTAGGAGTAGGAGAGGGAGTAGAGTAAAGTAGAGTAGAGTAGAAGAAAAAAAGAAAAAAAAGTGAAAATTGCAATGTATTTTCAGAAGATTCCGTATTTATTGTTTTCTTCAACCGGCAGAACTTTTCTAAAAAATTTTACAAAAAAAATGAGAAACAAAACTTCTCAATCATCAAAAGAATTTGTGGATATTTTCCGGGAACTCTGCGACCAATTTACCTATCGTATTAAAATACCTGTAATTCTCCGCTCCCGATTTATCCATAGGTTAAAAAACCTTTAACCCTTTTGCACTCAATTTACCTATAGGATATTAAAACCTACAACCCTTTTGCACCCAATTTACCTATAAGATTAAAAACTTTAACCTTTTTTACCAATACCTAATAGGATATTAAAACCTATCACCCTTTTGCACCCATTTTATACCTTTAAGTTTGAAGCCTTTAACATTTTTTCGATCAATTTACCTGTAGGATACTAAAACCTATAACCCTTTTGCACCCAATTTACCTATATACGATTGAAAACTTGAACCTTTTTACTTATAGGTACGATTAAAATCTACCATCCCATTCGCGCCCGATGTATAGCTACATCCATATTCGGACTTTTCGAACTGGAAACCAAATCGCCCCCTATATATACGACCCAGAAACTCACCCTTGAACCCCGCCGGTTATTTTTAAGTGCAATAAACCACCCGATCCACCGACGACCTTCACCGACCGTGCATGAGGACACAAAACCCGTCCCGTCCGCCAAACGGGATCCCACAGGAAACGGAAAATCGATCGGAATCCCACAAGGTCTGTGTCACGGCCGCCGCGACGCCGCGTTGCGGCGTCCGCGGGAGAGGGCGGCGCGGTGGCGACGTCACCGTCGCGGCGTCACGACGGCGACGTCACGGCGCCGGGCCCGGGGGAGCCGCACCGGCACCGGCATAACGGGATCGATTATCCGTGACGTCACTGCGGAGCTATGACGTCAGGGGATCGGCGAAATGTAATGGTTTTATAATGGACGGATTGAGAGTGGCAGGGATACAGTTCGCCGGCGATCGTGGAAGAGGAAACGTCTCTTCTTGGGTGTCTTGCTCGTTGATCATGTGTGTTGACCGCAGAAGAGTGTGAGAGCCGCGCGAGTCGCGTTCGATTTCGATTGCGAACGATTTTACTGGCGATTTTTTCCGATCGGTTTTTTCGGAACTTTGTTTCGTACCGCGCTTCGTATTGGTTTGTAATTTTTGTCGGAGTTTTCTGGAAGTTTTTGAAACTTTTATTGCGGTGAATTCGTCGGGGATTTACTCAAACGTAAGTGCAACGAAACATTTCTTATATAAATAGATAGATAATACGGTGATTTAATAAGTAATTTAATAAAGTATCAATTTAAATACTGATGAAAATTATTACTTATTAGGTATACACTTTATTAATATTTTTTTTTTGTTACATAACGAGCATTTTCATTAACAATTTAAATATATGTTAATGTTATTAGTAGTAGATGTAGTGTATTTTTAGTTACTTAATCCCCAGATTAAAATGTTTTAATAAACATTTTGGGGATTATTTTTGAATTTGAGTGAGACTTACTTTTAACGCTTTGTTCCTTAATCATGCCACCTATAAATTCAAGAAGATTTTTACACATAAATTTTCTATTTAATATCCTCAATCGACAACCAGCAAAAAATTTGAAATGAAACAAATTTCATCACCTATTGATCATTATCAACACTAAAACTTGCAGAAATGCCAATCAAAAACTTTCTAGATATCACTCTAATGTAGCTAGTTAACCCTATCTGCTAAGGTCATCAAGGTCTTACTTGAGTTTAGGAAGTGAATAAAATTCTTCTTAATTATTCAACTTGCATACACGCGGCGAAACTTTATACGATTATTGTTTGTGTTGCACGTTTTATTGTCATCGTACAGGGTGTGAAAATGCAGACGTGTGTTTGTTGCAGGACCAAACGAAAAATAAATTCGGCTCGTTGTCGGGCGAACCGACATGCAGCTCTGCTTGAAGTGAAAGCGCCCGGAAAAATCGAGTTTGATGAGACTGCTCTCGATCTTCGACGTGGATTCTCCTCCAGACATTCACGAAGGCGATTATTCGCGCTCGTCGCCGAGCAGTCCGGACTTGTTCCTCAGGGGCTCGCCCTCAGGTGAAGCTTTCTGTTGCTAGTTCGATGTCGTTGTTGTCATAGGACCGTTGCAAGTAGCATTTTTTCCTTTTCTTTCTGTGTCGTTGTTTTGCATGCGTCGACTAGAGACTAGCTTAGACCGAAAGACAAGCGCGACAAATCCCATTTGCGATGCGTCTGCGAGATGCGTTCCGGTCCTCCAGCCGTAAAGATTCGACCAGCGGATTACCATCACCAACGGTTCCGGCGGCAACTTAGTTACCAAAGGGGTGCCGTAGACGCCAATAATAATAACGCCGGATACGATGCTCTACAAAATAAATGTATGTACTTTTTTTTATATACAATTCGCTTACACAAACAAATTTTTGGTGGAATATTTAGGTTACTGTTTGGCTTAAACATTCCACCAAAGTTGCCAACGCAATACTATACCTAAATTGTAAATTTTTTTGGTGGAGTATTTAGGCTAATATGTTTAGCTTAAACATTCCAGCAACTTATACAATTTTAAATATACAAAGGATAGGAAACTAACGGGCGGTTTTAGCGTTTAAAAATATACCGGGGCGAAATAAAAACGCGAATGATTTGGTTGAAAGCCAATATTTCCGAACGAAATAAATCCCGCAGCAATGTCATTATCCTGAAGTAACGTGGTCGAGTGGACGGGTAAAAATGCGCCGGGATGCATGCCGATTTCCACGTGTAAGATTCCCTGGCACAGTCGGCAGACATGATCAATCACATGGGGGCCGATCAAATGATTCACGCATCATCGTTTTTGTTTATGGCTATATTTATTCGTTATTCGGCCGATTTCTATGAGGAAGTAAATGAGAGGCTGGGTGTATTTCTGAGCCGGTTCTTATTTTTGAACATCCTGTGTATTTTTAGTCGGGATTCTTTCTGCGTTTGTTCGCTGTATAAATGTTTCACTTACCTACCTCAAAACTATTATTTTTTTTACATACCATTATTCGCATGGATTTTTACGATCGATAATTTAATAAATTATTAATCGCTGGTATGCATTTTATTTAATATGTAAAATTGTAACTTTTTTTATCGCCATAATATTTTCAAGGTCGATTGACATTGCCGTTTTTCATAATTATTCAACCGCCTTAAGATTGCTCATAGATTATGGAAAATTCTTGTTTTCTATTATAAAATATTTATAATATACATTTTTGTCGTCTATATCGGCAATTATTGAATATATATGTAAATGTCCTCAGCGGTTCGCTAAAAAACTCCATCGGCATTTCGTATATAATCAATGACTTTGCTGTAATAAGCTGAACCATCCTGTACAGTTACATAAATACATACTTGCTTAATGGGACAACTTTTATATACAGAATGTTACGATATACTCCGCCTACAACATTTATACGTTTATCCACGAGGTGGAAGTTTGCGGAACGAGCCGTATAGGAAGCGTTTCGTGCGAATTATAACAGTGAAAGTTTCGATATAAAACATTAACTCAGTAATCAATTATCCCGTTCGGTTTCGGCAATTCTAATAGCCCCAATTACGAGCAAATAAAAACCGGTAGTTACGATGTTTTATATGGGTATCTTTCGAATATTTGTCTTTTTCAATTTCATAACGAGGCATCAATCACTGGCGAAGGATTCGGCCGATTCCAATTAAGTTTTCGTTCGTTTTAATCCTTATTTCGCCATTTCTGACCTCTCTCACCTCTCGCCGTATATCGAATTGTCCGGTTCTCACTCTTATCTCCAAGCCCGATCTTGGGAATATGCTAATACGGACGATTTTTTCGCGCGATATAATTTTATTGTCAAAAAACGAATTAAATCTTTAAAAAAAAAACAAGTTAATCGAGCAGTATATACTTACCCGATCGCGATGCAAGAAATGTTAGTCAAATATTGACATATAAATTTGACATATGACATTGACATAAAAAATGTTAATTGGCATTACAGTGAGGTTTATCGATCGGTTTATTATTTTCATAGAAGAGCTTTTAAGAAAAAAGGAACTAAATATTTTCGAAGCGTTATTTTCTCACGAGCAGTTACACCGATAGAGTCGATAATAATGTGATTGCATGTTAACGTTGCACGTTCGTATTTATGTGTTCGAAGCTAATTATCGTTTTTATACGGTTGTTTTATTATTTATTACAAATATTCCTGCCAATTACCGTTAGACGTATAGTACCTATAGATGAATTTGATTATTTACACTCGCACCGAAACGGATTTATGTATTTTTACATTCGTTCTAGATGTTTAAATACACCTGTAAAAAAATACAGAGAGTTGCAAGAATTTCGGTCAAAAATTATTCCGGGCTGTTAAAAAAATCTATTACCATACTTGAAGTGCACTCCAGTTTGCTCCAATCTGTTCTAATGCTCATAGTGTACCACATAGTGTGCACTATAGTTTACTCGAGTGTACTCCATTCTGCTCTAGTCTGCTCGAGTCTGCTCTACTCTGCACTAATTTGCTCTGGTGTGCTCTAGTGTGCCCTAGTGTGCGCTATAGTTTGCTCTAATATGTTCTATAAGTGTGTTCTACACTTGTTTGCTCGATTCTGCTTAGTTCATCTGCTCTTTTCTGCTCCAATCTGTTCTAGACTGTTCCAGTATTCTCGAGTCTACTCTCTTGTATCTGCTCTAATCTGTCCTATTCCTAGTGCCTTGTTCTAGTTTGCTCTAATCTGTTCTCGTGTACTCTAGTGTGCAGTAGTTCAGTCGAGTCTGCTCAAGTCTGCTCTAGTTTACTATATTCTGCTCTGGTTCGCTCTATAAATCTGTTCTAGTGTGCCCAAGTGTGCTCTAGTTTGCACTAATCTGTTCTAGTCTGCTCTACCTATTCTACAAAGGTAAACATTTTTAATTTCTTTCAGAGTATGCATTGAACTCGAATTAGATCCTCATCTTTTACTACTTTTTTATGCAAAATATCCATACAAGGACTATTATGTATAAGGCAGTATAGGTATATATTTTTTTGTTAAAATGATGTATAGCATTCCCATTCGCCTTGTTTACTTTAATTACGTAAATACTACATAAATCATAACCCAGCGGTAGGTGGCGTAAGTAATGGCAACTATACACATACCAGTCTATACAGTCTCCGCGTTTATTTGCATTGCGGATTAGACCAAAACGATTTTAGCGGAATTCGGTACATTATTGACACAAGAAGAAATCGATATATGCGGGATAGATAATAATGTACGGTGTTTCGCGCCCGGAGCCCCCGACCGACATAAAATGTTTATTTATAGACGGCCCGTAACTGTCTTATGGTTACGTCCGTCATTCTCACTCTTTATCCGCGAACCGGTTTCGCTGAAGCGGTCGACCTCGTAAGACAGTTAAATAAATTGGCAATTTCGGTAACGGCACAATCCGGACTCGCTTTCATAACGACCGGGCGACTTTTTATTTTTTTTTTTTCATTTTCATTTTCCCATCGTTCCTGCGAGTTTTCTCGCGCCGCCCGATTTCCCGGCGAATTTTTTCCGAAACGAAAATCGAACCTAATTAGCTCCGGCCCCGTCTTCACGCCCACGGACTTTCGTCATTCGGTATCGAGGAGCGTAACAATATACCCCACGCAAAACGCGCTGTATATACCTCGGAATTGAGCGAAAAGGGGCTTATTATTCGCCTGTATGCGGCGCCTAATTAAACGTACGGTTATTTTCGGAATGCATCCAGGTGGATTGTCCCACTTCTGATTCTCCCAGAAGTGGGATTCTCCCCCGTCCGCCGACCGGCGAACAAAACGTAATTATGTTATTTGGAAAGTTTTTCTTTTAAGGAATCTTTTAATCTTTCTAAGCAACTTTTTCAAGTATTTTTTTTATTTAAGTATCAACGTATGAGACACCCTGAATATACATTCACGTTGGCTGCCTGGCAAATTTATAGTCCGTTCGCCATCAGGAGATAGTAGAAGAACCTTCTTAAAGCAGCATTTATTTTAAGTAATTTTCAATTCTATCATCATTTTACCGAGACTTTATCTAAATGGGATTAGAAAAAGGTCGCCTAATGTTACACACCCTGTATACAGAGTGACACTACCCACTACAGTAAATTAAGTATTAAAAAATTATGTTCTACTACAATCTCCTGGATAACAAACGGAGTATATAAAAATACCATTTATTACACCATCTCCTGATGGTCGAAGGGAGTGTAAATTTTAAAAGATGTCATCATCACCTGATGACGGTCGCGTTTGAATGAAAAACCACAAGGGCCGGAGGAGAGCGTGGCGTACGATATGACGTCAAGCGTCGGTTTAATAATAGCGTCGGTGTCGCAGGAGCGTTTCGACGCGGAATTGACGTCACTTCGGGGGTGTTCGGAATCCCGTGGGGTTGCGTCACAGGTGGGGATATTGATCGGTGACGGCATAGTTGGCGCTGTCTTCGTCGCCTCCGCTTTATCGCATCGCGTCCTTTTTTAACACATACATTGGTGTATATGGGCGCAACAAAGACAACTGCCCATAAGTCTCATATAATTAAAAGAAGAAGAAAGGGTGATATTGTAAGGTGATTACATCTCACTCTAACCACTCTGTTGTATTAATAATCTTTCTTTGTTCAACTCAGAATATTGAACAAATTTGCACTTACCAGTATACAGGGGGTAGTCAATTAAAAAGTACGCAAATCCTGATCCTTATAAAATATCCCATTTTATGGACGATAATAATTATAAAAGTTGTTTTTTTACACCTAATAGTTGTGGAGAATTGCGTGGGATTATCGAAACCTAATTAAATTCCGAAAATTAGGTATGTAATGGCATTGTAAAGCGCGTCAAACCGGTGTATTTAAAATGTTTAAAACGTGTATTTAGTTTATTTTTCTGGTCGTCCTTGATTAGTTCATGTTATTATTACCTTTACGGTCCGTTCCGAAGAAAAATAATAAAATTTTGCTAACAAAATCCAAATCTACCAACAGTTAATAAATTTCTGGTTGGGTAAGAGTAAGGTCAATAAAACCGAAAACGAAGTAAAAGGAACCTCCTTTGGATTTTACGATTTAATTTAAAAAGTGGTTTTTATTGACAGATGGTTAAGAAATTTTAAATTGGCAAAATTAAAGATTTGTAAAAAATGATAATATTGTTCGTGGATAACAAACGACCGAGGAATATGATGGTTAGTTTTTAATTTACTCCTTCGCACTGGCTCATACATAAATTATTGTATAATTTATATATTATAATATTTACCATTGACGTCAATGTAGATTTTTATAGATTCTAGTTTAGATTAGATTAGATAAACTTTAATTAAATTAATAATTTTTATTTCACTTGATTAGGCTTTTTTGAAAAATTGCATCACAAATTTTATGTATATCACAAGCATTGCACTTTTTAATTTTAATCTAAATAAATCTGATTCTCTCTCTTGCAACAGTGCAGTTTAAATACCCGTTTTATGCATGTATTTTATTCTTTTTATTATTAATATTCATTTTATGCAAATCTCAAACGAAAGATGGTGAACTTTAGCTTTACAAGCGAATTAAATAAATTATGTAGATGATACAGAAGTAATATCATAAATATCTGCGGTAGGTATAACTGTATTCGTTTTATATGCAGATACATGTTCGATCTATTAATATTATGTAATAATTAATTTGGAATTCTTCACTTTTACTTATTTCAAACAAATGATGTCATGCAGTTTTGTGTCAACGAGGTATTTTTTCTTTAACATTGATAGAATTTTTATTAGATTCCCACAAAACGGATGCAAAAAATTTATAAAATAGGGACTTTTGATATCATCAAGTTGGCGCACTAGCAATTTTAGGTTGGCAACATAAAATTGGCAATGTATTAGGTAAATTATTAAATATTTCGCTAATAATAATCTTATTGAAGAAATACCTACATAAGTACATAATACACAAAGTAATAATATTAAATATACCTCATAATTTTAGCAATAATCGTTTCATAATATACTTACCTTTTTATCTATACTCATCGCTAATTGGCAAAGAAGTTTTACGATCGCTCAGCAATTAAAATCGCCAAGAAGCATTTTAGATGTTACTTTTTTATTAATTTTTTTTTATATAACAGATGCGCATTTATTTATTACCATTGTTTAATCGATAAATTTAGTCCAGAAGACGGAAGACTTTCTCGCCATAAAAAATTATTATACGGCATAATAGACCGTATGACGATTGTTTTACTAGGAAAGCCACTTAACGTGGGCGTATAAGAACAAGTTTGCATTACAAATTCATAATATTTTATCTAAATGCATCCGTTATCTAAATATCTACACGAATATTAATTGTTCCTTAATGGTGTAACTTTTTATAATTTTATGGCCTCTTGTAAATCCATTCCTATATAATATTCTGTATTCCACCCACGTAGCGGATCTAATAAAAACTCTTTCAACAATACCATTTTAGGATTTACGTTATAATTAACGTATTGTTACCGATCAATGCAGATCCGTATAAGAAATTCGAAAAAATCGTTAGAAAATAGAGCAATGTAGCAATATTATTTTCTTTAATTAGTATCTACCAACATGATGTATTTGTATACAGAGTGTCATATAAAATCGAGTTTGTTTGAATAAAATGCTGTTATATTGCAAATCGATTGGAATATCCCAACGCCATCATCATCGGCTAAAAATGCATTTCTTATAACTTCATTACGCCGACAAACGCGGTAAACATTCCATCGAGCGCTCTTATATGGGAAACTTAAAAGTCTACGAGAATTCGATTTATTTCGCTTCAAGATCAAACGTCAATCACGATGCACGTTACTAAACTAAATTGAATCGCTTTTAAATTATCCATTTGCAATCAATCCGCTCTATACCGGGGGACGTTCGATAGTTTCACACCAGAAGTATATGCAATGTTAAGAAAAAGTTAATTATATAATTACAGGTAAACACAATTAGGTAGATATTGGCGAGTAATCGAAGTTGATTAGTAGACAAAAGAAATCCTTTCATATCGATAATCGTGGCGTTAATTCTATTATACAAAATTTCTCCGAGTTGCCGATTAAACAATATAATAATATTATCGGCTCAACATCGATTAGTCGAGAATAGACAAAGGCCCGAAGATGAGGTGTGTTGACAGCCAGCTAATCCGCGGGGACTTGCTAAATGCACAATAATCATTGCATAATTACCCGTTAATTCGCAATAGCATATACCGGAATGCCTGCTGTTTAATTGCAAAATGTATATAGGTATATCTTAATCTTCCACTTGCGAGAATCTCACGCGTCATCGAATGGCGCTAGATAGAAGTACAAAAAACTAATCGATGAATGTGCAATAGAGGATTTTTATTCAAAAATGTTGTTGGTTGGTATATGAATTGATGCGGGATTAAAATTTGTATCAAAATGATATGTTGAGACTTTTTTGTGAAGAATATAATTGTGTTGGCAATGTTGATGTATCTTTGGTTCTCTTAAAAATAATTGTGATGGTAATTAAAGTACTTAAATAACTCTGTAGGATTGTTAATTGAGTGTTTTAGATATCAGTTGAACAGATAAGTAATTTTTTAGTATGCATGCATTATATTTTTTGCTACCCCATTATTGTAGATAAAAATCTCCCCTCTATATATACCCAATATCAATCAACTTATATGTTTATGTATAGTATACAATAGATATAAAGAAATTTATAATATCATAATAGTTGCAACTTTGAAGTAGCATAACTACCAGTAACCAGCTAGTTAATTATACGCATAAATTATAATTGTTTCAACAATCGCTTAACACCGGCCAGGATTTCGCCATAAATCAAAAACCGCGATTTTCAGATATATTTTGTATACACATGAAATTTAAATGCTAACATCAATCTTCGACTGTTGCATAACGCGAGAAGACATGATTTTGTCAGTATTACATAAAGGACTGCATATTGCAAATTACATGCTATTAGAAATGCGTCTCTCCCTGTCTCGCGCGCTCGCGAAGGTGCGATACCTTTATGCCGGAGAGACGCAGAAGGAGAATATAGAAATTGAAAGTGTAAAGCGTTGGTGGACAAAGCTCGCCTCGGGCTCGAAGACATTAGTATGCTGAAGACCGGTTCTTCAAATTAATAATCTCGGATGCCCTACTAAGAGCTCTCGCGGGTCTCTCGGAGTTCGAGTTCAGAGGCGCAGTTCTCGCTGTAACTCCTGCGATTTTTTCACACTATTTTTCACACGCCTATACGAGGGTTATAGGTAAAGTTTACCACGTGCAACGAGTTGGTTAGTATACTTTTTTCGCGACTATCGAATCGGTTTAACCTCGACGGTGTGTGTAATATAAATGCGTTTTGTGGTGATGAAGGAATGACCAGTTTGGATTTTTCCGACGTGATGTAAATGACTTTCTATCGCGATTTATTGACCATGCGGACGAAAGTTTACCTTGTATATCGACCCTGAGACATAACAGTAATTAATGTTTGTCACAGCGACAAATGCACGGCTCGAAGATTCAATTCGTTGAACTGGTAAAATTTGGAGATTATTTTTCAATTGAATGCTATACACTTCTGCATGCATTTTGTGGGTAATTTAGTTAGAATTTTGTAAGATATTGTATAATTGTAATGAGTTTAGGAATGCTTAAATTAACTGCTGCTTTATAAAATAATTAAAGTTCGATTATTTAGGTAGATACTGTAATTGTTTTGCTAGATTATAAGTTTTTTATCCAGTGTAATATAATGTTGCAATAGTCATTTCCTGGGTCACTAATTGCTTAGATTCTAGGAGAGATTTGTATGCTCCATATCGAGTCTGTGGAAAATTGGTTAAAAGTATTTCTTGAGCAGAGTAACATTTTTAATTAAACAAATTTGACAAATTAGAACGGGTTTAATAATAATTATATACTAACTGGGCGTCAAAACTATAATTTTTACACGAAGGTCGAACTTCGAGCCGCCGTCTTAATAACGGTGAGAAATTCAATTCGCCAAAAAAAAACTTATACAAAATATCGCCGATGTTATTGACCCATTCCGCATTTACTGTTCATTAAATATTTCATAAAAAAAAACACTTACGTAACACCAATTATTTATACGCTTATAAAGAAACGTAAAAACCAAACACTTTATCCATCCTGATGCGCATGAAATAATAAACTCCTGCAATCTATTACGGCACCTCCAATAAATTACATCCTGAATAACGATCCACCCGCCGACGAATTAACAATATCAAATTCGCAACGGCACAATATGTTTTATAAATATGTGTCCTAATCAAGCGGCCGTACAAAAGCAGAACGTCACGGGCCATAACGCTCCTTCGCCCGTCCTGATTGCTCGGGGGCTTTAAATATCAACGATTCCGCTCCCGCGGGAGATCCGTATCATAATTCCGGGACTCCACGCCGCGTTTTCTATATAAAAGCCGGGCGATGGGTATCGGGAGTTTATTGCAAGGCTCCTTTCGCCCATGGCACCGGCTCGATTTTCGGCGATGCTCTGATCGCGGTTTTTTTTTGACATTTTTCCGGTTGATTTCGGGATCGAATGATTCGCGAATTCGTTGATATCGGTGAGTTTCATTGGTGTGTAGATCGATGAAGTGTAATTGTAATGTTTTGTTGCAGGTACTCTGTTAGTTCAAAGCGAGTTAAGTGGTACCTCGTTGGTGGCAGAAGGCTCGCAGACTTCAGCCCCCAGTAGCCCCCACTCAAGCATGCTTCTGCTTCAATCGTCGGTAAATATAATATTTTATACTCTATAATAATAATTAATTTAGCTATAGGGGATTTAAGTGGTAGAAAATGAGTGCAGTTGGTACGCACCCTTATGCGAAATGTTCTTGTCAGAATTTTGACGTATCCGGTGCATAAATTATATTCATCAATTGCACTCGTTTGGTGAAATATAATATTTCTTTGTGATACAAGGTGTTAATTGATTGAGTGCTGATACTTCAGGATGTGAATATGTATATATGGGTGATTTTAAGAATAAAAGTTTATATCCTAAATGTCCTAAACTTCTTAGTTTTTGAGCTACAGGGTGTTACAGTTTTAGGAAAAAATAATTTTTCTATCATAATTTTCTTGTTACTCCAGATATTTTTATGAAATTTTGTACACAATTTTTAATTATTAAGAAGCATTTTTTGAGGCAAAAGATTTTTTTAAATTTTTGCCAGTGACGACCAGTGACGAATAACTATAGAAAATTATGATAAAAAAGTTATTTTTTTCCTAAAATTTTAACACCCTAATAAGCTCGAAAACTAAAAGATTTAGGACATATATATTGATATAAACTTTTCTTCTTAAAATCATCCAAATATTCACATCCTGAAGTCACTCAATTAATTAACACCCTGTATGCATGGGGTTATTATATATAGAGAAAATAAATAAGCAGTTCGTTTATCATCAATATTATTTTAGGTAGGTACTGAAACTATTATATATAATTTATAATAGGCTGAAATATATAGGAACTCACCTATTAGATAGGTAATAAAAAGATTTAATGGCTTAATAAAGATTATGATAAACGGTTGTAAAATTAAAAGCAAAGTTGCTTCATTACTTTATGACGAAATTATACTTAATACACTTAAATTGCATCAGTAACTCTAACGTGCCTAATACAGCTACTGAAGTATTAGGAACAGAACATTAATAAATAAAATCCATTATAGGTAATGCGATATGGTCAAAGGAATTGATATCTGTAGATAATAATGTATAGGTATATCTCTTCTTAATTAAACTTAATAGTTAAAGAATTAATAATTATTTATTAATATAACTCCCAGAAGCACGATTGTGCACTGTATTCGGTGCGTCACTTATATTGTCAAACACCCTGTATAATTGATAAATGCTTAAAAGTTTTTGAACTGTAAGTAGGTATAGGTATAATATATTATGATATTTTTTCATCGAGTATATACTTGCGTGCTATCTTTTCATCTTTCTACAAAATTATATGTCTTATTATCGTGTATCTCCTGATGGTGAACGGAGTATGAAAATTTGTTGTATAAATTACTGAATTTAGATCAATTTGAGATGCACGGTAGGGGATACTCCGGACACTAATTGAGAAATTTTAACGGGTCTTTTGCATCGAATTTCATTACCACCTACATCTCCCGATGGCGAACGGAGTATAGAATCCAAAAAAAGAACTAACTCAAGCATTCAATCGCCCTCGAACAACGGGAACGAACAAACAAAATTTCCGAAAATCTCCACGCGCCCGAAACAAAAATTCCTCCCTATCGTCGATCGCGAGCGGTCCAACGAATTCCGGAGACCAATAACTTGGGCACCGAACGAGACCACTCCCTCGGTGCGCTGCAAGGAAGCGCATTCCGTTCGAACGCAACTGTTCCGGAAAAATTGTTCACGCCCCGCGTTCGGTTATTACAATGTTTCCGATTACACTGCGCAACGCGACGCGACGTCCCGTCCGTTCCGTCCATTGGAAATGGAAATGGAAATCAGTCACTCAAACATATCGGTGCCGTATCACGTTAAATCGAGAGAGGGGTACCGGTACGGGTTTTTTTTTTTACCTATTAACAGTTCCATACAATCGGACAATATGATGGGATATTCATTGTTATTTATTTATCATTACCTTACTTGTATACATGCTTAATTTTGTGTATAATAAGGTACTTATAGGTATCTATATGTAAATTATGTAATGTATTAGGTATTTATTTATACCTAGTTGTTTTGGGATTATGTTCTTAAAAGTTTTTTCATGCGGTAATTCAGTAAGTTAGTACTTAATTGTTCATGTTAATTTAACAAGATAAGATCAATTTAAATAGTACCTAATCTACTAAAGAAGAATAAATAATATACTTACCTACATTTTTACTAACTAAGTAAGATTATATCAGACATCAGAGGTATACCTAATACAATAATATTTCGTTTTACCTCTATTGATACGATGTAAGTGAGGTATATTTTTAATCAAGTACATCATTGGTATCTATTTCAATGAATCCCCCGCTAATTTATAATTAGCATCGACATCATTAGGTACACCTATACATGTATAACAAACCGGCCTATTTACGGCCGGTCGCCAGAGCATCAGCATCATCACAGTACAAACCCGGTTTATTCGCAGACCCCGTTTGGACCAAGCAGCTTCGCCGATCTGCTGAATGCCCCGTTCTCGGACGATCCCGCGTCCGCCGTAAATCCGGAGGACCTCAACCCGTTCGCCGACGTCACCCTACACTCGCCCGCCTCCTCGCCGCTACCGCTGCCCAGCTTCCAAGAGACCTACTCGCTGCGCTACCAATCGCCCATCAAAATGGACGACGACTGCTTCAACGTGACGGCCTACCAGCACCACTACCACGACTACGACCACCACCAGCCCCCCTACCATCAGACGGCCGCCAGCCCGTACTACCCGCCGCCGCCGGCGTTCGAACCGTCGCCGCACCACCAGGACTCCTACTCGCTGCCGGTGTACGCGGCGTCGGAGCCGCCGCAGCCGGCGAAGCCGCGGCGCGCCTCGCTGCCGCTGCAACGGTCCGAGTCGACCAGCAGCAGCGAGAGCCCGAAGCTGCGCATCGCGTCGACGTGCTCGTCGGCGTCGAGCAGCCCCGGAGGCGCGCCGGACAAGGGCCCGGCGCCGCCGTCGCCGTCGCAGCTGTGCGCCGTCTGCGGCGACACGGCCGCCTGCCAGCACTACGGCGTGCGGACGTGCGAGGGCTGCAAGGGGTTCTTCAAGCGCACCGTGCAGAAGGGCTCCAAGTACGTGTGCTTGGCCGACAAGGCGTGTCCGGTGGACAAGCGGCGGCGCAACCGGTGCCAGTTCTGCCGGTTCCAGAAATGCCTGGCCGTGGGTATGGTGAAGGAGGTGGTGCGCACGGATTCGCTGAAGGGCCGACGGGGACGGTTGCCGTCGAAGCCGAAGTCGCCGCAGGAATCGCCGCCCAGTCCGCCGGTGTCGTTGATAACGGCGTTGGTGCGGGCGCACGTCGACACCACGCCGGACCTGGCGAATTTGGATTACTCGCAGTACTTGGAGCCCAGTCCGGTCGAGCCGATCGTGTCCGAGGCCGAGAAAATCCAACAGTTCTACGGGCTGTTGACGACGTCCGTCGACGTGATACGGCATTTCGCCGATAAGATTCCCGGCTTCCAGGACATCCGGCCGGAGGATAGGGAGTTGCTGTTCCAGTCGGCCTCGTTGGAGCTGTTCGTTCTGAGATTGGCGTACAGGACGCACCCGAACGATTCCAAATTGACCTTCTGCAACGGTGTCGTGCTGGACATGCAGCAGTGTCAAAGGTCCTTCGGCGATTGGCTGAATTCCATCTTGGAATTTTGCGCCGGACTACACGCCATGGAAATCGACATATCGGCCTTCGCCTGTCTCTGCGCTCTTACGCTGATCACCGGTAAGTTCACTTTTTTTTTAATTAAATTTCATTTCATTTTCTCCCTACTTTTATGACTTATCAGCAGAACTAAACAAACTAACTATTAATAGAAGTAGATTACAAAAGACAATTGATTAATCTGATGATGCTTGAACTGATCAAACTCCTTTCTCCCTACTTTTAATAGTAAAGTTGTAAGTAAAGTACCTGCCCAGAAACAGTAAATTTTTTTCTCCCAACTTTTATGACCTACAAGCTACGTTAAGTAAAAGTAGAAATGCACTAATTTTGATAAGATGAACATCATTAATCTGGTAGAATCTTCTAGAACTAAACAAATTCTTTTCTCTTTACTTTTATGACCTACAAGCTAAGTTAAGTAAAAATAGATCTGCACTAATTTTTATAAGATGAAACTTATTAATCTGGTAGAATCTTCTAGAACTGAACAAATGGTTTTCTCCCTACTTGTATTATCCATAAACAGAGCTTTGTAAAAATTGCTAGGAGCTATTGGGAGAAACAAAACTATTTTCTCCCTACTTTTTAATAACTTTGTGAACAGACCAGAACAGAAGTAAGTAAAGTACTCTGAATAACATTTCCCTCTACTTCTACAAACCACGAACAGAACTAAGCAAACTACCTGAAAGAAAATCAGCAGTAATTATCACAAGACTATTAATTAGCCCAATGTATAAAAGCGACTAAAATAGTTTTCTCCCTACTTTAACCTTCAATAAGCGTCGGAATGTGGAATTTCAGATCGGCACGGATTGAAGGATCCCCACAAGGTGGAGCAGCTCCAAATGAAGATAATCTCGTCGCTGCGCGACCACGTGACCTACAACGCGGAGGCGCAGCGAAAGTCGCACTACTTCAGCAGGTTGCTGGGCAAGCTGCCGGAGCTGCGGTCGCTCAGCGTCCAAGGCCTCCAGAGGATATTCTATTTGAAATTGGAGGACCTGGTGCCGGCGCCGCCGCTGATCGAGAAGATGTTCGTCGCTAGTTTACCTTTTTAGTGGGTACTACGTGTTACCTGCCCGATTTTTCTGATGATGAGAAATGCGAAACGTGATAATATTGTCTATGTGATTTGTTGTTAGTAATTAAGATTTTATTTTATTTTTGTTGATGGAAAATTTTAACGCGGAATGTTTGGTTTGAGTTTTACGGAATTTTATCGACAATCATTGAATTATTTTTTTTTTGGGAATTTTTTTTTAACTTTATGTGTAAGTTTAAATTGCAGTACCTGTAATACTCATTCTCTTTACGATATACTCTTTATTTAGTGTAATTTTATTAATTTAATCTCCTACTCCTAATCTCCTTTAATCTCCTTGTTTTTATATTTCTATATGCATGTGTTTCATCCAAGTCTTCCCATTTTTATTTTCATCCTATTTTTTTTTTAATTTTTAGTTGATTATCCATTACAAAATGCGTGTGAAAGTTTAAATAATTACTGTGTAATTTAAAATTCGTCCAATAATTTAGAAATTGGAATTTTTATATATGTAAAAAAATCCGCCCCGATTTTCCATCAGCATTATTCTGTTCCTTAAAATATTTTTAAAGCAGCGTTATCAGAGTAACTACTATTTTTTATTTAATTACCTATATGATATTTGATATTTCTACGAGAATATTTCCTTTTATAATAATTTATATAACGTGTAAAATACCCTTGGCTTTTTTTGTATCTGCGAGTGTTACGTTTTATACAAAAATGAGCTAACATATCCCAGATTAGATTGTAAAGAAACTATCAATAAAACATTTAGTTGCGTAATTTATAGTCCGTAAACTAATTGTGGAAATTATTTTTTACTGCTCCTCGATGAGTTAAAAGTTGAGAAATGCATTGAGAGTTAAATAATTATGTTTTGTAAAAGTTATTATTTGTGTAAATTTTGTATAAAAGTATTTTATTAGTGGTGTATTTCTCAACGAACGAGCGTTACCTTTACTTAGTTACCAAACTATTACCTGCATATAAATATATATTTTGGAGAAAAATAATTTCCAAATTTTTGATACGTGTACTGATTTTTCGTACGTCGATTTTTTGTTAATTTTAAATTAATAGAGTAATATAATAAGAGAGTAAGTATATGTATAGAAGAAAAATAGTTTTAAGCTTCCTATATTTTCCTAAATGTTACCACCACATACCCTGTGGATTTTTTTATATCGTATGCGATACATCCCTAGTCAAGGCACCTTTTAAAACTTGAGATTTTTGTTATCGTTAGCATGAAAATACCGTGCAGAATGTCATCGAAATGCAATTATTGAGCATTAAAAAACCGTTAATTTTCCCCAAGCATTTGTAAAACCAAGTTTTCTGTAACCTTTCCCGGCATTTCGGTAACATCCTGTACATCTAATTAGTCAGTAAACGTGGGAGAGTTACCTAAAGCTTGTTGACGAAGCCGTTTATTATAAGTTCATATGCTTCTTATCAATTTTATGTGCATATAAAATATTCCTGTTGCCATAAAATCAATGTCTGAACTTAAATAATGCCCGGTATTATTGGCAAAATATGTAAACATACAAGCAGTTTGTACGAATATTGTAATAAAATAAATAATGGGATATTTTGTCTGCATAATAACGCAATTTACCAGCGCTATATGTAACTTTTTGTGTTCTTTACAGTACCTTTTCTATAATTTAGCATCAATTAAAACCGGTGCTATAATGTATATAAATTATAATTTTTTACTGCCTTTCCTACATTTTTTTTGTTCAATAAATATCACCCTTCTACTAAACGACTATTTCTCACAAAAAAAACCCTCTCCACGCCATTCGAAATATAACATTCAAAAATTATGGCCTTTTATTTAAAAGACATACAACTCCAAAAATATCTATTTCTCTCCATTAAATCATAAATAACTACACAAAAAGTATATAATTATTAATAATATTCTCCTTAAATTCAGTGCTATACCCTAGTTCCAAAATAACTGGCAGTGACTAATTTTTCAATTTTAGAAAAACGATGAAGGCGCAAGATGTACAAATATCACACTATAAATGCTCTCAGTATTTTTCAAAAAAAAATGATCGATGAGTCACTGCCAGTTATTTCGGAACCACGGTATAGTTATTAATCACAGAGACTTTTTTACAATTTATTTTAAAACAAAACTAGCAACGTAACGACACCGTACACCAACATGGTGGGATAAGCGATGAGGGACTGTTGCTGCTTATCTCCCGATATCGCCACGAATAATCTCGAAGCGGAGAAACTCGACCAAACCACCGCCAGTATCGCAGCAGCCAGTCCCACGGGTCCGCTGAGCTTGAACAGGATGCCTACAGCGGACAAGGCCACTATCGGGATGAAGCAGTACCCCAAAATGCTGCCGACGATCGTCAACGTAAAGGTCCCGCTGACTGGGGACATGAGAGATAACAGGAAGTACATGAGTATGCAGGAAGTCATCGAAATGCCGTAAATGTATCCGACGTGGGCGTTTTTGCCGGCTAGGAACAGAAACACGGCGAGCAGAAGGCAGAAGGCTATCGGGCCGATTAAATCGGAGTCTTTCATTAGATAATCCGCGTCGTCGGCTAAACTGTGGCCTCGAAATGGGTTTAATACAGCCAGGATTTTCTCTAGTATCCGGTCGGGGTAGATTTCTAGTTCTTCTAACAAAGGGGGCTCGTCGTACTCGTCCAGGTCCTTCGTGGCGGTGTCGAAGGGCTCCGGTATTAGCATTTGCGTGGGATAGTTGGCGAAATTCTGATCTCCGAAGTCATTACTTGCGTTAAATTCTACAATTAATATAACCAAACGTAAATTGTATTTTTCCAACTCGAGTTTCTACTCACCTAGCTGTTGATTTTGGAATTGATTGTAATCTTGTTCGTAATAACCCTGACCGGTCATTTGGGGTGGTACATTTTGTTGTTGTTGCCAGTAGAAATCGTTCGGATTTGGATTAATATAGTCGCCCATTTTAATTAAATATAAGTATTTTTATTGCTTTTCACTTTTTTAGCCGAATTTTTGTTATGACGTGTTGCGGTGACAACTTAAACTGTCAATACTGTCATTCTTCTTTTTTGAAAATGAATGACAACTAAATTGATTGGATAGTCAATAGGTAAGTGTCCACACAATTTGAAGTTATTTACAAATGGCGCATAATTCGAATTTGTAAAATTTTGTTGGGTAATATTTGGGTAAACTATAAATCGCTGAGAGATAATAAAATATATTTTAAAATTATTCCTGTCGACAAAAATAGGTACTATATCGTTACAATAATAATACAAATATTCGAAACATCGATAAATAATTAATTCTTTTAGTTGTAATGACTGTAGCTCAAACGAAGCAAAGCAAATCACGAAAAAAATCACATCGAATAATAAACTATAAACTAGTATCCAAAGAATCCAAAGGAAATATCACCGAAGAGAAATATAAAAAGAGAGCGAATAAATTACTACAAACTAATCGCATTACATTACCGATAAAAACCCATATTTACCAAACATCTAAGCAAATCTCTGAAACCAGAGTCACAGGTAATTTTTTCATGCATACATAGAATAATTCGGTAATTCAACTACAAATTACTTCATCTGTGATCGAATTTTGTGAGAAAATACCCTACATTTGAGATCATTAAAATGCATATTTCGAATCGAATCGAATTTTTACCCTATTTGTGATGTTTCAAAAAACATTAATAGTTATCTTACAAATACCTATAATTAGGTACATGTAGAAAGTTCCCATCCAGGGCCGGATTTTCCTATAAGCTAACTATATATTATAGGGCCTCATAATCAAGAGTATATTCAAATTGTTATAGGTATATTTATGTTATTTACAAACTTAAAAATAGGAGATGAAAGAGCCTCACCTAAGGTATAGCCTGTGGCCTCTTTTCATCTAATTCCGGCCCTGTTCTCATCATGATACTAATCTAGATAAATGTATTAATTGTTTAAACAAGTATCTTTTGAAGCCCTACATAATATTCTTTAAATTTGGCACAACTTCCAGAGACAACAATTAAAAATACCTTCATAATAACTTGTCATGTATGCTCTAACCATGTTTACTTATAGTAGTTAAAAGATTTCAGTTCACTTATTTCTAACTTTAAAATCTCAAAGGTTTACAATTGAACTATTTTGGCTACAATCTAAGATTCTAACGAAGTTCGTCGTAAGCTGTAAAGATCTTTTTTCGAATAACAATTCTTAATTTATCCCAAATTACAGGAATACGCTATCCTTTACAGCTTACAAAAAAAGTTACAATTTCATTGAATATTCGAGTTAAAAAAATCGTTCACTGAATTACAACTGGTGGAGGATAAATTTGTATATTTTTTTGGCAGTTACCATCAATCTGTATGTAAAGGATACAAATAGCTGAGGATCGCAGAATAATGGAAGTACGCAGCGAACCCGACGAATATGTGCCAGATGGCGTGAGCGAACGGGAGCGTCCCGTCGCTTTTGAAGAATATAATGCCCATCACGTACAGAAGCCCCCCTATCGAGAGCTCTTTCATGCCCAAAAAGGTATGCTAAAAACGAAACAATTTAGAATTACGCGAAGTCAACAACAAACGCGTACTTCTGCTATGATAGGAAGGACGGGCCCCACGCCCATTACGAGGTAGAATATAGTCTCGAGCATTTTGTACTTTTCGTGGAAGATTTGCTGGTAAGCGATGCCGGCAATGGCTAGGAACCACACGACCCATTTCATCTGGGAAGCCCATCCGTCGTTCGGGAGTTTCTCCAACGTTAACCAGGGGAAATAGGAACCAGCTATGAAGACATATATCATGGCTCTATCACATCGGTGTAGGATATCTTTCAGTTGGCTGTAAATTCAACGATTCCATGACTCATATAACACTAATACGGGAGTGTATACCTGCATCGATTGCAATAAAAGACGCAATGAAATAGGGTAGATACTGTAAATAAAAATATGAGAGTGGCTCCGTAAACTAGAGCAGAGAGCATTTGGTCGTTATCCTTAGATCGTTTTATCAGTTCTATCGTAGCCGTGATGCTAGGTATTATCCATATTCCGTGGGTGAGAATATTGGCTACGTGTTCTATAGGAGTAGGACAATAGGCCTCTTGTGGGCGAGCTGGTTGGTTCATCCATTGTATGCTAGAATGAATGTTTGTGATAATTGATTTTTCTATGATATTAAGGTGTTCGATTGGTACTTACCATTTCAGTTTTTGTAATGACGTGTTTCTGTTTATATGTAGAAGGTACTGCTTTAGAAGTGTGGTGTTTAGCATAACTGAAATAAATGTTATTTTTGAATGAACGTTTTTATATTTAAAGTCCTATAAATGTAATTAATTTATTCCATTACAATAATATTGTTATCGTAATTAAATTTTGTTAATTTATTTACCAAAAAAATGGATAAACTTAAACAGCTCGCTCCGCTGCCTACTCTTCTATTGTTTAAATTTTACCTATTGTTTTTGTTTTTTTATGCGTCAACGTCACTTTCAGTACAATTTGTTGTTCCGTGTCATTTTACATTTTACCGAATAACCCTAATAAATGAGGCCTTAATTTGAAAAGCAGAAGATGCAGCAGTATTTCATTCATTCAAGAAAATCATAGTTGGCTGTGAAAGAAAATGGCCAGATTTATTTTTAATTTTTGTTGTTCTTTTTTAATTATTATTTACATTCGTGAAACTGGAAATACATAAAATCGTTGTTGTATACGAGGTAAGTAAATTTTAAACTCATTATAAAAACCATTTTTCCTTTGAATTATTTTAATATAATATGTATGACTCATACAGTATGAGAGATGGTATGTAAAGTATACATAGTTAGAGATAAATACTTACTAAAATATTATTCTATCTAAGCTTACGGAGCAATGAACTAACTAATTATAGTACGACTCAAGTTTGTGGGAAATGAGACTTTTGGACTTATCATTTTTTCGGGCGTCTTTAGAAAAACAAATTAATTATATTTAATTATTTTTAAATAATCAACAATCTGCAAATATTTTAACCCGGCGACTTATCTCTGATAAAAACTTACCAGCGCAGTAATAACTTATCTAATTAGCCTCGATATATTTTTAATTAATGGCGAAATTTCCTTTATGCACAAAACCTTGATATTGTCGAAAAACTGATATCGTTACTTATTACCCATTTAATCAAAGTAAAAATAACGCTGTATTTTTAAATCTACAAAACGAATATCGAACACTTTTCTCGAAGGCTTCACTCGCGGTTAAATTTAAATTACTCTCTCTAATAAGGATTCATCCGGTTACATAAACTCTATATTGATTCGAGAACTTTTTAACTCGAAGGTACAACTCGTTTGTACTAATTACATTTATTTCAACGTTATAGAAGATCCGTCTCGACTTTGTACTTAAATTACATGTTACGTATGTAATTTACCGCAACCTTACTCGTAGTAAATTGAATAAGTAAATCGCCAATTATGCGATAAAATTGTTAAAGGATAGCAGGAAGTTTTCTGATGTTCGAAACGTCCATAGTTTAACTGCTTATGTACTTAAATACCCGAAATAAATAAAATGTGCTCGTATATTTCGTTTCGGTACGTAAGAGTGATTAATGCTAAGGTTTTAATGATAGGTAATTGGTTAATAATTAATAATGTATAAAAATTATCGTATTATACTGGCAATTGATTATCCTAGGTACAATTAGATATAAATTATAACAAATTATTTAATAGATGTGGCCTTATAACGGTGGTGGTTGGTTGGGTCTTTGTATTTCATCGGGTACGTAACCTATTCGATGGTGTATTTCCTTGTCCCTTTTAGTGGGATTCAATTTGAAGAGGATCGACTCCGGAAGGTTTTTTTTACTTTTGTCGCTCGTTTTCTCTTTGCTCTGCTTCACTTCTTCATATTCATTTATGTCATCCAGCTTAAGCTCGATGCTCGTTGGGAATCTCCTCAACATTATGAAATTGTTAGTGTAAGCAATTTTTCAATCCAAAATTAAGAAAATTGTCTTTAATCGTTGAAATAATATTGAAAAATCAAAACAAAATGTCAACATAACCTAATTCTTTTATATCTTCTTCTTTTTTTCTTCAACTAGTGATTAGATTTCGTTAGTTGTTCTATTATGAAAAGAGAAGAGATATGACAGATGACAATGACGTTAGCAGGTGTCGATTGTAAACAATAAACGTCCTTCCTTGAGTTTTTGTTTGTTGTTCGACATACTTTAATCGCAATATGAGTGTTTTATTACGTAACAAATTTACTACGTATGCTCGATAACTATGATTAAAGCAGTATTTTGCACAAATTAAATCTAACATGGATAACTTTTTATCGAGTTGTAAATAAAATAAATAAAAATAGTCATACATTGTTAAAAATGTTGTTTATTTTGAAAATTATCTTTTTTGTTTGTTTTTGCAACTATAGCGTTGGATTGAGGTAAGAAAATGCTAATTTTTGTTAATACATTGTTATAATATTGATAAATTTTGATAATGGCAACCATTGAATATTTTTAAACGTATATTATTTAGGTTAATGCTTATGCTTATAATCAAATTTTACTTTCTAAATTCTCCAAGGAATTCCACTATTTTTCTGACATACATCATCAATCAACTCTAATGGGAGCAATTATTTTTAATTACTACCACATTAGTACATTGTCATTAACATACTCGCCCGATTTTTAGGTCAAATGAAATCGACAGAAGGCCTCATCCGAGCCCGACACCGTACCACGATTGGGATTACCTAGTATTCTCCCAGCGATGGTCGATAACGTCGTGCGTAGACTGGAAAAACAAAAACTCCAATCACACTTGCAATCTACCAACCGTGAACGATAAATGGATTATTCACGGTATCTGGCCAACGAAACGAGGCACCGAAGGCCCCGTGTTCTGCCCTTCTGCCGTCCATTTCGACCCCACGTTATTGCAACCGTTTCTAAACGACCTCGATGAGCAATGGACAAACGTGGAAGCCGGAACGAAGGAATATTCGTTTTGGTCGCATGAATGGGACAAGCATGGAACATGCTCGATCGATTTGCCTCAGCTGAATAGCATTCCCAATTTCTTCATGAAAGGTACTTTGGTCTTTTCAATTTAAAGCAAACATTCCTAATCAGCTTACTATAGAGTGCTTCTTATCTTTTCTCATGTTGATTGTGCTACAAAATTGATGTTTTTTGTTTAATTAGTATCTACATTTATCGCGCGTTCATTCAACAATGTCGCACTATATGTAGATAAACTTTTTTTTGTAATCGAGAAATGTGTTTATTTGCAGGCTTAGAACTGAACAAGAAATACAATCTCTTGGAATACTTAAGCACCAGTAAAATCACTCCGGGCAAGTTGGGCTACACCGTTCAGCAAATAGAGGAGGCCATTAAATCCGCGACGAATCACGAGCCCAAAATCGAATGCATCGTCGATTCGCACACGAAAGAGCCCCTAATTAGCGAGATACAAATTTGCCTGGACAAATCGTTCGAAGTGATTGATTGCGAAAGAGGCCGCGACAATTCGACGATAATAAGCGATTGTAGCCTAAAGAAGTCAATTATGTACCTAGATACCGTTTCCGAAAACGAAATTTACTATCAGATGGATTATTCCAACGACAATACCGATGATGCGGACAATTCCGCTTCGCTATACGAGCTGTACAAATTCATAAAATTACTCATTAGGTTCTCGTTGTAATGAAAACAATTATGTGATAACTCTAGTTGAAATAATTTAACTAAAAAGGGCAAAAAAGTACTAAAATTAAGAACATATTATTTATTATATACATTTTAATGTACAATAACTCCAACAGCCGCCCTAGCCTATATACTTATCGTAAAAATAAAAATCTACTATAATTTTTCTTCCGTTTCTTCTCCGTTTTCTTCCGCAATGAAGGAAGTTTCTTTGGACACGGAAATGTCCAGTTTTGGCGTTTCTTTGGGTGGCTCATTGGACGTAGAAGGTTCCGGCTCGTTTGCAATTTTCGGCGTTTGCGGTCTAACGCAAACAGAATTAACACAATAATTATTCATAATTACAATTAATTACCTCGGCAGAATCGTGATCTTCGGCGCCATGTCGATAATAGACTGCGGCGCTTTTTTAATCAACTCCAAAGGTATCTCCTCCGATCGAGGCCTGGGCATTCTAGGCGAACCCTCTCTCGATTTAACGCGCTCTTTAGACCTGGTCTCTTTCCTACCGCTATCTCTCCGCGCGTTCGGCGCTCTATTAGGGCTCTCGCCGTCTCTGAGGCGCCTCATCGACTCGTCAGCGCGATGGACTACGCCGGGGGAACTTTCCCTTCTAGGAGCAGCAAATCCTACTCGAAAAAAATCACGATTTAATTACCGTACGTTAACGAGCGTCGCCTCACCTGGTCCTCGGTTGATGTTGAACAGAAACCTGTTTTCAGCTCGAGCCGTCGGTCGCGCCGAACGGCTGTAAGAAGCCCCTTGACCGGCGAACGCCGGACTCGGCGGCCCCGATTGACCGGGGATCTCCAGCAGCCGCGCGATGTGCTGCATCTTCTTCTGTCGGGCCTTTATTCGCCCCTTGGTCAACCTTTGCTTGGCCGCCATGCATCTGATGTTATCGTCGAAGACGAATTTGGCGTTCAGTAAGGGCACTCGGTTCGAGCTGGCGCCCGATATGGGCCGGTGGATGGTGATGTGCAAACACCGCGAGTCGTCCTTGTCGCCGGTCACTTCGATGTCCTGCAGGAACCCCACCAGCTTGGCGACGCCCCAGCCCAGCCGCTTGGAGTCCGGCTCGACCAGGATCAGCTGGAGTATGTCTATGACGAGGAACCGGCGCATCTTCGCGCCGTCCTTGTACACCACCGTGCAGGCTATCAGGTCCGAATTGTCTGGAAAAGGACGCAATTTCATCAGGGGTTGGCTTCGGTTTGGGAGCCACAGGACCCAATCAATCACTAGTGCATCTTTTTGTACACCGTTACAAGCCATGCATGATTCGAGACATTAAAACGAGCAAAATGCAAACGAACAAATATAATGAGACGGTACAAAGGACACACAACAAAAACTCGCATCTACCACCGACAAAAAAAGAGCTAGTGATTGCTTGAATCGCGTGACTGTGACACACAACGCGTTATACTCAGGTCCAGGGCTTGGTCGATTTGCACGCAGCTCTGCGGGTTCGTCAGCGGCAATTGCGTTTCGACTTCTCCGTTTAGAGTTAGCACCAAGTTTCGCACTAAGAAATATACCCTGATTGCTCTTCGCGCGCGTTCCACCTAAAAAAAATCGTTTGTTAACGTAAATTCTGCTGCGATTAGGTACAATTAATTACCTCCCCACAGGGTAGTCTTTTCGTGAAATCGATTCCGGTCATCGGAGTGCCCGTCGGGGGTAATAAAATTGCACTATCCATACACAGCCATTCGACGTTCAAAGAACCTTTCGACATATCACAGTATCTGGAATTATACGTTAGATTAAATTTGTAGGCGCTTAAGAGATTAAAAATTACTCGTGTTCGAACATATCCAGGAATATCTCTTCGCTTTTGTAGAAGTTCCTCAAAAGCGCCATGCTCTGCACCCTGGCAGTCTCCACTGTATTCCTATGGGATTCCGACAGGACCGTTTTCCCGTCGCAAACGGTCAACTGCACAAACAATTTCAGAGCCAGCTCGAGCGTAACCAAACGCACTCTACAAGACGGTTGGCACGAGAAGATGATTATTTGCAATACTTTTTCTACTAAATAGGTATTGTATAGCGCGTCTTTGGAGACATCGGAATTCTTCGAAACATACAATTTCTTCGGTCTCAAAACTTGCTCCGTTATATCCGAGGTAACACCTACAAAGAATTTATTTGTTAGTTATTAGTAAATTCGTTTGGATTTACTCGCACCTTCGTTACTAGCCATAGCGTATAATAAACTGAGAGCGAACAAAGCCGCGTAATCGTTCTCGGTGCAATCGAGCGCCTCGTACACTGTCTCCAAAAACGGGAAATTCTTCAACGAAGCCGCTCCTTCGGCGGGATCCGCCAACTTCTCCTTCTCCTCGTCGGTGATATTTATATTAGTTTTGTCGCTTAGGATATTCTCCTTCGGACTGTCGCTGTCCCTTTCGCTGTGGCCGCTTCCCGAGGCCTCGTCCTCCGTCTTCCGCCTTTCGTAGTACTCGAAGAAATCGTGCAGCTTATCCACGCCGCTCTCGAACACCGATTTGTCCGCCTTCAGGATTATCCAGGCCAGCGTTTGCGTCAACGGCGAATGCGACAGGATCAGGAACACCTGCGACAGGAGGAACAGCGCCACCACGCACGATACTTTACCGTTCGTCATCTCGTGCGACTGAAAAATCGAAAAGTAAGTACAATATTTATTACAAAAAGACTTATTATTGTATTACCTTTGGGCTGTTGTGGTGTGAAGATTTGGGCGTTAGAGACATCCTTTGGGTGGCTGTATCGTTCGCGGACATTTTCCTTCGGGCGGACGATAGCGAGTAAATGTACAAGGGAATGAGCAACTTGTGGAGCAAATGGTCAGTCAATACGTGGTTCAAATCGATTATATTTAAACATAGTATGTCGTTGATATAGTGGAGGTGGTCTAGGTGTTCGGCCACCAAGTCGGAAAGTCGATTCTGCGATTGATGGCTAAAAAGAGTGTAAAGTATTGATTTTGGGTGTACGATGTTTTAATCGAAAGTACTTACTCTGCGTCGTTTCTTACGCAAGTATCCAATTCTTGGATGTGCTTACCGATAAACCAGACGATATTAGAAAAATACGGAGCTGCTGTTCGGTCTCTGATAAAAGCGAGCATACTGGTGTCGTCTACTTTATATACGTTTAGTGTTAGCGTTCGAACAGCTATTCTTACCATCGATTCGGGATGATTGAAGAACTTTATGGCTTCGGTGTATAGTGGAAAATCATTCGTATGCTACAAAACGTTGTTTAAAATAACAAGTACCGTTTTAGTAGTTACTCTTTACCTCGTTATAGAAGAAATGAATCGTATGCGCGTTCAGTTTGAGACTAAGCGTTTTTAAAAAAGATATATAGTAGGCCATGACTTCTTCATCGGAAAAGTCAAATTTGTGTACAATGATCGAGTTTACGTGATTGTTCGATAAAAGGTAATCTGAAACGATAATTATTTAATATATTTTATCGACGCGATTAATTTGTGCTTACAAAGAGATGTTTCGTTTCTAATATTTTCGAATAAAATATTAAGTGTTTGTAAAAGCTGAACACAGACGAAGCTGGATCCTCCGCTGCGCTGTCTCATTATTCGCAAGAAAAAAGAAAGCATATTTTTTTCCAGGAAAAAGCTAAAACAAGAATTCAGTAACGTAATTCCAATACATTAATGTGACTAGTATTTCGCAAAATAATTTTTTGTAAACAGTAACAACATTTCTTGAATACCGAACATAACTTACTCGAAAACCGAAGAATCGTTTTGATCGCCCCATATTAAAATTTCTGCTATGGATCGTAACGATTCTACCAGCAGTCCTCTGTTGTGTTCGGACACAGTTTGATTCCTCGACAAAACGTTGTAGAGGTATTTTAAATGTTCTAGGGAATGTAGGTTCTTGGGTCTGCCCCATCCTCCACTGAACCAACTTCTGCTTCGAAACATGATTTGAATTTACTCGTTTGGGCCTCTTGTACGAGTGACAATATTAACATAGCTGTCCAGCATGGAAATTTATTCGTTTAAAATTGGGTACATCTGTTTCTGTAATTGCCCAAGTATTCTAGTTATTTGTTGTTAATAAACATCGTAATAGAAAAATAAAACCGATCTTGCCTGGAAAATCACAAAATGTACAATAATATTGACACTAATGACAGTGACACTTCATTTTATGTAATAATTCTTCTTTCTTTTTGTGGTTAAAAGTGACAGATAAGTTGTAGGTAAAATGAATCGTAGGTGCGTTTGTAAATGTCAGTCATTCTTAACCTAACTTTTAGCGCATCGACACAATTCAAAAATACAAAAATAAAACATGAAAGTTTTAGAGTTATACAGTGGTATAGGCGGTATGCATTTAGCATTAAAAGGTAAAAACAAAATTATATCATTTAAATCAATGTTATTACTTTAACACCATTTTTCAGAAAGTGATTTGGAATACAACGTTGTAGCTTCAATCGAAATTAACAACGCAGCAAACGAAATATACAAACTAAATTTCCCAAATACACCCTTGTATAATTTAAACATAGAAGGTTTGACCCCGGAATTTGTGAACAAATTAAACCCCGATACAATTTTAATGTCTCCCCCTTGCCAGCCTTTCACGAGGAACGGTTTGCAGAATGATGTGAAAGATCCGAGAACTGCATCTTTCATTCACGTGTTAAAGTTACTTGAACACGTAAACGTAGAGCGAATACTGATAGAAAATGTTAAGGGTTTTGAGAAATCGGAAATGAGGGAGATATTGGTGGATACTTTGAAGAAAAACGGGTTCGAGTATCAGGAGTTTATTTTGAGTCCTCATCAAATAGGTGTGCCTAATTCAAGGCATAGGTATTACTGTATAGCGAAAAAACAGCCAGGATTCTCTTTCGAAGCAGGACCTTTGGTGAGTTAAAGTTAATATTAAATATTCAGTTTGAAAGTACAGTAATGATATTTTTAGAAAGTGGACTTTATAAAATCTCCTACAAAAGAGTGTTTTTCAATAGGAAGTATATTAGAAGAAAATGTCGATAAACAATATTTTTTATCCGATAAAATATTAAGTAAGTACTATGGGGTGCTGGATATTTCTTATAAACAATCTACAAGGTCTTGTTGCTTCACTAAAGCATACTCTAGATTTATCGAGGGTACAGGGAGTGTTGTTACGGATAAGAATGAGAACGAGGTTGTTGAAGTTTTTGAGAAATTAAAAACTCTCGATTCGGATGCAACCAAATTAGAGCTCTTACGTTCATTGAATTTAAGATTTTTCACACCTAAAGAAGTCTGTAGACTTATGAGTTTCCCTGATGATTTCGTATTCCCTGCATCAATAAGCAATCGAAAAAAGTACATGGTTCTAGGAAATAGCATCAACGTTAAAGTAGTATCTGAATTAATAAAAACATTAAATACTTAAAATTATTTATTTATATTTAAATACGCAGTCTATTTATTGTTAAACTTCCACTCCTGCCTACACATCGGACACTGTTGGTTGACCGGTTGAGATTGCAACCATTTCACGATGCAGTGCATGTGAAAGCAATGCGAACATTGGCCCCACACCAGAGGGCAATCGTCGCCCGGCAATTTACAATCGGGGCAACATCCGTCGAAAGGCATCCTGCATATTCCGCAATTGTCATCGTTTGCCACCCATCTCCATGTAGCCACTCCCGTCCAATTTTTTATACGCACTTTCATGTTCTTAACATCGTATAAAATAGTGCGAAATTATACTAATTGTGGTTTTTTTTTTTGATCAAATAATTTCTAGTTTTTAGGTTATGTTATAAAATAACAAGTTGTCATCTGTCATTTTCTTCATCGTTGTATGAAGGCCTCAGCTGCTAAGGCTAATCGGCCTAATCTGTCATTGTCAATATTTGACATTTAGTGTCTTATGTTTTTATCGGACTTGTTCTGAATACGTATTAAGTTACACAGTGAAATTACTAAATACTTAGAAATTTATTTTTTATTTCCTATTAATATCTTAAATGCAGAATTAATCTACATATAAAGTAAAAGTATTTATTAATTATAAAAATAGTACGTTCTTACATCTGTTCCAGTTCAGGTGGAATGGGTATTTTATTTAAGGCTGCGAAACGTTTAAGGGCTTCGTATCTGTCGCCGATTTCCCGCACTTCCGTCTTCATTTTGGACACTTCATCTTGCAGGTCCTCCATGCTCTTCCATTCGTGGGTTTTTACGGTTTCCAGTTCGTCTTTTTGTTCGATCCGTTTGATCCTGCAGGAGGCTGCGTACCCTCGGTTTTTCAGCGTCCGTCTTCTCTGCTTCATGCGGACGATTTCTTCTCTGGATAGGCCCCGCAGTTTTAATTGCCTGTTGAGATCGCGTACCGATATGGTGACGAGCTCGTCGTCCGATATATCCTGTATCGGAGGCGGAGAAAGAGGGGCCTACGGATGTTTAGATATTACTTAAGGGTGTCTAAGAGATGATGAACTTACCAGTTTTCCGCTCTTTTTGGAATGTTCTGATGCCATTTTTGTTTGATACACCAAATCTGGTTAATATGGAATTTGGAATAGCGTCCTTAAATGTGTTATGTGCTGCTTAATTAGGGCAAGTTACACGAAATTAGTTGGTCATTATTGTCCTTTGCGACTCTTTCTGTGTAAATTTATAATTGCTCAACTTTGCTTGTTGGTTTTAAAACGAAATTTTGTGAAAATAAATAAATACGACTCTTACAACGCACAACAAAAACAACTTTGGGAGTGTCTAAGCAAACGTAGATTAGTTACTTCTGTTGCAAATTATGGTTATTAGAAAGTAGTAATACGCGTTTCATAACAATGTAATATCTATATAAGTGTATAATATTAAAAGAGGTATCAAATCGGTCTGTAAGAGTTGTAATATATCGTATAAATTCTAAATTTTTAATATATTCAATGGTTGAGTAGTCACTAGAAACTTTGACGTTTTTAAATGTCAAAAAGCTTATGTCATTTTCTATTTGTCAAAGTTTTTGTCCGACAACGTTAGATGGCGTTAGTATCATGACAGCCAATGTGTTCTATGATCTTCTCCAGGTTGCAGAATCTGATTCTGAAATTTAGTTTCTGTCCCCGTCTAGTTTTCTCAGTGTCAGAAATCTGCAGAAATCGAACGACCGTGTGTGCGTAAATTTCGTTGGAGTTTGAGTGAAAACAATCGATATTCTTTCGAATTGATAAGCTCGAAAAGAGCTAATAGTTTATTTAAAAAACAACACATCTTCATATAATAAGTAAGTCCATTTAATGTTGTATGCAGTTATAATAGAGCAGATTTCGTTACGTAACTTTATGAGGTCTATTCTTAAATTGATACATTATCAAGTATAGTTAAAATCTAGTAACTATGATTGCGATCAAGGCTTTTTGATTCTGTTAAAAAACACTTATATAATTTTTTATGAACCCGATTTTATTTTTCAAAAGTATTGATCAATGTATTACCTAACGAAGGCATAGTCCAAGTAACATCATAATATTTTCTAATCTTTATCAGTGAAATTTCCCTTAGAATCAATGTTTAAAGGTTACGGGAATTCTTCGAAAAAATGATTCATATATTTTACTTGTTGCCAAATTAACAGATCTCAATTTATAACATATTTTTCCAATTAATTAATGTATTTAGTAAATATGTGTTAATTAATTATCTAAAAACGCGAGCCAAATTTTAAATATCATTCAGTTGAAATAATAAATTTTCATTTATAGATATGATAAATATGATTAGAAGTATTAAAACCACTTAAATTTTATTCAAATAGGCAACGTTGTAAATCACCTTCACGTGCTCCGCTTACGTCACACCGTTACGTCCGCGAAATTTGACATATTTGACATTGCTTAAGTCACGAGTGTCACGGTCACTTCTCACTTTGGTGTCCTGTGATTCGTGTGATTGATTATTCTAGAACCACGTGTTGCATCTTAAGCCCGCGCTGCATTGCATACTTGACTACATAATTCTAACTTGGAAATTTTATTCAAGATTTAAACAATGGGTGTTCCCGCCGGTGACGCAGAAAAAGGCAAGAAAGTCTTCACGCAAAGGTGCGAGCAATGCCATACCGTAGACGCTGGTGGCAAGCACAAAGTAGGACCCAATTTGCACGGCCTCTTCGGCAGGAAAACCGGACAGGCGCCGGGATTTTCCTACACGGACGCCAACAAGCAGAAAGGTAATTGCCAATAAACATTTTTTTTTATCAGATAAGTATACGCAGACGAATTTAGATAAGAGTTAATCGAGTGGGTTTCATAATCATTTATAATGCAGTTGGATCGATAAGAATCGCACACTTGTCTGGGAAAACTAATCATTTTTTTGATAATAAATATTTTGTTTAAGGAATCACATGGAATGAAGACACTTTGTTCATTTACCTGGAGAATCCCAAGAAATACATCCCCGGTACCAAGATGGTGTTTGCCGGTCTCAAAAAGGAAAAGGAACGAGCGGACCTCATTGCCTACCTTAAATCAGCGACAAAGTAAAAGGCCACAAATTAGCGAAATTGGTTTTTGCGTAAATTAAACGACGACTTTTATTTATTTATTTATGTGAGCTGTCTGTATGATTGGATTAAAAATAATTAATAATGGTCGCTATTGATGTTAGTTCGACAATTATTTGTAGGTAAATTAGGTGTTATTCAATTTTATGTCGTCATTTAATCGATGCAAAAATGAATACTCGTTCGTATTAGTAGTATTCTCATCTAGTACATATGTTTACTATATCATGACAGATGAAATACTTGTGCAAACTAGGCAATTTTTTTAAATTATATAATTTATAATTTAAGATTACATTTACTATTTAAGTGTAAACACCAAACTACCATTGTACAGTATGAAATAGTCTATTATTTCGTTAGTTTCATCCTGTCCTGTGTCCATTAAAAACGTTGAAAAAAAAAAAAAAGAAAATACCGCCTTTTATTAAACGTAATTAAATTTTATTTAAAACTGTCTGCAACCTATTTTGATGTTTATATTACAAGAAGCTAACTGCGTAACGAAAAATTTGAAAATGTAAGGTATCTGTATTCTAGATATGTGTTGATCGTCGTTGCAAAGCCTGCATGTTTCCTTTGTCTCACAATGCTGCGGTTTGTCTGCAAATCTCGTTACCGTCGTTATCGGTCCCAAAATTGTCCCACAAGACGTACAAACAAATGCCTGAATATACAAAACAATTCGAGTATAAACTAATCACTACTCACGCGGAGAAAAACTTAAAACGCTTCAATAAAAAGTATTTATATACTTACAGTAGTTTCATCGGAACAATGAAACAATCTATCCTGTAATAAGAAGGAAGCTCCGTGGCTAATCAACGCGTCCCGTTCCATTTCACCGAAACGAACGCCGCCACCTCTTTTCCTCCCTTTCAACGGTTGCCTGGTTAAAATATTTACAGGACCAGTGGATCTCACCTGCAAACCATAACAATCATTTCCTTATCTCGCAAGATAAGCTATTTACGCATATTTACCTGCCACTTATCCGACACCATGTGCCTCAATCGTTGATAGTACACCACCCCGAAGAAAATCTGCACGCTCATTTCCCTGCCGTCGATACCGGAGTACATGGTTTCAGTTCCGTAGTAGTTGTAGCCCCCTTTCTCCAACAATCTGCCGAAATAATCGATGGCCGTGTCCTCTTCGGTGAACCTAAAGGGCGTCGCGTCGTGCACCAAACCGTGCAGGGCGGCCGATTTGCCCGCCATGATTTCTATCATCATAGCTATGGTCATACGGGAGGGAAAACCGTGCGGATTGAAGACGATGTCCGGCACCAAACCTGAAGAATTCCAGTTAAAATCCACTGAGTTACGAGTATTAGTTAAGTACGATACCTGTTTCTGTGAATGGTAAATCTTCTGCCGGCCATTTTTGCGAGCAGATTCCCTTCTGACCGGCTCTGCTGGCGAATTTATCTCCCACGCTGGGATTCCTCTGAAAACTCAACGATTAATTCCACGTGTAATTAGCGTCGAAACGAACTTACCGGTACTCTGTAGGTGAAACAAACAGTCTTCTTGGGATTCTTATGGCCGAAATCCGCGCACAACTTCACGTTATGCACGTAACACTCCTCCTTACTTTTGAACCTTTTGACAATGTAGAATTGTTTATCGGCGTCGAAGTAACTGTACAAGGGCTCCTCGTCCTTTAGCTTCCGCCCGATGTACGGTAGACCGTCCGCATCGATGAATTTCGACAAATAACTAATTTCTTTCGAAAACTGATCCCTCTCGAAATACGAATCAGGATGGTCCAATTGGACGAATTCCGATTTGTAGATGCTACCGTGAGCCAGACCTCTTTCCTCCGACGCCTTGTTGATTATCATCGCATCTTCCATATCGTAACCCTAAATACAATAAACCATTAAACTCTAGTGAGAAGAAATTCCCCTGTAACTCACCGTATAACTGATAACGGCCACGATTGCGTTGGTACCCATGGCGAAATCGTCCAATAAAATGTTATCGTAATGCACCGGCCTGAAAAGCGGTGACCCGGGAGTTTGTAGTCTGTATAACTTGGTTTCGGATTGAAGATCCCAAGTGTGGCAAGGCGTACCCATGGTTTGCTTTCCCATCTGGCATTGGTACATGTTTCTAGGCGATTGGTTGCAATCCGGCATCGGTATTAGTTGGGCCAAATTCGACAGGAACGAGCATTTGTTTAGTTCCATGTGGGTTGTTACCTCTGCGAAATTCACGTTTTTAGTTTAGTTAGGTCGTAATTGAAATATTTTTGAAATTTTAAAAGGGTCCAAATGGGCGAAGCCGGTCCTGTGTTTATTTGCTTGGGACAGGAAATTAGTACCGATTTTTATCGATTCATGAATCGACATAAATGATGTTTAAATTTCTTCATGTTTTTCACAATATTGTTATGAAATTGTGCATTTTTTTAACAATTTAGATAAACAAAATGTTGAAAAGTTAAATTTTAAATCAGATTTTGTTTATAAAGCAAATATTTTTAGAATCGATCAATGAAAAATCGATTATAAAAAAAGACAAAATGACACTGTTGACAGATACGTTAAAGTTACAAAAATTCTTCTTTTTTACTTATATTTCATTATAAAAATAGTAAGGAAAATAAATAAATTACAAATAAATACACCCATTTAGCTTTTAATCAAACATTCGAAATAAATCTGGCATTATTTATTATTTTTATCCAACAAAATCAATCGAACCACCGTCAAAGTTCATAAGCAACACGTTATTCTTTGGACAATGCTCGCAACGAGGAATCAAACTAAAACCGAACGAAATCAATAAATCTCCGTAGTTTTTTCAAACGTCCTCGCGACTACAGTGAATTATTCATCCGTAAAGATTACGTAACGAGCGTTCGCGATGCCATATCATCAACTGTAACGAGTCGATTACAATGTGAGGTTATGTTTATTTCAAATTGTGGCATTTCGCTGGCGAGAGCGGTCCGCGTTACTGTTGGTCTTGGCGCGATGAAACCGAAAGTGGTGTTTGTTTTGGGCGGCCCCGGCGCCGGAAAGGGCACCCAATGCCAGAAAATCGTCGAGAATTTCGGGTACTTGCATTTGTCGGCGGGGGACCTGCTGAGGGAAGAGAGAAGGAATCCCGATTCACAATACGGGGAGCTCATCGAGAACCATATCAGAGAAGGTACTAGATAATGCATTATTATGTTATATGCACTTTGAAATATTGGGGTTAATTCATTGTAATTAATTTGATCTTTGACCCTGGGAAAAAACCGCATGGATTGTTTTATAATTGAATTAGTTAATTAGTGCTAAAGTTTACTAGTAAATTGGAGGTCTCGTTCGGTTTTTTTCTACCAATTACAAAGCACTTGTTATCTTATTTTTAAAATTACAAATTCCCAGCCTTGCTGATTAATTTTCTTATCTTTTTCGCAAACACTTATCGCTCAAAGGTATACTAAAATTTTGTTATTTTTTTTATCCAGGAAAAATAGTCCCCGTAGAAATAACATGCAGTCTATTAGAAAACGCCATGCAAGCCTCCGGACAGGACAAATTCCTAATAGACGGCTTCCCCAGGAACCAAGACAATCTGGACGGCTGGAATAAATCCGTTGCGGATAAAATCGACCTGCAGTTCGTTTTATTTTTCGATTGCCCCGAAGACGTACGTCTTAATATATTAAACATTACAAGTTTATTTAACGCTATACTTTCAGATTTGCCTGCAAAGGTGTCTGAGTCGAGGCGCCTCGGGCAGCGGTAGATCGGACGATAACGAAGAGAGCCTCAAGAAGCGCTTCAACACGTACGTGAACGAAACGCGACCGATTGTGGATTATTACGAAAAGTTCGATTTAGTTAAAAAAGTGAACGCCACCCGACCGGCGGACGAAGTATTCGAAGACGTTAAATTGTTGTTTCTCGGACGAGAAGGGGGAGACCACAAGTAATTGTTCGTGTGATTTATAACAAAGGATATATAATTTTATAATACAGAATTGACGCATTCCTGTATTTATATATGTTACATTTCTATTTTCTGTAATCACTGAATTGGGCGTATTGTTGCCGAGTGATTATGGGAAATTATCCGAATAATTGCAAAATATTTTTAATGGCACCAGTATATCAGTTGATACCTCTAGTCAATTGTATGTATATTATGTATTACATTAGGATTTAATCAATTCAGGCAATATCTATATTTTTACTTAAGTTCATAATATTTTATTCGCATATTGATTTGGAGGTTCAATTTGTAAACTTTAGTACTTAGAAATATTTCGTCCTGCTAATAGAACTGATGTATTTTTTTTAAATATCAATGCTTTTAAGTACTTACATTTCATAAAAAAACGTATTAAAAAAATCAGGTAATTTGTTAATCGAATATCTGGTAAATTGTACCGCCCTAAATTTACCAGAGATTTTCTAAAAACATTATTTTGTAACGTATACACATATTATACCATTATTAATTTAAAATTGTGTTCAAGTAAGATATTATTTGTATATTTTTGCATTTAAAGCCGATTGTGAATGCCGACTTAATTTAAAATATACCTAAAAGGAATGCCACAGAACTCGACTTATTTCAGTCTAAAAAAAAAAAAAAACAATCCACTTACTTTCGTAGGCCTCCTCCGGCGTGATGCAAACGTCCATATACACCTGCTCCAACGTTCCCACCAGCTCCACTTTGTTCGCGTACAAATTCATCAGGGGCCTCATCATCCTGGCCGGGCCCGTGAACAAATACACGCCCGGGTACTGGCAGATGCTCTTCTTCCTCGGCACCCAGGCGATCTCGAGCGTTTCCGGCACCATCTTCCCTTTGATCTTGAACAACCGCAATTTCTGCACGATCCGAGCCACGTCCCCGTTCGATATGTAACCGACGATCCTCCCGTCCAATTGCACCGAGTAACTGGCGTTCAGGTCGATCGTATCGGCGTATTTCAGCGGTTTCATTCCGAGTTCGGTTAGAATCAGCGGGATATTTCTAGAAAAAATATATGTAGGGTGGTTCTGGGAAGAGTGGTGGGTGCTTACTTGACTTTATCGTCGTCCGGAACGTCGGTAATGATGCAATTCAGCGCGAGATGGTTGAGGAGGCCGCAAGGGGCGCCGTCCGGCGTGTGTACGGGACAGATGAACCCCCAAGCGTCGGGCAACAGTTGCCTGGCTTCGGTGGTTCGGATTTCTTGGAAGAACGCCCCCCTGTGGACGGCCCTGAAGTGCGACATGTACCGCATTTTGTTGATGTTTTCGGCCACTATTGCCAAACCTATGATCACATCGAAGACAAGAATATTATACTATATTTCGACGTATAAACTGGGCGTACCTTTGTCTTGCATTAATCCCAATCCGGAGATGCTATTTATGTTTCCGGTGGCTAGAAAATTGGCTAGAGCGTGCTCTATACCACCGCTGTTTTTAGCTGCTTTCAAAACTTCGGTTTGGCTCAAATTGAAATTAGTAGCTTTGGCCAATTTCAAACAGTTGATTTTCAGGACGTTCAACCACGAATACAACTTCTCTTTCACTACTTGCAAATATAAATGACCACCTATAACAAAAATAATAGAATTTACGTGTTTTATGCTTATACGAAACTTACCGAGTAGTATTTCTTGCATCATAACGGCATCGGTCCCTTCCACTTTGCATTTATCCTGCGAGAAGGAGAACAGTTTCTGCGTCATGAACACCAACATATTGAACTTGTCCTCGTTGTCGTTCAGATGGATCAGAACGCATTTTTTCAGTATGAAATCGGCTATTTCGGCGTCCGTGTACCACTCCGGGCATTCGTAGAACTTCACCCTGAACATTCTACCCAAGTAATTCTTGCAATCCTCGCTCGTATGGAGACCACTGACGTGCACCGATCGCAGCATGTTCTGCACGCAACTAAAATACGCCGATTAAGTAAAGTTAATCGAAAGGTGAGTAATAGAAAGGTTTACTCGACGTAGTAGGTGTCGTCGTCGCAGCTCTGGATCAGCTTCTGGCAGATGTACTGGTCGCTGTAGTTGCAAAGGCACTTCAAAATCAAACACAACGGGGCGTAGTACAAAGTTTTTTGATAACTGAACATCAGTTTGGCCGAACCGTCGGTTACAAAATGAAGAACGTTAGTCTAAAAATACAACAATTAGAAGAAACTAGGCAGCTAATCGAATAGAAAACTTACGGTGGCCGTTTGATCGGTTTGTACGCAACGTATGGATATTCCGGAATCGGAGAACAAGACGCCTCTCTGCTTCCAACCGGGCCTCCTGATGGCTATGGGGTAATTCCTGCGAGTTATCAGCAGCATTCTCACCAGCTTCTCGTTGCCTTTGATGATGAAATAACCGCCGGATTCTTGTTCGTGCTCGCCGTGCTCCACCAGCTCTTTGGGTTTCAGGTTGTGCAAATTACACAACTCAGACTGCAAAATTATGTTATAAGAAGACTTTTATACACTATATAGTGTACAGAAGCGACTTATTTTATGCAGCTTTATACAAGTTAGTGAACGTACTGTATATGCTTGTCGAAAGTGGTTTGTCACAAATGGATAAATCTATATTAAGATGGAAATACCGCAGTAGTTATGTTATTGTGCTACTGTCCTGGTCGACTGGATTGACCAATGTATTCCACAGTCCTAAATTACTGCTCGAAATAGGCATTTTCAATTACTTGCTAGTCCACGTCGTTGTAATGGTAATCGTAGGAATACCAATGACTCTTACTGAATTAGCTGTTAGTCAGTATTCGTTGAAGTCTGTGGTGCGGTGCTGGGACGTGTGCCCCTTTTTTAGGTCCCTCTACTAATCATTTAAGTGTGTTTATTTTAAGTTATATTTATTGCAGAGGTGTGGGGTATGGAAAATTTATATTAATTGCCATTTTTCATGTTTATTACAACTCATTGAACAGCTACTTGCTCAGTTACTGCTTTGCTCCATTACCCAGTGAAGCATCGAGGGTTGTAAATGGTTCAAACATCGAAGCATTTTGGTACAATGAAATAATTCAAAATAAAGGTAATCATAACATTTTAATTACACGTATGAATTTATTAATTGCCATTGCAGGCTTTCCCAATTGGAAATTGGTAGCAAGTTTAACCGCCCATACTATTTTGGAATTTATTATCAACTTTAATGGAACTAAACTATTAGAAAATATATTACCTTTGCTATACTATCTATCAATATTTGAGCTTATTGTATTGCTATGTGTAATAGGTGCTTCACCCGGTGGTATGGAGGGTGTTAAATGCTTGTATACTAAACAAATAGATTTTAATTATCTTCTAATTTGGAAGAAAGAAGGAATACTGCTACAAGTGTTCCAAATGTATTTATATTCTATTGGACTAGCCTTGGGTATGTATTTTAGTATATTTATGTTCTTTAATATTTACAGTGAGTTTTCAGGCGGATTTTCGGATATTGCAGCTCAAGGGAGCTTCAGAAATCCTTTGTACAAGATTTCTGTTTGGGTAAATTTAGCAAATCTCGGAACTACTTTAGTGTATGGAAACTTATTTTCTATGTTAAATGGAATTGTTCAACCTAATACGACAAAATGTAAATCTGAAATTGGTCCGGAAAAAGACTTTTCGTTTATATTCACTAAAATACCCAATGCTCTGAATGGTGGAATTTGGAAATATATATTTTATTCAAGTCTATATCTAAAAGGTAAAATTAAAATAATTCTGAAATATTTGCTAATGTATGTATTGCAGGCGTTTGTACTTCATCATTAATGCTAAAAACGATACTTGATGTAATATACGAAGAAAAGCCCGAATTATTATCTTATTCGAGATTGTGTTGCATAGTATTTAGTATATGTAATTTTTTACTAGGTTCTCTAATTTTTACAAATTTAGGATTCATCATAGGGCAATTTATAGTTGACGTTATTATCCAGATTTTTCTTCCATTAATTGTAACAATTCAAGCGGTCACAATTGTTTTTATATATGGTTTATTCAGATTTACCACTGATTTGTATTTTATGCTAGGAGTGTACCCTACAATTTACTGGCCTTTATGTCTCACGCTCTCCGTAATTGCTTTACCAATTTTAAGTACCGTTAGCATAATTAATTATTTCAAAACTACTAATTTAACCGATTTCAATTTAACGCTATTTAAAGGAATTGTTAGCGTCACGTTGGCTTGGATTCCATTCATGGCTATGGTGAGGGTAATAAGAAAAGTTAAATTCGATTTGATATTCAGAAGTTCCCCGAATTGGAACCCTCCCGATGGTTTGGAGACAAGTAGAAAACAATTCGAAGAGCAGCATTGTGTCGAAGAATTTTTGTACGAAAGGTACTTGTTGCAAAGGAAATTAAAGCGTTACGAATAGACTTATTTTGAATTCCTCACCTTCACCATAACTGGTATTTCTCCCAAATCTTTGGTGAACGATTGCTGTTGCACATCGTCGATGAACCAATCTACTTCCACAAAGAATCTGCCTTTGTAAGTATTGGCGCTTTGTCTGCAAAAAGTCGGATAGATCGTCTTGTTTTTCACTAGGACCATTTCTTGTGAGACCTCCGGTTTTTGAAAGGAATAGTTGCTGATCGAAAACTTTATTCTGCGCTCGTTTAAAGTGAACTCCACCGAATTGAGGTCTTTTATAGCTTCGTCCAGTCCTTTGTTCACCATATAATTAAAGCTAGACGTGTGCGGTTTCCCCAAAGACTGCAATAACTGAAAAATAGAGTTTATTGATAGAGAAACTTAACCACAATAATGCACGTGTAACGGTGAATATGGCAAATTATGGCACTTGTGTTTATTTTTCGTGCGGTTTACGTACCTCATTTTGATTTTCTGGGGGTGTCCCAAAATTTGGGTTCGTTATATATTTTAAAGAAGGATTTTCCATCTTTGAAAATTAAAATTCTTTTCAATAACCTATATGGCGGTTGGATGTCATTTGTCAATGTCAAAAATATTGTTGAACGAATAATCAATCGGTTTAATATCGCTAGATAAAAAGAAGAAAAAAATATGTGAGTTGACTTTATTTGTACTTTACGGCATATGTGTGACAATTTAAAAACATTTTTTTGTAGTTTCGATATGAGAATTAATAGAAATAATGAAATATATAAATGATGGACTGATTTGGGTCGTAGGGAATTCCGACCCCACCAATGTAGTTATTCAATCACCACTTCGACAGCCAACAATTCGGCGTAGACATATCTCTGACGTAACAACCAATTCCTACAGTCGTTCAAAAAAATGTCAAAAATAGAATAGATTAATCGACCGTTGAATTTACGACTGTCATATTGTTGCACTAACCCCATTTATTCGTATAGACTTTAAATTTATAAGAAAGCGCCACCAATTAGTTGATAATAACGAGTTGCAATTAACAATTTTCCCGTAGGTTCGTGAAAAATCGGACAATCCGACAACGTCGCCGGCTATTCTGGGCGAGCAGCACTGGGAAAGCACATGACCGACGCGCGGCGATGACACTCACCAACGCCTAGCCACCTTCTCACTCGTAGTTTGGTGCGCGATCCATTCGTACGTAACCGACTAGTATTCTACCATATTCTTGAGATAGAAAAAAAAAAGTAACTAAGAACAAAATGTCTCTCGCCGATCCCGTTGCTTTCATGAAGGATTTCCTCGCCGGAGGAATCTCGGCCGCCATCTCGAAAACGTGCGTGGCCCCCATCGAGCGCGTCAAGCTGCTCCTGCAGGTACAACACATCTCCAAGCAAATCGCCGAGGACCAACGTTACAAGGGTAAGGCTACCGTGCGATTTACCATAAGTACCATAACCCGTCAGCGGCCATTTCGCTGTAATGCACAGCGAATTACCCGTGCGGTATTAGTTACATAACAGCTACTTTTTTTAGTCGATTTACTCGAAAGTACCCGTAACGATTACGTAAAGCGATCGAGCAGGGTGGTTATTGGTAGTTGGTTTATAGTTTTGTCGGGTTGTTGGTTAATGGGTGATTAATATTCGTGGTAATTGAAGCGTTTTGTTCCAAGGTCATTGCGTTTAATAGATTATTAAGTAGCGGCTTTACTAGCGAATTGCACGTTAAAGGATTTACTAGCGAATTCCACGTTAAAATTAGCGATAGGTAAAAGTCGGTCAGGAGACCATGACAGTTAAACTTGGTTCGGATCGATACGATGCCGGGGGAAAATGTCGGAACGGAAAAATTGCGCCAAGTACGGGCCACGTGGACGGTTTTTGTAATGTAAAATTGTAATTTCGAGCGGATTTGTTTGAAAGTATTCGATTTCGCGTAGGAATGCAGACGTTTTTGCTTACGTAAGTGGATTTATTCGGGCGACATGGGCTCGAAAAACGCCTAACCTTGAACGTAATACAATAGCTGATAAAACGAGATTGACGGGGAACTACTTTATTATAAATTTTTACGTTTTTCTCTATTACCTAAAGGTGCGCGTAATTGTTCGCGGTGACGTAACTGAAACTATCCAATCGCAGCGCTCCGTTTTATTTCAATCATATTACAGGCCAATAAGATGTTTCGCTGGAGTAGTGACGTCGCTGCTGAGAATAAAGGCCGTTTTGCATGCAGTACAAAGGCGAGCTTAAAGATCACTAAACTTGCTGGTTTATCGGCCATGATGATTAATCACCCTCGACCTTGAGTTGTCTTTGTCGTTTCCACTACCTGCATCCCTAAATTTTGGCGCAGAAAACTGGTTTGAGCCGGCATTTGCGAGCTCATATATCCTACGACACACCAATGAATATTAAACATTTATGCTTTGAATCGCATTTATTTCAATAGTCGAGGAGTGTATGAAGCGATTGAACCACGTGGCAGATAATGAATTTGCTAACCTTACATAAATTTCATTAGTATGTAAGATGTAAAGTCTGTGTTATTATTAATTTGTTAATTAACAAAAGGTTTTTCAGCAACAGATCTGTCATTAGTCTTATAGGAACTTTACTTCCTATTAGGAAGTAGGTGCAATAAAAAAATCCTTTCTTTGGGTTAAGGCCTCTGCTTCTATAGCTATTCGGTCTAAAAATCCTTTTTGAGTTGTGATTTCTGAAATATCTCAATTACTTTTCTTGCTAATTACTTCTTAAAAGTATCACATTTTAAATAAATAAATTGGTAATAATTGGTAATAATTAAATTAAAGAGTAAAGCAAATATTTGCACATATGCACTTACTACTTATTAATTGTTTAAGTAAATTCCGATTGTTTAATCAGTATAAAATTAAGTGCTTTCGTAAATACTATTGAGCACTATAAATCGTAAATTGATTGCGATTATTTCGAAAATAGCGCTCATGACAAAAATTATATCTGTTGCTAATTTGAGATAATGTTAAAATTCGCCATAACAATGTAAAAAAATGAATATGTAGCAATAATCACTTAATTAGTAAATTGTGACAGTATTATTAGGAAATATCAAGTAGACAATTCATTAAAATATTCTACAATACATTTCTACAGTATTGATAATAAAACTGTGTACTAACAAGTGTACCGTCTAGCACAAGGTTTTCCAATAAATTCGAGTTCGTTTTTATAACGAGGTTGAATCAACACACATTCAAAGTTCAAATTCGTTAATTGTAACGTTTCGTTTCGATCAATTTAACGCGCTCGCACTTTTTACGGATTTTCTTTCAAATTGAATCGTAACAATATATGTAGTATACTATCAATTCGTTATCGAAAACTTATTCATAAATGTTATCAAAACGAGCGTAAGGTCGAGATTTTTCTACTCACGATTCGCCGATAAGGCGTTTCGAAACGTTACCAATGTTGAAATAATCAAACTCGTTAATTATTGTTCTACAAGAATTTTTCCGTTCGATTAGTTTGCGAACCCTTAGAAAATTGTTTACTACGGTAAATGTTTACAACGTGGATTGTTGTTGTAAATGGGTCAATAGTATTTTGAGATTTATTATTAGAGAACACAATTTTCGCGAATGCATAGATCCGTTATCTAACGAATTATTTCGTCAAGGCTAGATTTATGTTATTTTTGAATCCTCGAAACGATTTGAATGGCACGAAAATAGAACTTGGCAGACGATGTTTGGCAACCTTGTATACCTTAACCTAATGGAGATTAAAAAAAATAACACAGCGACGTATGCATTGTTGAAGTTTTAATAAAAAAAAACATGTGATAACGAAACTTATGTAATTGAAAGGAATTACACTACGAAATTTGTAAAATTGATTTAGTAGCAATTTGGGGCCAATTTATTTTAAACATTTGGCAGATGCTTTCGAGATAATCGACCTCGTTTTCCCCGTACGCAATGTCTGATTTTTCTCCCGTTTTTTCCACCAGGTATGGTAGATTGCTTCATTCGCATCCCGAAAGAACAGGGAGTGCTCGCCTACTGGCGTGGTAACACCGCCAACGTCATCCGTTACTTCCCCACGCAGGCCCTCAACTTCGCCTTCAAGGACAAATACAAGCAGATCTTCTTGAGCGGCGTCGACAAAAAGACCCAATTCTGGCGTTACTTTTTGGGTAACTTGGCTTCCGGCGGTGCCGCCGGTGCGACCTCCCTCTGCTTCGTCTACCCCCTCGACTTCGCCAGAACCAGGTTGGTACATTCTCCTCCCGTAATACGATAGATAATTACAATCTTTTACTGTGTTGTTTAGATTGGCCGCTGATGTAGGTAAAGGCGCCGGCGAACGTGAATTCTCCGGTTTGGGTAACTGTTTGGCTAAAATCTTCAAAGCCGACGGTTTGCCCGGTTTGTACCGTGGTTTCGGTGTATCGGTACAAGGTATTATTATCTACCGTGCTGCTTTCTTCGGTTTCTACGATACCGCCAAAGGAATCTTGCCTGATCCCAAGAATACTCCGATCCTCATTTCGTGGGCTATTGCACAGGTTGGTATTCGATTGTTAATACATTAGGATGCGTGTAATAAACAGTTTTTTTTTTTGTTGTTGTAGACTGTGACCACAATTGCGGGTATCATCTCGTATCCGTTCGATACGGTGCGTAGGCGTATGATGATGCAGTCGGGTCGCAAGAAGACCGAAATCGTGTACAGGAGCACCGCCCACTGCTGGGCGACGATCGCCAAGACCGAAGGGTCGAAGGCCTTCTTCAAGGGGGCGTTCTCGAACGTCCTCCGTGGTACGGGAGGCGCCATCGTATTGGTCATGTACGACGAGATCAAGAACGTTATTATGTAAAGCAATGTTTTGTTAATTATCGAGAAGAGAGGATCGCGCATCACCATCCAACCAACACTAGGGAATATTTAGCAAAAACAAACCAGACAAAATTTCGATTCGATCATTCTGCTGGCCGTGCTCGTACAAAAACCATTCCGAGTGGGGAGGTACCGTCGCAGGGAGGCGGCGAAATCGGGTTGCGTTTTGTTTTTATTTATGTATTATTAAAGTAAAATGAAGTGACCGATCGCCTGGCTGCGATGGTTTCGCTGTCAACCCACCCGCACCTTGCTGAGCACGACTTGGAGGACAATGTATATAGTTGTACATTTATTTATTGTTTTTTTTTTGTTCAATACATTTACCTGTAAGTTCCAGTAGGCCCGGGCTGAATTTAGGAGACTACGTCATTTGATTTAATTTTGTAATTAGAAAAGTGGTGATTTCGTCGCCGAGTTCTTTTAGATTTAATTGTAATACTGAGTTGTTCGGATCGCAAATATACTGTTGTTGTTTCTTTTTTGGTTAATTTCAACAAAAACATTCTTTACGCATTGTATCATCATGTCTTTGATGGTTAAATAAAAAAAACAAAAACATCGAATTTTGTGTTATTTTCGGATATCTACGGAATTAAACGGTATTAGGAAAACATTTAATATATTAAACATCTATATCGACTACAGAATCAAGATAAAAAACAACGTTTTCATATAATAAAATTGTAAAAATATAACAATTTCTAATATGACTCTTTAAACAACCAATTTTATTTATAAAATCGAAATTCAATTCAAAATAGGCCTACTTAGTACATAAATGTTACATGTATTGAAGTTTTCCAAATTTTACATCGATTTAACATACTGTTCGAAAAGTGTACCATCACTTTTAGACATTAATTGTTGAACACACGAATATATTTTGAACATTCGCCAATTTTCCATGCGCATATTCGAGCTTCATAAGATTAACTTTCATTACATAAGGTGAAGCATTTTGAAAACATTTATTTCTACTAACATAGCGAACATACATTTTGGATTAGCGTATGGGTGATTTATAATTATACGAGGCGTTGAGTAATAATGGGTTACACAGTAACTAGAAATACTTTTGTACCCTATTTTTACCTACCCCGTATAATGGATGTTGGAATATTCACAAATAATTAAAATTTTTCGTTCCTCGTTCACTGATTGCATTAAATTTTGAAAAATATAGGTATTAAACTTATGATATGATTTATCACTCTTATAATTAAAAAGAACGAATACAAAACACGTGCCTAATACTAAAAAAAATGATATGTACGAATTTTTTCACATATTGGGTAAAAAAAGTGTTAATATTGATCAAATTATCGTGAGTTAGGAAATAGGAAGCGAATTTTCCTAGTATGCGATTTGAAGTGTAAGAGGGTTTCCACACGGTGCAATATATTGCAGGAAGAAATTGTTGCAATATTGCATTGCAGTTTTTATACAAGCGTTAATAAAAATTATCGTATCGCATACATCTCAAAACCACGCATTTGAACGCTTGTAATTTAACTGCAATGCAATATTGCAGCAATTTATTGCAATATATTGCACCGTGTGAAAACGCTCTTAGTGTATGAAAGAGCCTACTCGATACCTACCACCACATTTCTTTTGAATTGTATTAATAATAATAATGTCTCGCAAATACCTGTCGATTGAGTTTTCCTATGGAAATTTGGTTCTGAGCTGAGAAACGATTGGTCTGGAACGTCAATTTCGCCCACCGCAATTAAATTCTCACTCACCCTGTATGATAATCTTAAAGGCTAAATAGACTCGAGTAACAGATACGCAGCGTTGCCTAGCAAACGATCGAATCCCAGCAAATAATTCGCTCGAAAAATCAAACGAATAGTTCCGAATTAACGACTAAATGCTGGGAGTTGAGGTTTCCCGTTTCGTGAAGCCGTGCTATTAGAGTAAACATATCTAGAGGTACACAAATGGGAAGTTGAAGAGTTTTATTCCGTTTGTCCTAATTTCCTTAGACATAACCGAGAGCAGTTCTTGTACAAAATTATTGGACCATTTTCTTGCAGTCTTTTTACTTCTTCGACGTCAGAATAGTCACGAATTCTACAAAACAAATCGCAATAATCACAATCAACGTGGTAACTTCGACTCCAGTATACAGGGTATTCCTAAATATCGTACACATCTTGAAATTTCATCACCCTGTAGATCGGTAACGAAGCGTTTGCACCAAGTAATAAGCCAAGGAATTGTCCTCTTTCAGATGTGCATGATGTATAGCAACACCCTGTACAGTAAACAGTAATTTACCTTCATAATTTACTTGACCATCGCCATCCAAATCGGCCTCCTTGATCATATCGTCGACCTCCTCCTCGGTCAGCCTCTCCCCCAGGCTGGTCATCACGTGGCGCAGCTCCACCGACGATATCAACCCGTCGTTGTTCTTATCGAACACCCTATCAAAAAAAAAAAAACACGAAATATCGCTAGCCAGTTCCAGCCGCCGGCGTACCTGAAAGCCTCCTTCAGCTCCTCCTCGCCGTCGGCGTCCTTCATCTTCTTCGACATCATCTGCAGGAACTCGTTGAACTCGATGGTGCCGTTGCCGTCCTGGTCGACCTCGTTCACCATGTCGCGCAGCTCCGTCTCCGACGGCCGCTGGCCCAGCGAGCGCATCACCACGCCCAGCTCCGCCATGGTGATGGTGCCGTCCTCGTCCTTGTCGAAGAGCATGAAGGCCTCCTTGAACTCGGCCACCTGGTCCTCGGACAGGCCGTACTCCGTCTAAGCGGGAGAGCGCGACGTTAGCGAACTCGCATGGACGTTTTAAAATTAGTCGAACTTGACACTCTGGACTTACGCAAGACTGCTGCACGTCGAGGTTGCTGGTGAGCCTTCGGAGTCTGCTGTACTCGCGACCGTATCTCTCGGCGTCCGTCATTTTCCATGCGAAATGCGGCCGGGACGCAGGCGACTGCGACTATTTTCGTTTTGCTTTGATATATTTTTTTTTTGTCGGAAAATTTAACGTTCGTTTCGCGCGTTCCTGCTGAGTCAACTGCGAGCCGGAGATAATGCAATGGAACGCTCGGCTTGGCATCGGATCCGCGGCATTCGCGCCGAAATTTTCTACCAAGGTAAACGTTTTCGAACGTACTTACCAGGTTTATGGTGACAATGAGGTCGTGCTGGTGGTGTTTTCCCTTCTTGGTTTTCTTGGTGGTCTTGGCTACGCTGGCTGCGGCCACTTTGGCCGGGGCCTGCTTGATGGGCTGGCCCTTCTGGGCCACCGCCGGCTTCTGGCCCGGCTTGCAGGGCGCTTTGGGGCCGTGCGTGGGGGTCCTCTGGCTCGCCTGCTTCTGGGCCAGGTGTCCGCTGCCATCCGCAGGCTTGTTGCGAGCCTGGGGAAAATTTACAGGATTGATTTTTACCAATTTTTTGGTGTAATGGAGAAGTTGAGATGAAGCGAATTATTATAGTAAATTATCCACAGGTGTGAAATTCATAATATAATTCAAGCGTTCGAATGAATATTCCAAAATCGATCCCGGTCGATTTAGTTTTAATGAAGCCGTCCCGTCTCCCGTCGCAATCGGAATTAACATGTATAAAGGTGCATATAAACGTATACATGAATATTATAGGAACACGTGTCTTTCGAGCGCCCATCGCCGCTAAAAATATGAAAAGTTTATAATCCGGTATAAAATGTAATAATAAATATCAAGCCGAGATGTTGTAAATTTTCGGATCGAGCAGAGAACATTTTTTTTATTGCGAAAACCTCCTCCGATCGGCGTCGGTGCCAAAAAAACGTTAACAACTCTTCTTGCGGACTCCGCAAATATAAAAAAATATGTTAAGATATCATCAGCGAGGAGAATACCTTGGAAAAGTATTAAAAATATACCGCTGATGTGATGACTATCCATATGGAAAAGTTATTGTAAAGATATAATTTGTTGAATTATTTGGAGTAGAGTTTATGGAAAAGTAGATCCAGGGTAGAGTAAATTGAGGGTAGAGTAGATTCAGGGTAGGGTACATTCAGAATAGATTCAATGTAGAGTAGATTCAGGAAAGAGTAGATTCAGAATACAGTAGATTCAAGGTAGAGTAGATTCAAGGTAGAGTAGATTCAGAATAGAGTAGATTCAAGGTAGAGTAGATTCAGAATAGAGTAGATTCAAGGTAGAGTAGGTACAGAATAGAGTAGATTCAAGGTAGAGTTGGTACAGAATAGAGTAGATTCAGAAGAGTTCAATTAATTCAAACTCTACTTTATAGAGTTCAGGGTAAGATGGATTCAGAATAGGAGTAGAAGTAGGAGTAGGAGTAGGGGAGTGGAAGTAGACACAGTTAAACACAAAACTCTGTTCAAATAATATATGCAGATTTTACCTTTTAAGCCTGGTAAGAAAGGAAAAAAAATAAGTGAAAATTGAAATACATTTTCCAGTAGATTCCATATTTATTGTGTTCTTTAACGGGAGGAATTTTTCGATCCCGCCGTGCTGGAGAATTCATATAGCGTATAGTCGATTGCAGGAGAAATGTCTAAATTTAAAATTTCGAGTCGCATGTGGCCGGCGGGTGGCTAGTCGATTCCTCGAGGTATATAATCGACCGGCAGACGAAAATAACACTCTTTTAGTATTCGACATTCCGGAGGAAAATCGCCTTCTGATAGCCCCCGGGAGAAGGAAAGCGCCGAAATGGTTAGTGGATTAAATGATCGAGGGAAATCAATTGAGTGGCCGGCGTGCGTGGGTGGTTTTTAAATCGTTCGATTAGATGATTTCTTTATGATTTTTTTTTTGAAATTTTTAACAGTATCGCAAATAATAAATTAGTTGTTTTAAAATTTTCAGACCGAAACATTAGATGAAGAACAAAAGAAACGTAAGTATTGAAATTCTATTTTCTATTAACAATTAAACTGCATCTGTCAATACAGGGTGTCCCAATAAAAGGTAGCCCCTTTAATGAGCTAATTTGTAAAGACCTAATGATAAAAATATGCTGTTTTATGAAATATGTTTTATTTTATTATAAGTTTTGTTATACTGATTTACTGATACAGAAATAATGCATTAGCAATACAGGGTGTTTTATTAAAATCTCGTTTAAATTCACAGTAACCAAATTTTCACCCCGTATATACAGAGGTATTTTGAAAGATATACTCTTCTACTTTTCAAAAATCTATTATTTGTAGGTACATGTTATTGTATAAAAGAAGATGTTCTATTTCATAAAATTTAGTAATTGTGAATTTAAAAGAGGGGATTTTTATGAAACACCCTGTACAGGCCATACAAAAAATTTGTATCACTGTAACAAAAAGTTATAGTAAAATAAAATATATCAGCGAAATCCGCATGTTTTTTTGATTAGGCGTTTAAAAATTATAAACTGATTAAATGGTCTACTTTTCATTGGGACACCCTGTATTTGCATGTTCCCATACCATAACTATTAAAAATGCAGGAAAACTTTATCAAACATTACGCTTTGCTCGATTATGGGCTATAAAACAATAGGTGCTTTAAATATTAAAGAGTTCACGTCGAGATTTTAACTGGGATTGCTAAATTCCAGCTCTAATAGAGTATTCCCGTGGAAAATCCTCCATGCATGAAATCACCGAATCCCGTCGATAATAAACCGATTTTCGTTAGCGCTTCGACAGCTTCGCGATCTTTTCGAGGGCTTTTCGCATTCAGAAATAAAAAAAACCCGCACACCGTTTGCGGTCGAAAATAGATTTATCGGCGGAGTAGAAAAGACTCCCATTTTCACCGTTTTGTTTAACACCTACTTAACATAAGCGGAATTTCATAAACGATATTTTCCATTAGCACTCTCGAAACGCTCTCGATAAATGTAAACTTCATACGAAATCGTTAATTTTATCGATGCACTTGCACCTCCAAATTTTATTTACATATACAAGGTGATTGCTATGTCACGGCAAATTTTGAGAAGAATTGAATTTGAAAAGAAATATTATATACCTTACAACTATCATTACCTCCTTGTCTCTTATCATAGCCTCCTATCATCGTCTCCTATCATTTTCTCCTGTCATTTTGTTCTATCATGTTTATTAATAAATAATTGTAATAAATCACCCTGTATGATAACATTTGAGCGCGTTTTGCCGGAACGATTAATCGATGGCGAAAATTCGAGCGGTTTAAAATCGATCAAAAGAACGAAAATAATTAGGCGATTCATTTGGTATGCGTTCAAAGCGCGTTTTGGTGCGATTTTTTCGCATCTATTTTCGACATTCGGATAAATTGTTTACCGGAAGATTACTAATATCGAAGGCGCGACGAAAATTCCAGCTCGCGCTATTTTCGGCCATTCTTTTTATAAAATAATCGCGCACACCTTTATGTCCTGGCCAAATTGATAAATAAATCGCGCTTTTTAGCGTCGAAGTCGTTCGAAAGGCATATTTCATTTTTCGCCCGGTGATTAATGTCACCTGTTATTTTCAGATCTGTTAAACCTAATTGATCGATTTATTACGCTCGAGAAACTTCAACGGAAATTTTTTAAATTGACATTTAATTTTCGTTCCTACTTGATGTAGTGATTCTTGATATTGACATACAATTTTTATACCTACTTTGATGTAGTTTCGCATGTAATTTTCGCACAAATTTTATCAAAAACACATCATTTTTAACACAAAAATACCAACAATTAATTGTTCTTAATATTAATACACTAAATTTACTTCATAATGACTAATCAACTATCATTTTGACATAATTAATGACATTTAGTGACACGTTCATAAAAATGACAGTTATTGGAAATGTAATCGACCTACGTTTGGACGTGTCTACTCGGCCTTTTCCGCGTGTACTTAAAACTTTGTAGTAGTTTATTGTTACATTTCGATTAAAAAATTCGAGTGTCGTTGAGCGTTAATTAAAATCACATTGTATTTTGCAGTGCTGAAGAGGGCGTTTTCGATGTTCGATTCGGGCAAGAAAGGGAACATCGATAGGGAAAAAGTAAGAACAATTCTGACGACTTTAGGGCATCATTTCGACGACTCCGAATTGGATGCGCTGTTGTCGGGCGAGGATCCAGATAGTAAGTACGATGGCGTTTAATTAAAATAGAAATTTAAAACAGTATTCGCAGTAGAGATAATAAATAACGAGCTTGTGTTGTTATTCAGGACATTTTATCGCGAATTAATGGGGTATAAATTGAAAAAATACTCAACGGTTTTTAGCCTAATACGCGGGTTTCGGAGTTATCTGGACGTATACACGAAAAAATATAGCCTTCTACACGTTATCCAGTGATAAATAATATTGCGTGATATCCATAAAAACTGTTGTACTATAACGACAGGCCCAAATACACATTTTATGAAGAGAAAAAGGGAGAAAAAACAAAGTCAGTTAGAGGCCTTTGACATTTCGTTACTAGTCCGTAAATCATCGCTGATATAAACAGATTTTATGCTTAAATATTAAAAAAAATTACCAGTATTTTTCTGTTAACAAGAACTTGTTTGAAAGACAAAACGACTACCATTTAGTGAAGATTTAAAAGCTTTTAATCCGGCTCGTATTTTCGACATGTCTTCGTGTCCCTCGCGAATAACGCGTGTAAATAATTAAATAATTTTCGTCGAATCGATCGAATTTCAATTCCGATCTTCGGACGGGACGTTTAATTAACGGAATTCCTTCCGTTTTCCGGTCGATTTCGTTAGAATGATGGACATTCTTCGAAACTGGCCGCACGCCAGTCGAAGTGGCCATTGCATAGATTAGGGTACTTAGCTTGATTAAATGGCTGTTTATTAACGGATATGCTCTTTTTTATCTTTTTTACGTATAGCTGTTCTGAATTTATGGGAATTTTATTAATATGTCAAAAAATGTCAAATCTAGTACACTTTCGACAACTGTCACAGCCAAAAAGTTTCGTTACTTTTCTCGTTCTGTGACACAATCAAAAGTGTCAATTTTGAAGTAATTCAACATCCCCTCATTGTGCTCATACTTAGGGTAAATAGAGCGTGTAATATTTACACTATTGTATTGGTAAAGTACCTATTATTTGTGTCAAACAAGTTGAAATCGGTATCGATCGAAATTCCCCACCCATCAAAGGCGCCCGAGGTGGAAACTCCGAGTTACCTTCGCTAATGTTCGAAGAACTAGGTTATCAGATTTTCATCAAGTTTGTTTTATCGCCTAACGACCCGAATTCGATTGAGATGTGAATTAATATCCCGCCCTCTTTGATTTAATTTTTTCGCTTTACCACCTGTCAAGTAGTACCAACTGTTGAAATAACACAAACAGTTGGTGAAAGTGTTGTTACGAAGGTAACTAGATTTGAAAAAATTTTCGCGTATTCCCTGCGGATTTCCCAAATTCGGTCCCTCTCGAGAGATTTTCTTCGGCAACAATGTAAATAGTGGAAAATCAAATTTTGAGGGTGAGTTCTCGATAAACCCGACCCGAAGGTAATTTCGCAATTTTATTATGATGGAAGTGGAGTTTAAAAATTTAAAACCTGGAGAGCTTCCGAAAAAACGATGATCGAAACGGCTTTTCCGATTACCCAAGATAACTCTCCTCGCCCCTACGAATTTTTAATTAGTTTGTTCGTTACCGATTAATGTAATCAATTAGTCGTTCTGGTAAAATCCGTCTGTTCTGGCCAACTTTTAACGACGGTTTAATTGGTAATTTGGAATTACACGGTTTCTAGAGAACTTTGGAATTCGGGGAAAATGAATATTTCCAATCGACTTTTCGCTGGAAACGCGCCGGTTTCAAAGAAACCCCGAGTAATTTTCGGGCGATATTCCCGGGAAAACTCGAATATTTCCCTACCAAAGAAACAGCGCTTTTGAAACGGAAAATTTCCACTTCATCGATTAAAAAAGCCGAGCCAAACGGGCCGGCATTATTTATTTTTATTTTCTCTTCGCTAACCGAGAAGGAACCATTTCTCCCAACAAAAATAAATCAATCAATTAAATTGTATTTTTACCCGCATTAACTGACTCGTTTAAGTCAGTTTAAGCATTCACCCTGTCGATTAATAATTCACCGCCGAAGGTGGTAATTTTCCTGAAAGGTTCTTCCCTTAATTTTCAATTTTTCAGCGCGCCTTTCAATCTCTCGCTCCCCGGAGGGTTATTGAGTAGGGCGCAATTATTTAACCATTCCAAAGAATCACCCGAGCGAGGGAAACACATAAAAGATTCCCCCGAAAAAGCGCCCTCTATTAACCAAACACAAGATACTACGAGGCCGCCTCGATTAGTCAATTCGAAAGGAGATGTTTAATTGAGTTTTGAAACGCTTTTCAGATACAGGAACGGTGAATTTCGACTCGTTCTGTCGCGTCGCCGGCCATTTTCTGGAAAACGAAGACGACGAAACCCTGCAGAAGGAACTTAAGGACGCTTTCAGACTGTACGATAAAGAAGGTACGAGTAGTTGCACAAAAAAATTCGTATCTCTCGAATACCGGAAATAATACAATGCTACAAAACCGCAGTGGAAAAAAGTTTGTACTCCGATTGCGGAAACTTTCACCGCGCGCGGCATTTAATGAAAAAACTTCCCGTTTTGATCTTTCGACTTCCAGGTAACGGCTACATCCCCACATCGAGCCTGCGGGAGATCCTGGCGGCCCTCGACGATCAGCTCACCAGCGATCAGCTGAACGAGATGATCGCCGAAATCGATACCGACTCCTCCGGCACCGTCGATTTCGAAGGTAAGAATCACTATAATTCACCCGGCAGTGGCTACCCAACCGCGCCCCTCTTCCTCCAACCCAGCAATATGGAAATTCCATTTGTGTCCACCCACTTTAATTTACACTTAAGCTACACTTCATCCTCTTATCCAGGCATTATTCAGTCGCGAATAAATGGGGTAAGTCGTGGTTTGAAAGGGTCCGTTCGGTCGGCGCATTAGCCACTTCCAATAGGAAGTAGACGAGCGTCATCCGAAACTTCTGGATGTCTGGAATGAGCCCGGATGGGAGCGGACGCGGGATAAGCAAATAGTGTTGGCAGGAGTTGCGACCTAATTAGGTCTCAGGCGGAGATAAAGCGGAGTTCTCGGACCCCGTTTTCCGGACTCTGTATCGAATCGTTTAGTTCCAATTAGTTTTTTTTTTTTTTTTGGTTTTTCACCGAGTTTTCCGTTTCAGAATTCATGGAAATGATGACGGGCGATTAAGGACGGGGTTGTAATGATAGCGGAATTGTGTTGTAACTTTTGATTAATAAAATTTGTTTAATAAAATTACTGTGGTCTTTTACAATTCTATTGGAGTTTTCCCAACGAAATTTAAATCGAACCCATCGGTACATCACAAGAACATCCGCAAGTCTTCTTTTTAGTGGACCGCGGAGCCTCGTACGTTCGTCGACGGCAGCCACAATGAACTAATAACGAACGTTTCTAATGGAAATTGGAATGTCATCGCATCGAAATTCTTCGGCGGGCGTTAAATTAGATTAGCCGTGGAAATTCCGGCGTAAACGTTATTGTGCGACCGAAACGGGGAATCCGTTGGGTTGATATGCATTACATGCATTCGACATTCGGACGAATTTGCGGTGTGTTTCTCGCGGAAACAAAGCTCTCGATCGCAAAGAATGATGGGCATTGTCACAGCGACGGGGCGAATAAAGAGATGATTAAATGTACAGGTAACCTGGATTTGCCTTGGATTTATCCTTCATTCCCAGACGCGATTATCAGATGATTGGTTTAATATATGAAACGTTGTTATTAGATTGCTTACGTGAAGGAACTGGTGGTAGTAATAAGGGTAAAATAAGAGCGTTCATAAGAATAGGGGTAGTAAATTTAGGAGGGTATTTAATTAAAATAAAAGTGCTCATAAGGATACTTGATTAATAAAATAAGTGTACTCATGGAAGATCTATACAGGGTGTCTCTAAATAATACCAAAATTTAAGGGGTAATTCTGTGATGAAAATAAAGGAATTATACTCCTCTAAATTTTTTTCGGTGTTATTTAGATACATCCTGTATTACTGGAAATTGCAACTTTTTTTCACAGTAAATTTTAGAGAATCGGGAGGAACTTTACATTGTGTGGAATTTTTTTGGAAAGCTATTTAAAACGTCTAGAAAGCTTCGGAAATCTGGTCAAAAGAAAACTGAATTTAAGTGTAATAAAACGTTCTTTATGCAAATGGGCGCTTTTATTATATTCTCATCTGAATATAAATTATTTCGACTGCGCGAATTATTCATCAGCGGAAAATTCCTTTTATTTTTCGCGCGGAAAAAAGTGATTTTTTCAAACTAATTATACCTCGCCAAATGTAGCTCAAATTGGCTGTTGAAAATGGTTTTAAACGCGCTAATTACAGCAATTTTAATAGAACTATTTTAAAAACTAATATTCATCTCTAATAAACTTCAAATAACATGTCAAAGGAGTTAGAGAAAGTACAATTAACTCGAATAAAAATAAAAAAATAACTAATAAAACTACAAATAAAATAGTAGAGAACATTCCCTGAAAACTTCTACATATATTCCACACACACATAATTATCAGAGAACAATACACGCATAGTATCAAAAAGTTTGTTATACAGAAACCGAATAACTTCAAAGCACGAGTCCCAAACTCCCATAATTGCCTCAATTAAACACAACATCATAGTTTAAAAACTTTACAAAGCTTCGAGTTCGATCAATTTCGCCCGAAAACGTCCGCGTATCAGGACGAAAATATCGCTCCTGCGGATGCCTTGGAAACGTTTCCATTAATTCTCAGGCGAGCTGCGAAGTCGCTGTGCAATTACACTCCGGGCTTTCGACGGAAATTAGACATTCCACTCTTGTAGGGCTGATTTATCGCGCGCGAAAAATCGCCCTGTATACACGGCAATAGGCGTTAATTAAAGCGTAATTTTACCTTGCTCCTGCTGCGGACGGGCGCGTACTCTTCCTTCGAAGGCTTCCTGCGCTTGTCCTTGAGGATCATCCGGGCCGCTGCGAAAGCCATCTTTTCTGATTCCCCGAATTTATTTATTTATTTATTTATTGCTCTCACGAATTTCTGCGAATATGGAAACTGATAAATCGATAGCGATGAGTGATAATCGAACGGTCAATCGATTCGGTTTGTTTTTAAACTGCATTAGTAATTCATTTAGGAAGGAAACTCGTGATCGAATTTTAGGGAAACTAAGCGGGTATAATAGACAAATTTTTTTTTCGGGTTCCTTCGTATTAGATAAATTATTCATCGGGTTATAGAGGGACATTTTGGGACATTATTGATCCATCAGCGAGTCGACGAAAAACGTTTTTACGGTAATTGCTCGAAACCAACGACCGCCCTTAATTCCCTTAAATTAACCCTTATACGCATTGATTTTAATGGATTATCTATTAACGGTGTTATAAACAGTCCCCGAATATTCCATAAACGTGTCGAATAGAGTGCATTTTGTGGTCTCATTATACAGGGTGTATCTTTCTATGACTTGCACACTGTATATGTTCGGTCGATTTTTGAATTTTAATGTTATTTCGATTGGGGGAAAGGAAAGCCGGTCGGGGCGTCGATGGAAAATCCAATTTGCCCGCTCATTAAATTCGAGCCGTCGGAAAAGTGTGGCGAAACAAACGGGTCTTAATGGCGAGGAAAAACCGGCCGGAAAAGCGGCCTTCCCGTTCCGACGGGGGAGCGCTTTAATCGAGCCCTCGAATTTTTCCCTGCGAAAATTATTGTCGCCAGATATCGGATCATTAAAGCGGGATTTTCCGAACTTTCCCTACACCCGGGAGAAACTTGAAAAATACTCACACAAAGCCGATAATAGGGAAATACAATTGGTGTTCCTGTTGACGCTTTGTTACCAACTCTAATATAATCTTGTTGGTACAACTGTAATAGAGACTTATATAACAACATGAAGTTGGTGCTCCTGATTGTGTTGCGTTGCCAACCGTAAAACAAATTTATTTGCGGAGAGCGGCGCAATTTCGCCGGCTCGCTTTGATGTAGCCCGTCATTTGCATGAGCAAATACACGGAACGGTCGCATTTCCCCGCCAATTTCGGACTGGTGAAACCGAAAAAGAGCGTGAATTTTCTCGCACTACTCTCGTGCGATAGTAATTCCGTTCAATTATGCAACGTCGTAAACTTTAATCGCCTCCGAAGGCGCTAATTAGGACGTTTTTCATGCAAAGTTGGTAGTAATGACGCTTCGAAAAGCAATTTAACTATTGTAAGTTGGCGCTAATGATTCGTTTAATTCGCGTTGCTAGCCGAAATGAAGCGGTGTTGCCGTATCGAAAGTTTTTTCGCAAATCTCAAGTAAATAATAAATTTATTTTAAACGAGTTTAGGGTTAATATTCGTGCTTCTTAATGAACGCACGTACGTGCTCTCGGGCGATTTAACAGAAAAAAAAATCCTTGAGCAAAGCGATAGGGATCTGCGGAAGTGCCAGATTCCCTGGGAAATAATTAAAGTGAAAAATGACACTTGCGTGACGGCAATTTTCCATTTAAATGTACGAGCAAAAAGCGACTTTCTACGACAACACTCGTTTAAAATTCACCGTTTCCAAACCTAATTGAACACCGGTCATTGACCAATCGATGAGAATTTAGAACGAAAACTATCGGTCGGTGTTCCGGCTTCCATATTCACGGCGATCGAGAGAGGAAAACTGCTCGGGAAAACAACACGTGGTGGTGGCGCGCCGGTGGAAAACTGGGGTACCTGCCGGGCCGCGAGTCGCGAAAGGACTGCCGTCAGGACAATTCGTTCTCCCGCGCACTCCCCCGTTACCTTATCGGGATGCGATACAATGGAACGAAGAAGGGATGTATGCATATTTCGGGGCCGGAAAACGAATCGAATAGTTTGAATTTGTATCGATATGAATCAATTATAAGGAGCGGAGGATGTTGAATTGTTATATTTCGCATTCAAAAGTTCGAGGATGAGTAATTAGGAATAGCGTTGGTGAATGATTAGGGTGAAATTCGAGAACGTATACACCTTGCTTCATTTCCGATTGCAACGTGGTCATTTCTATTAGTGGAACAAAGAAAGATTATTAAAATGACAGTTGTCAGAGTGAAAAGTTGCAATAACACAAATGTCACTCTTCCTTTTTCCTTTATAAGTGTCTAATTGAAGTCGTCTTTGTCGCACCTATAGCCTATATAACCTATGTTGCGATCAAAAATAGAGCAACTTGTATACACTTGCTTCATTCCAGATCGCAACATAGGTTATGCAGGCTATAAGTGCGATAAAGACAACTTCCATTAGACACTTATAAAAGAAAAAGAAAGAGTGACATTTGTGTCATTGCAACTTTTCACTCTGTCAACTGTCATTTTATTAATCTATCTTTGTTCAACTCATAGAAACGACCATATTGTCTGAATTTGAAGCAATCGGTATATGATGTCTCAATAGTGCGTTTGTTTAAATAGAACACCCTGTTTCGAAAATCACCCTCGCGTTAAGGGCGCGAGAACTTACTGGGGTAAATTTAATCTTTCACCTACTTATCGATCAAGTTTGATATCTGTTCGCTAGTCATTCGAAATCGCTCAAATATTACAGTGTAATCCGGCACTCGGATGCCGAAGAGGGCGGCTATATCATCCGCCCCATTCGTTTGTTGCCGCTTTCATCCCCTATTCGGACCGGAGAAGATTACGTACGTATTTTCCCCGTGCTACCTGGAGGGTAGTTCGCAAAAAAAATATCGTAGATATTAGGGGGTATTATCGATAAAAGCCGGTATCAGTCCATGATTACGATGAAGTCGAATCACCTGGGGGTTGTTGAAGAAGATGCTGAGTTATCAATTTTCCAAGAGGATAAAGTTTTATGCTAAATCGCTCAGCGAAGTTTAAAAATAGTTAAATCTAGTGAGTATTGGAAAATTTGTTTAGGCACTTTTGACAAGTTTGACAGCTAGTTGATAGAGTCGCTTTTTTGATTTTCGTGTTGCTTTTTAATTCAATTCTATTTCGGAAAAGTCGTTTATTAATTCAGGTAATCGTAGAATTATCGATTTTCAATATACAGTTTTATGTGAAATCGCTCAAGTGAAGTAAAACTGTTAATTCTAGTAAGCATTGAAAAATTTGTTAAGGAAATTTTGACAAGTTTGACAGCTGGTTGATAGAGTAATCTTTTTGATTTTCGTGCTACTTGCTAATAAATTCTATTTCGGAAAAGTTGTTCATTAATTCAAGTAATCGTATAATTATGAAATTCCCATACATTTTTATGTTAAATCACTCAAGTAAAGTTTAAAAACCGTTAAATCTGTATTGAGTATTGAAAAATTTGTTAAGGAAATTTTGACAAGTTGACAGCTACTTGATAGAGGTGCCTTATTGATTTTCATGTTGCGTGTTAACAAATTATATTTCGCAAAAGCCGTTGAATAATTCAATTAATATTAAAATTATCAATTTCCAATATAGTGTGAAGCTAAATCACTCAAGTGAAGTATCCTAAATAACTAATTTATAGTAAGCATTGAAAAATTATAGTATAGGCATTTGACAGGCTGACAGGTTGAATTGATAGAGTCGCCTTCTTGATTTCCGTGTCGCTTTAACGAATTCTACGCGAGTAATGGTAGTAATGAAATTCTATTTCTGGGTTTCGGCGATTAATGAAAACCTTATTCTTGTTATCGCGAAAACTTCGACCGTTTCGCCCAGCTCAACGCCGATCGGTGCTAACGATAAACCCGTTTTGTACTCGCCATTATCGAGCACAATGCGTGACCGTTTCGCTATTTTAGGAGTTTACAAACAAAACCTCACGACCCTTGGATCGCATTGTTTATGTTTGCATTTCTACGGGAATAACCCCATTTCTTCTTTTATATTTATACAGAGGGTAATGTGCTATTCGGAGGTTGGTAGAATTGACAACTTTTGTTCAAGATGGCGGCGAAGTAAGTAACTAAATGGTAGCCAAACTTCAAGTTGTAGACAATATTAATTGATAATTTTGTACAAACTAATCGAATTGAAGCTGTTAATTAAACGGTAGACATGCTGATGACGAATTTTTCGTAATTAATACACCCGTCCCGGTCGATTTCGGTTTCTCTCAGCATATCGTTGACCTCGTCTTCGGAGAGTTTCTCCCCCATGTGGGTCATGACATACCGCAATTCCGAGGCCAAGATGAACCCGTTACCGTCCTTATCGAACACTCTGAAGGCCTCCCTGAGCTCCTCGCTGTTATCGGTCGATTTCAATTTCACCGCCTGTGCGATACAAGAAAAAAGTCGGCTCGTTAAATGTACATTTACCGGAGGCTTCGGAGTTTATACCATGATCTTGAGGAATATCGGGAAGTTGATTTTCCCCGTGTTGATTTCCTTGATCATGTCCTCCAGCTCGCTTTCGGTGGGGTTCTGGCCGAGGGCTCGCATTATCGTGCCCAGTTCACTGGTGTCTATCAAACCGTCGCCGTCTTCGTCGAATAGAGCGAAGGCTTCTTTGAACTCCACCACCAATTCCTCGGATATATCCTCTGACATCTTGTATAAGTAATCAATAATAAATTATTGACAAATCGAATTGATATATGGAGATGGAGGAGATTCTTCTGTATAGTCGAGGCCTCGGTTTCCGCGGATATCCAGCCAATTAGAAAGTTTAGGGGATTTTTTCGGAGCGAATCCGATCCTGGCGAAATCTTGCGAGGTTGATTAATATTCAACCGCTCCCATTAGCAAAGCCGAAGGTATATACGGCACAAATTCGAGCCGGGTTATGATTAAAACGGGAAATTAGTCACGTAAAATAAACCGCCGGGAATATTTCGTACTATTTTCCTTCGCCCATTCATGCCATTTTGGAATATCCCGCGATTACGTACAAGATCATGCAATTTTAAATCACAACGAGGACAAATTCATATTGCTAGATAATTCATATTATCGGGTCACGCTGTATAATGTAAATTAATTACAAAGTCTTATTTAAAGTAGCTGAATCACGAGCGTAATTATGAACCTTCCACGTCCATTACGAACTTTCCGACTCTCCGAATTTTCCGTAAAAATTCCCCGTTTATTTTGCATTTGACGGGCGCGCAACGAGTTTTCCGGCCCAAAACGAAAACTCGTTAGCAATCCACATTTTCCGTAATTATTAAATTACTGGCGAAAAGCCGTTTGGATGATTAAAATCGTTTCGATTATTATTTATCAACGACCCCTTTTGTCCTATTAGAGATTAGATAATCAATTAGGTCGATTAAATAACGCCAGCGGACGATGTTAATTAACCTAATTGTTATTCCAGGTAAAGCAGAAATGTTAATTCGACTGGAAAATGGAAATTAAAACGAATTATTACGTACACTGAGGAAAAAACTGTATTTTCTATTAGTAAATATTGCTTTGGAAGATATTTATTCATATTGAAACTGCTAGTGTATTCCATAATATAACTTACTAAATATGATAACAAGAAAAAATCTTGTTTAATAATAAATATATGTGTTGATTGTTGAATAATCTATTATAAACTACAAGTTAGATGATTTGCAATAAAACTATTTGGGTAATATATACTCAATCGTTACTAATAAAGGTGAAAAATTTTTAAATACATGATTGACATATTAAAAATATAAACATATGTTGTATTAAATATATTGTAATTCTGATAAGTAATTAATTAATTTAATATAAATTTATTATATTTAAAATTATCAATATTATAGAGAATAATAAATAATATTTATTGATTAATATCTAATATATGGACGTAGTCCGCCTAATTTCACTGGCTTTGTTGGCTATTGTTCTATTTGTTTTGATGGATGCTGTACCGTACGCCACGCCGTACTAACCGTACCGTTTCCCAAAATTCCTGCAACCATCAGGAGGCCGGTCGCCGGTAGTAACATTTTTGTAGTGCAAGAATTTTGCTTGTATTTAATTGTTTGTTACATAATTGTGTAAAAGTGCTTCTGTAAAGGATACTACTATGCAGGTTAGTAATGAATTTGTTCTGATTGCATTATTTAATCACAACAACAAAAATGACAGGAACCGGAGCTCATGAGAGACTGAAAAACAAATTTGTGGAGGATTTAGGATTGGAAAGTTCAATTCCTTTATTTGTAAGTAAACATTAATTCTTAGCTTTTTTTATTTTTGTTACGGTTTTTATTTCATTGCAGTTAATTCAATCAAGAACATGGCAGAATTGGAGCTGCATGCTAGTTCACGACGAACAGTATTTCGAAGAAATTTGTCCAATCAGAGGAGAAAAATTTTGTCTTCTTGACCGAAGGAGAAATAATTAATTTGTAAGGTATTGCGTTTTTTCCTATTCTGAAATAAGTTTTCTTTTGGTTTTTGTTTAGGAAGACTGCATCTACTTCACAAGACTTTCGACCCTTACCGTTCTCGACCCTTATTTTTGTTCTATTGTTCTTGTTAATGTACCTCAATTAATAACTTAAGTTCAATAAATATTTTCAAATACCTTTATTAAGCATTTTTCATTTGCAACAATTCTTATTTTCCCGTTTTATTTACAGGATGACTTGTATTTCTACTTTTATATTTTTGGGATAGTTTTCAGTAAAATCAGTTAAAACCGAAATTAGAACTGATTTTACTGAAACCTAACCTAAATATAAAAGTAGCAATACAAGTCATCCTGTATAAATGAACCTAATATAATTATTAGGTAAATACAATTGAGAGTTGATTAAAAATAAATTCAGGTTGGTTTTATAATAAATATTAGTGTATTTATTATTAATCTATCGAGTTCATAAAAAAACCTAGAAAAGTTTGTTAATAACCTGGTGTAGTTGTGTTGATATCATTAATAGTGGAAATAAATATATAAGTATTTTTATTTTTAATCAACATTTTATTTTAAGGAATACATCGTATATTACTAATTTAATAGTCAATTATTGGTTATATCCTAATAAAAATTGGTTATGTCGGATTCTGATTCTCTCATAGCTTAATTCTTAACCACATTGGTTACATATAACTCAACCTTTTTCTCAGTGTATAATTGCGTGACGAATCGGCAACAACGCATTAATTTCACGTCTATTACGATATTATAGGAATGCCAAAATCATAGGTTCATTCGATGGGCTGAATAACCGTAAAAGCTGAGGCCTTGACCTAATAGCCACGAAAGCTGAGGCATCAAACAAAAAGAAGAAGAATTTTGAGGCAACTTCCTGAGAAAACAAGAAGAAATACCACTAAGGAAATTCTAGAATAGTACCAACTTGACATAAGATTGTTTATAAAAACGACATTGACAATGAACGCCAAACAAAAATGGCGGATCAATTGACCGAAGAGCAAATAGCCGAGTTCAAGGAAGCCTTCGCCTTGTTCGACAAGGACAACGACGGCACGATCACCACCAAAGAGCTGGGCACGGTGATGCGCTCGCTGGGCCAGAACCCCACCGAGGCGGAGCTGCAGGACATGATCAAGGAGATCGACACCGACGGCAGCGGCACCATCGACTTCTCCGAGTTCCTCGCCATGATGGCCAGGAAGATGAAGGACACCGACAGCGAGGAGGAGATCCGCGAGGCGTTCAGGGTGTTCGACAAGGACGGCAACGGCTTCATCACGTCGGCCGAGCTGCGGCACGTGATGACCAACCTGGGGGAGAAGCTCACCGAAGAGGAGGTCGACGAGATGATCCGCGAGGCGGACATCGACGGCGACGGCCAGATCAACTACGAGGAATTCGTTACCATGATGACATCCAAATGATTATTTATACCTACTGTAGCTTATTTTTACGCAATTAAAACTTATCTTTCGAACCATCTGGTATTTCGGATTTTAATCTAGTGGTAACCAACAATTGACACCTCTATAAAGCACGTCAATTTGAGAGAATAATCATGGAGGACGACGAAGAGGAAGCGCCCCAGCGCAGGGAGTTCAACAAAAAGGAGATAGCTGACTTCCAGGACGCCTTCAAGCTGTTCGACAGGGACCAGGACGGGCTGGTCAACTACAAGGAGTTCAGCACGCTGATGAAGGCGTTCGGCCAGAAGTACGAGGACCTGGACCTCAGCGACATGTTCACCGAGGCGGACGAGGCCGATTCGGGCCTCATCAACTTCGAACAGTTCGTCAAGATCCTCGAGTACTACTACAGGGAGGAGTTCTCCTTGGAGGATCTGCTCAATTCGTTCAAGGCCTTCGACAAGGACAATCTCGGATATCTGGATAGGGCCGATTTCAAGGAGATTATGATGGATTACGGTAACTTGGTAGATCTTGCGTTTGAACCTTAGTTATTGAAGAACATGAACGTTTTTTTAGGAGATAAAATGACCGAAGGAGAATTCGTGGATTTCATGGCAACAGCCGATCCTTCCAACGAAGGTATCATCAGATACGAAGCTTTAGCTAACGCAATATACAGCTTTCTAATCGAGTAACGGATACTTACAAAATAAAATTGTTATTAATAAATCAATCAATTTTACTGGTTATCTTCTTAATCAACATCAATCAACCAATTTGTGGCCTTTTACTTACTTCCCCCGAGACCACAACCAGCTGAAACAACTCCAACCTATTGCAATTGGCTGCAATTGAAGAGCCGCCATTTCCCCAACCCGATTCCCGCGTGTTAGGTTGACATTTTTTTAATATGTAATGAACGTCATATTAGATTTAGTGTGCAATAAGACCTACGAAATACAAAATATCCCGTACGTAAAAGTAAAAGACATCGCCGTGCGACTATTCGAAATGGTGAAGGACCGAGGTAAGTCGATCGGCCGAGCGAACTGAGCGTTTCTTCCGACCCGCAGGCGTCCGGCAATCACAAGAAGCACTGTCTGAAGTGCGAGAACTTCAAGCGGAAGATCGAGGAGTGCGACCAGACCGTCTCCGCCCGCGACATCATCATCCAGATGCTCCAGGACGAGGTGAAGAAGAAGGAGGGCCTCTATCGCAACGCCGTCGACGAGCACGAGAAGCTGCGCTTCCTGCATTACAACGTCGCCCAGGATTACGCCAATTTAAAGGAAATCCACAAGAAGGTAACGCCTGTTGAACACTCTCCTACACCGGGTAACTACCTAATTGTATATTGCAGGTGCTGGAGGAGAACAGGAAACTCCACGATGAAAAACAAGACTTGCTCAACATGATCAAAGAGTTTCAAAACTACAGGAAATCCTCCAACGATTCGAATGAAAGTTAAGTACCTAACTTCATTTGCAACATTTCTACTAACAGAAATTTCACGGTTTTGCTGCAGGTCGAGACCGAAGAGCCGCAGCAACATGAAAGGCGTGGTGGACGGTTTGACCAACATCCAGAGCGTGATGTACTGCCAGAACAAAAGCGTCAGATCAATGCTACTGCAGCTGCTCGACGAATTCCGGAAAACCAAGCCAGAAAAATCACTAGATTATCAATACCGCTCGGCGCATCCAGAAGAGCACGACCAGCCGTTGATGAGGAGAATCGACGAGCTGAATTTCGTCGTGGAGAAATTACAGAAGGAGAACAAGAAGATCAAAGAGAACCTGCACGAGAAGCAGATAAATTTGTCCAGGTGCTTGACGGTGTTGGAGAACAACAACGCTGATATAGACAATCTCTCCGAGCACATAGAGGGATTGTGCAGGGAGAGGGACAAGTACGCCGAGGAAATCGCCGCATTGGAGAACAATTTGCTGGCCAAAAACAACGAATTGGAAGAGAAGAACAACGAATTAGAATCGAAGAACAACGAATTAGAGTCGAAGAACAACCAAGTGGTCGAGTTGAAATCGGACAACGAGAATCTGATCAGCGACATCGATTCGCTCCATCTCAAAATCGACACGTGCATGGCCGATTTGGAGAAGCTCAAAGACGAAATCGAAATGAGCGTGGAGGAGAAGAACCAATACAAATCCCAAGCGATGGAGTACCAAAATCTCTACTCTCAAGCGGAAGAGAAACTCAAAGAATTCGAATCGTACAAACAAAGCATGCTTCTCACCGTAGAGAAACTACGAAGCGATATTAAAGCTGTCGAAGCGAAAGAAACCAGCACCTTTCAATGCCAAATCGTGCCGCAATTAGTCAATTGCCAGGTGCAGGAGAGCCCGAAAATGAAGAACCAATACACCGAGAGCCTCATCAATAGCTTGTGCACCAGCTACAAGATCACCCAAGTGGGCGATTCGGACATCTACACCGAGCACGTCAAGAAGCAGGAACTCCAAGCGGTCAACAACGAATTCGCCCAATACAAATGCCTCATGGAATTCAAAGTGCAATCGCTCGAAAAGGACAAGACCGACCTCAAGGAGCAAATATCCCACTACGACAAGGACCACAAGTACAAGTCCGAGCTGGAGATCAAGGTGCAAACGTTGGAAAAGGACAACTCCTTATTAAGGGAATCCCTGGCTTCGGAATCCGGCTCGATGAAGCTGCAAGTGGAGAAGCTGAAAAACGAAAGCACCATATCCTTCTGCCAGTTCAAGACGAAAATCAGCGAGCTGGAGATCGAGAACGCCGGCTTGCGGGACACCCTCAACAACATCACCAGCGACGGCAGGGACTCGCTGAAGAAGCTGGAAGAGAACTACCTCATCTGCAAAAACGCGCTCGAACTGAAGATGCGACAGATCGAAGAGGACAACAAGCATCTCAAAGAGACTTTAGACTTCGTCACCAAAGACGAAAAATCCGCGGAAAACGAATACAAAACCTGCAAGCAAGTGTTCGAAACCAAAATCAACAAGCTGGAGAAAGAGAACGCCAATTTGAAGATTCACTTGGACTTCAAAACCGAAGAATCGAGCAAACTGGATGCCGAATGTTTGAAACAACAAGCTATCATCGCCAAACTAAACGAAAACAACCAAAAACTGCAAGAATCTATAAAGAAAGTCGAAGACAATATGTTAACATTGCAGCAACAATTGGACAACATCAAGCAACGTTTAGAATCTAAAGATTCCGAACTAAACGAGAAGCAATCGATTATAAAGAAGCTCAAAGACGTGCAGAACAAATGTCTGCAGCAACTCAAGCGCCACCAACAATTCGCATGTCCCCAATCGGAACTGGAAGAAGAATTGGAAACCAGAATCAAGCGGATGATCGAAGAGAATTCCGACATGCAGAAGCTCCTCTTGGAAAAGCCCAAAATCGATCAGCTGAACCAGACGGACGAGATGCGCGAGATAAACGAGCTGCACAAGAAAGTCGTGGATTTGGAAAGCGAATTGGAAAACGCCAATCTGGAGCTGACCGAGTACGAGGAGGAAAACAGGAGTTACTCGCAGAAATTGCAGAATCTCATGAACGAGGTGACCTGCTTGCAGGAAACCAAGATACAAGCGGAAGAGGAATTGAAGGAATTGTCCACCAAACTCGAAATTCTGAAGGAAGAATTGGAGTTGAAAGATCAGAATATCCACGATTTGAACGATAAATTGGCGAATTTGGACGAAAGCGATTCGATGTCCAACAACCTGAGGAACGAGTTGGTAAAGATTCAACTGGAAAACGAGAAGTTCAAGAAAGAGGAGACGGAGTGGAAGCAAAAGGAGGCCCAATTGAGGGAAGTGCTGCAGAAGAACGTGGAGAAATGCTCGAAATTTCAAACGGAAATCGATCAATTGGTCGACACCAAACGAAATTTGGAAGAAAAATTGAACGAATTCGATTCGAACAAAATGGATTTAGAAACCAGAATAGTCGATTTGGAACTCGAAATAGACAACAAAATGTCGGAGGTTGAAAATTTAAAAAACAACATAATCGAATTAGAAAAAGACAAATCCAGCAATAACGATAACGACAATCAAGATCTTATCAACGAATTAACGAGAAAACAGAACATCATTAAGAGCCTAGAAGAATGCATCACGAAGAGTAACGTGATAATAGAACATTGCGAAAACGAGATGAAATCGGTGCAGACAATCAACAGAAATTTGAAAGCGGAATTGGAACTTAAAACGAAATTACTCGAGGAACAACAACCCGTTTCTAATCCCACTCTAAGAGACAAAACGGAACTTCTGTTCAAAGAGAACAAACGCCTCAAAGACCAACTCACCAGAAACGGCAGTTTGCAAATCAACAAAGAAATCTCCACGCTTCGCAAAGAACACGACCGGCTGCTCAAGGAGAGCCAAGCCAAAGACAAGGAAATGGACAAAATCAAGCAAGACCTCATGCAGTTCGTCGGCCAGTTAAAGAAAGAACCCGCCAAGAAACCCACGAAAATAGCGTCGACGCCGAAATCGAAATCCTGCGAACTCAAACCCAAGCAACAATCCAGAACGAAACTGCCCAGGCAAAGCGAACCGCCCAAATTGAAGAAACCCACCCACAGCGTGCAGAAGTTGAACTTCGCGCCGTCGCAACCGAAGCAATTCCAGCACAAGTGGAGCGACGTGGACAGATACACCACGTCCCCTAATCTCCTCAACGCCGACAAATCCTCCTTGCTCGGCGACAAGAAGCCCCATTTCGTCAGGAACAAGTCCAAAAACGTGTCCGTTTACCTGGCGTTGGGCAACACGTCGCCTTGCGCCGATTGCTTCGTCGAAAAGGGCCAAGTGGGCGACTGCCCGGGTCCCGCCAAAAGCGAGAAAACCGCCGCCAAGCCACCGCCAGCTCTGTTCGACGAAGAAACCTGCGCGAAAATCACAACCACAACCACCGGCACGGATCCCATACGAACCTCGTCCGCCGCCAAAACCGTATCCACGCAAGCCCAATCGGACGCGCCGCCCGATCCCCTGCTCACCCAGCTACGCGCCAAAATCCTGTCGAAAACCACCCCCAGCCGGGAATCCGTCGCCGACGATCCCATCGACGGCGATCGGCCCACGTGCGATTGCATGTCGCTGATCATGCAACAGTACAAGACCTACGACGGCGACGCCCGCGTCGAGAACGAGATCTACGACATCGTCGAGTACGAGCAATCGGCGCCCAAGGCGGGCCTGCGCGGCTGCCGCTTCTCCTTCGGCTCCTACTGGTCCGAGTCGAAGATCGACCGGACGGGGCGGAGGCGCGCCTCGGACGAGGCCAGCGGGTCGGAGACGACGACGACGACGACGTCGCAGTACGACAGCAGCTGCTGCTTCGACGGCTCGGAGGCGTCGGAGGCGTCCGACGCCTACGACGGCTGCGAGGAGAGCGAGAGTCTATCGTCCTTTTGAAGAGCGTAAGTTGAGGGTAATTGTGACGAAATTGTGTGGAAAATATGAGTAGAATGTTGGGTTGTTTGGCGGTAATATGTGGTAAATATGAGTAGAATATTGGTAGGAAATATATAGCAAGATGTGGCAAGAATGTGGCGAATGTGAGTGGTAGGACATAGAGTAGTTTGGTGGAAATATTTTGGGCAAATAAGAGTAGAATATTGAGTTACATGGTGGAAATATGTGGCAAAATTTGGTGAATATGAGTGGTAGAGTATTGAGTAGCTTGGTCGAAATATGTGACAAAATGTGCCAAACATTTGGTGAATGTGAGTAGAATATTGACTTGTTTGGTAGAAATATGTGTCAAAAATGTGGTGAATGTGAGTGGTAGAATATGGAATAGTTTGCTGGAAATATTCGTTGCAAATAGGAGTAGAATAATCAGTTGTTTGTTGCAAATATGTGTTAAAAATGTGGAGAATGTGAGTGTTTAGGATATGGACTAGTTTGGTGGAAATATTTGTGGCAAATAGGAGTAGAATATTGAGTAGTTTGGTGGAAAATTGTGTCAAAATGTATCAAATGTGGTCAATGAATTTGAGTAATGAATAGTTTGGTGGAAATGTGTGGCAAAATTACTAAAAAAATGGCAAACCTAAGTATGTAGTAGAATATTGGGCAGTTTGGTGGAAATATGTGGATAAAAATGTGACAAAATGTAGCAAAATGTGGCGAAGTGGTGAATGTAGTAGAAGATTGAGTTGTTTAGTAAAAATATGTTGTCAAATGAGGCAACATGTAGCAAAAATTTGGGAAAAACATGGCTAAAAATGTGACAAATATGAATAGTAGAATATTGAGTTGTTTGGTGGAAATATATGGCATGATAAAGTTATTAAAGTTGATAATTCAACCTTGATGAGATCAATAAAGTGTTCGTGTCGAATAAAATGGTGAATTTGTAGAAAGTAAAAACATAAATTGAATATAATTTATAACTATTGAAATAATGAAGGTTACAAAATCGGTAATTTCCTCGAAAAAAAAACTTATGTATGCATGCGAGTGATGGCTTGAATAATAAATGAGTTAATGACATAAAGAGTTCACGCAAGTGGTAAATTGATAGTTTATATTATTATCCCTACATCAACTAAATACGTTAAACGTATAATTATTATTTTTTTTAGATCACAATTTCATTGAAGACTTACTTATCCGTTTTGTGATCGTTGTACAAAATAGTCCCGCTTTAAAAACGTCTATTCGAGAAGGTAAATACCTAAACACAATAAAAATGTAATTTCCTAAAAAAACCGGCGTTTATTTATTTATTTATCATCCTCTATGCGACAAATTAAATATTTACTCCTTTTTTTAAAGAGCTCAAAGTGGATTAAACCGCCGTTTTACTCGCATCTTTTTTTACCAATATATTCGCGTGATTAGAATATCCCCCACATCGACCAACCCCATTCGAAATACACACATCGTTCCCGTTTTTATCGACACCGATTAAACTTGCAATAAACGTTTCACAAAACTACTCAAACACGTTAAAATTGCCGAGGTAATCGTGTTTGTTCAGCAAACAGTCGCGTAACGAATGCTCTACATATAGAGCTCCTGCAAATTCTGCAGCCAAGATGGTGGACGATTTGAGCTTCATTTGCCATTCTTCTGCAACTATTTTATCGATTAACTTCTTCTAACTAATCTTTCTAGCTAATCTTTCCAACTAATCATTCTGATTAGTCTTTCTAACTCATCTTTCCAACTAATCATTCTGACTTATCTTTCTAACCAATCTCTCTAACTAATCCTTCTAACTAATCCTTCTAACTAATCTTTCTAACCCATCTTTTTCTAGCTAATCTTTTTTCTTGTGAATCAAAACGAAACCTCCAAAATAATTTTCCGTACTCTCAACACTTCTTCCCTACATTAATTGACACTTCAATATACCCAAATGGCGCTAATCCCGACAATTCGAAACAACCCTAATTGGCTCAATGAACAACCCTAAACGCAGATCCCCCGTACCAACCCCCGTGCGATAGATCGTAAATAAGAGTTCGCGATTGTGCGGGGAAGTTGTATAAATTCTCGATTGAGTGCTCCGGTAATCGGGAGAAGCGTAGGAGGAATGTTGATTGCGGCGATCTATCAACTTCACCGGAATTCCCCGAGTCGACGGAAAACTCCGGGGAGGGCTCGATTTTTCCGACGGTCGTTCGTCTTGTTCTCCGGTTACCCGATAGTCGGGGCGTAGGTAATCGTTGAATGGTTAATAAACATCGTTTGGTATATTATGGTGCGTTGTTGTGAACCAACCGACGTTTTTAGCATGCAATTAGAAAACGTGTGTAAATAGGGGCATTTTCTTTTATGTTAGAGGTTTCCCCGTGTATACAATTCGAGTCTCGCGTTCGGAACGAACGAATAAAAGAAAAGCGTAATAAGGAGAATTGGCGAAAAGCTAGCAAAGTAAAGAGGCTTTTTATGTATATACCAATGCCACATCACAATTAATATCAATTATAATTAATTAACGACGAGCCTAATTGGGCATAAAACGCTTATATATTTACACGAAAAAATCGAGTAATTTATTACAATACAAATTATAATAAGATATATTTAAAAAAAAAAGGAACATTTAAGGCACAACATCGATTAGTTAGTTCAACGAGATATATATAGAGAGTTTCAAGCGATTGTACGACACCGACATCCAACAGCGAGACCTTACCCTGCGCATCACCCTAAGGGAAAAGGAGGAAGTCTTCATGGTCGGCGGGGAGTCGCTGGCCTGGTGGAGATGATGGGCAGGCCCGGCGGCGGTCGGGGGGGTCAACGGCGACGTGGGCGAACCGGTCGGGAGCACGGCGACGACTGGAGGCCGATGGAGGCGCGAGTTTATCGGGAGGATCGGGACGCGAGATGGGGTGAATGGAGGAGCGCCATGGAAACGGGATGATCCCGAGTCGCGTGTCAGGGACGCGCCGCGAAGGATTTTCGCCGGCGAGTCGGGTGCGATTTTCGATTTTGATTTTCGGATTTTTTTTATCGATTATAAAATTTGTAGGATTTTTTTTAAATTGTTTTTGCATCGCTTTTTACGTAATCAATTATCCTGTAAAATATACTCGCTCGTCACGCCATCTAACCAACGAACACTGAAAGTGCATTGGAAATATTATAGCTTCCTTATTTTATCAAGAAGATAACGATTATTTTGTGATAATGTAGCAATTCCTCACTAGATGGCGTCGGTAGATTCATTTAAAAGAGTGTACAACAATCGATAATTATTTTAATTTAAGCTACAGGGTGACTACAAAAAAGTGATAGGGATTTTTTTATCAGTAGTAGGAATCAAACATTTTGTTGGTAACATTGATTTACTTTGTTAAATTTGATAACTGATGGATTTTGAATGCATAATTGATTTGATAAGGAACTTAATTAATTCACTCTTTTTTTGTAATTAATTGACTGTCACGAGAATCTAAAAGATTCCCTAGGGGATAATTAACTAAGTAAATAATGGCTTCTTGCGTGTTGTAAATGATTCTTCTTGGATAAGAAACTTAATTATCTCATAATTAAATGACTCTTACTGGACGAGTAACATGACAATTCGTCAATTCCTCTTTAAATTACTTAAAAACCACTCCAATTATGCATCACATCTACATACAACAATTTTATTTAACTAAAATTTCATAAAAAAAATTGAGTTTAAACAGCAGTTTGGTGATGAATATCGGTAGTAGAATATTGAGTAGTTTGGTCGTAATATGTGGCAAAATGTGCCAAAAATGTGGTGAATAAAAGTGGTAAGACATGAAGTAATTAATACTAAAAATATGGCAAAACTAAGTAGTAGAATATTGAGCAGTCTGGTGGAAATAAGTGGCAAAAATGTGACAAAATGTAGCAAAAAGTAGCGAAGTGGTATTGAGTTGTTTAGTAGAAATATGTGCCAAAAATTAGGAAACATGTGGCAAAAATTTGGCAAAAGGTTGGTTAAAAATGTGACAAATGTGAGTAGCAGAATATTGAGCAGTTTGGTGGAGATATGTGGCATGAAAATGTTGTTAAAGCTGATAATTCAGGAATTTACTGGACGAATACCTACATAACAATTCCTCTTTACAAATTACTCAAAAACCACTCCAATTAATGCACCACATCTGCATTAAATAAACAACAATTTATTTTACTAAAATTACATCAACAAAGTTGGGTTTAAACAGCGCGTTTTTTTTAATTACATTACTCCAATTTGTATAAGCGAGTACAAAGGAAAACCGTAAATTCCCTTCTTTTTTCGCGGCATCACGTGTGAAATAGGTGGCATGTCGGCGACCATTTAGCGTCCACCGACCCCCCCGAGTATGCAAATGAATACCGCTCGAGCGGAGCCCCATCGATTTCCCTCGCCCTCTCGGAAAACCCGCTTTCGACATGGCGAATTCCCGAAAACTCTCCGCCAAAAATCAGAAAAAACCCGCCCTGTTATCGAGTAGAAAAGTGCGGTAGAAAACGGATAGAATTTCATTTTTTTATTATAAGGTCGATAAGGGATTGTTAACCTCAAAAAAAAACCGAGGGGGTTGGGAATTAACGGCATGCTATTAAGTACTTGGCAGGTCAGCGATAAGCTTGAGAAATTCCTAAATTAACGGATTATAGGAGATAAGGGTTGGGAAAATAAACGAGCACGTTTACACACCGCTTTTAATGCACACATTAAACCATCTATAGAAGGATCGATTAATAAAAAATTACGTTGTTTAATAGAAAAATTTGTAGGATTTTAATACTCCAAACGCCATTAGGAGATATTGAGTGTCTCCTGATGTCGAACGGAGTATAATTCAGGATTTTAAAATGGTGTTTTAATGTGGTTTCTGCTTAAACGTAGTCCGATTAAAGGTCGAAGGCCAAAGGTTTTCGAGGTTCCTGCGGTCCTTGTGTATGCGAATAGGTCACCTACGGGTTAATGTAGAACTCGATATAACTCTCGGAATTACTAGCAATTTTTACACGCGCGTTTAACTCGCAAAGATTAGGCGTCCTTAAAGTTTATCACGAAATGCGTTATTCATGTACCTTGAAGTTTCCATCAAACAATTCGCGTTGTTCATTTTTTTACACGGCTCTTATCGGATATATTTTTTCGAAGTGTCCGAACCCTCGTACCGTCCTGATTTATGTCAGTGGGAAGTTTTTTTTTTCTATAGCGTGTAAAAATTAACTTATTACTCTTATCTGGACAATTTCTTCGATAGCGCCTACCCGTTGTGTGGAGTGTTTAATGGGGGCACGATTATTTCAACTTTCCTATCGTCTCTATTTGTGATAACGGGATAATTTATTAAAATATCCTACAGCTTTTATTTCGAAAGTTGATACTTACTTCAAACGTGGGTTATAAAAGTGTATTAAAATTAATTTGTTTTAATGGTTTTATTACCACTTTTTTCATGGTTTTATTCTACTCTAATCTACTCTATTCTACTCCACTCTGCTCTACTGTACTCCAATTCTGTTCTGCTCTTTAAAGTTTAAACGATTGATTAGTCTTAAAATTTACTGTAGTGTACCTATTCTAGTCTGCTATAAAGTGCCCTATTTTGATTTAGTGTACTTTAGTGTGTTGCAATCTGCTCTAGTCTGTTTTAGTCAGATCAGATTTTACTCTGATCTGCTCTAAGTTGCACTAGTCTGCTCCATTCTATTGTAGTCTATTCTACTCTACTCTAGTCGGCTCTGCTCTGAATCTAATCTACTCTGAATCTAATCTATTCTGAATATAATCTACTCTGAATCTAACCAACTCTGAATCTAATCTACTCCACTCTGAGCCCTTTTACTTGGCTTTACGTCGGTTTTCCATTTGCATCGCCGTCTCGTTTATTTTTAATTCGCGCGAGAAAAAAATACGACCGCCAAGCGAGAATCCAAACGGGAATAGAAAGCTCCAGATCTAGATTAAGAGAGGTGTTATAATTGGGCGCGGGAGTTTTGGCTCACTTCTCGACACGACCGTAGCAATTATACTCAAGAGAATTCTACAAAAAAAAAGGGAGAATATTCCGCAAATATATTTATCGAGAAAATTAATGAATTCCAAAGAATCTACCACCACTCTGTTGGGTACCTATTCTTTAATATTTTGTTGTATTATTCTCTTTTGGATATCGTCCATTTTCCCTTTTAATAACCCCTTCAAAGCTATGCAAATTTGCACCCCATAAATTCCTTCTCCGTACGCCACTGGCGAATCCGTTTAACGTTTTTGTGACAGTCGACATGCTCATCCACATCTAATATTTCGTCTAAAAGCGCGTCGCCTTTGGCCGTCGGCCAGAAAGCGACGCCTAGCGTCCGAATAGCGGCGTCGCGACGCTCGCGTCGATGTATAGGGACGCGTCGCGTTCGTGGGTGGCGACCCGCTAATGCGATTGAACCGAATCAATTAATTTAGTCGCCCTGTTCTCCCCTTTATTTTGTAAGGGCGTCGAGGAAGGGAGTGGAGCGAGCGACCCTTCGCGCCTACCCTTCGGATTGAGGGATGCTGCGCGCCTTTCCAGCGGGTTTCATTGGTCGTTTTCGTCTGGAACGGTCTCCACCCTCCATGTTTCCTGGACCAATTTCTCGCCCCAAAATTGCTGGATTACTCTAAAAGGGTGTATAGGAAATTTCTGCTAATCATTTACTCGTTTATCAATGTTAATGAGGGTTATAAATGAGAGAATCTTAGGAGTGGATAAAATCTTAAATTACTTAATAATTTAAGCTTGTTTTTTTTTAGGATTTATTTAGCATATTTCTAGTTATTGATTATTAATTATCAAGTAAGCTATTCTTCGGGGATACAGTCTATACCGGAGGGAACATAACAGCTGCCTAAAAGCAAATAACTACATGAAGTAATTGCAATAATAATAAAATGTGCCTAAATAAATCGAAATTTTTTATCATTATCATTCAGACGCATCTTCTACTGTAATTAAGCAATGTTTTTTATGGACGCCATTTTGAAACAATTTTGACACAATTACATCAGTTCGTAACACTTCGTATATCTTCGTAATAACTCGTATCTGTTCCTCTACACTTTTCCAATTAGTTAATTTATTACATTTCCAATGACCTCTTTGTTAACGTATATCAATTCGAAATATGAAGAAAACAAATTGAGGCTAAGGGCATGAAGGCTAAAGAGCTTACCTGTGAGTCTGATGTCTCTCATATAATGGAAACGATCTTCGCGCTCCAAAAGATTTCTTCGGAATCTCTTACCTATGAAAAGCCAATTTCCAACTTGAGCTCCAAAATGCGGAACTGCCAAGACTGTACTGATTATCAGGAAACTCGGAAGGATTTCGAACCACATCTCAACATTCGCATTTAACTGTCAATCTCAAATGTCATCGTCAAAATTGGCCAATATGACCGGTTGTGTTATTATAGGCAACACTTTTAACATGCGACTGTGTGTAAATGGTTGCCTACTGTCTCATTTAATGTTTGGAATATTGAGTAGCGTATTTATAAGAAAAATTAGAATTCCAAAACAGCGTGGGAATCGAAACGAAAAATTACATTACATGCGGGAAAAAAGGTTTCCGAACGGCCGGGCCGGAAAGTTTCGTTTTTTATCGGAGCCGAATCGGGCGCATCGGACGGCACAAAAGCCAAATCGAGGCCATAAAAATATGTTAATTACTTACACGCAGTGAGCTTGATTTGTTGCATATTAATATTCATCAGCGTCTATGTTTTATTTAAAATTTATTTATACTACCAAAGTGAGGTTAGGAAAGATATTTAACTGCATAAATTATGCGAGCGCGACGACTCGTCGACGCGAACGGGTCGAAACCTATAAATTATTTAAATATAATAATAACAACAACAGTAAAACCGACAATTGTATGGGTTCCATCTTGTCCCGCGACGAGAACGCGAATACTTTATAAGTTGGCAGCATTTGTTGGCTGGCGCATATTTGACAGATCTAACGTCATTCGCGCGACTCTCGGCTACTAGATCATCGCGAAATTATCGCTTCGCTGATGTAATGAAGGTGGAATAAAATGTAAAAGGCGAGTACGCCCCTGCGACCCTTCTAATCCGACATCCGAATCGAATGTCACCGTCGCCGTCGATGAAATTTATAAACCTATCACGTAAAACAGGTGGAAATCGGCTAATTTATGTTGTAGCCGCCGAAATAAAAATTCATTCTATGCGGAATTTCGTCAGACGAATTTAGGTTTCGAATTCGAATTCCGAAACTGTAAAATATTCCGAATGACGAAATTACGCCCGAATGTGCGTTATTAGACAATTGACAGATGACAGATGTCAGATGGTCTACTCGAATTTGACTGTTATTTCCTCAATTACCATTACTAGACTTCTCGAATGAAAGTAAAACGGTAATTTTTCACAACAAAATGACGTACCTACAACTCTAAAAAAATAAACTCGTTTCCCATGTCTTCCAAAAACCATAGGTAACAACTTCTTGTCACAATATGACAGATGACAGAGAACACAACCACCTACGCATGGCCTTTTACAGTAAAGCGCAACATATTACAGTACGAATTCCTTCCCGACTAAACGATAAACACGTGTGAAAACCGAAAGATATTTAAATTTTTTTTCGTATGTGTGTGTATGTTTGTGTGTCGCCGTTGTTTCGCGTCATCGACTTGATAAATCGAATGTTGAGAATTATAACGGACGTCTCGAAAAGATAACGACTTTTTTTTCCCACTTCTAGTCTAAAAATAATACGACTCAATCGCGTATTCCATTTTCGCCGGGCGAGACACAACAATCACAGTAGGCTTCTTCTTCTTCTTATTTCTATTAGAACTATAGTTTCCCGGGCTACTCGGTAAGCGCAGTAGGCTGGTAAATGACAGGTGACATTATTTATCAAGCGGCTATTAAAAATCGCTAGATAACACGTCGAATTGCGAGATATACATAATTAATCTTGTTAGATGAATAAACAAGGGAATATTATTTGTCTTTTCAGTCATAATACTCGGACCGAGAGCGATACTGTCAAATCGAGAGACGCCAACCGTAAAATAAGCGCAAAAACGTAATGACTTCTTGTAATCTGCAGATATGATCTTCAAACTTGGGAGGAGAAAGACAGGCAAAAAGAAAACAAACAATCGTAAGTTCGATGGCTATATGGCGATCTTTATCTGACGGACAATCGCATAGTCGGGGCGATTCCAATCGATTTAGAATTTACTCCGAATAGTCCGCGCATCCGAGGCCAATAATTTCGGAGGAAAAAAAAGTTTGTAAGGGTATATACAAATAAAACTGTCTTAAATCGACTTAAATGTACCGTTTAATAAACTTTATTATTATACAACGAGAAATTAAACGAATATTTTGGAGTTACTTATGAAACGAGCGGGAATCCTCCGGACTAATAGGTTTCTGCGAGCCGAGCGTCTCGAGCTAAAAGAAACTCGTAAACATGTGGTGTATACCTACACTTTCGGAAATATTTTCGAATGACCGTCGTGACCCTGGGGGCTTTGATGTCCTAGGTGAAAGGTTCCTCGGTGTCGGTGTCACGCACACGCCTCTAACAATAAAAAAAATTGCTATTTAAATAATCACCGAAGCTCCCTAAAAATCCGGCGTGTAGCTAATACCTCACCAAATGTAGCTAGGCAGTTGGAATTTTCCAGTGCCGAGCTACATTGCTACGTTGGACTTTTCTAGCTGGATTTTTCCATTAGAATTCCGAAAGGGTTGTGGAAATTTTAGGGAACTTGTGATTGGCAACACTGATAATTTGATACCACATCCAATGTAGCTAGGCAGTTGGAATTTTCCAGTGCCGAGCAGGGGGGTGGCACTTACTCTTGAAAATTTTGGAGAACGATTTGCAATGCCATCTATAGGGGCCCAACAACATTTTCTGTTGCCGAAGAGCATTGGCAGCTAAGTCAAATCTAAATAATGGAAAAGAAGAATTCCTAAACGAATTGTTATTGTTTACAGTACGCCATTACGCCATTATGACATTACGCGTAAACGTTTATTTTTATAAAGTAAGTAGTAAAATTGTTCTTAAATTAAAATGTATGTCATTTATGTATTATATATTATTATCCTTTATTTATTTTATTTTTATTATATATTTGAGTGTATTATTTAGTAACAGTTCAATATAAGTATACAGCAAATATATGTATTTTTAATTCCTAACTACAATCTCACCTGCTACATTTAAATGTGTGAGAATTTCCGCCAATAAATGCTAAAATCTCATAGGTTCCTGTAATAGGTTTTGTTGGACCCCAATGGATGGCAGCACATTCAGGCCAACCACTTTTTTGACAGAGTGTCCGGTCTATATGTGTATTTTGTCTATGGTGCCGAGCTACAGTTGATGAGGTGCAATCCCGGGGGCTGCTTATAATAAAAGAGCGTCGCGAGACGAAAAAAAGCGGGCGTAAACGACCGCAGTTGTCACGAATTTCGAGCTTTTGATCTCGCTCTGGGTCGATGTTTATTCGACGGTGGGCGTGAAATTTATATTCAATTATATCAGGCGAGATAAAACGGCCTTTTTTCCATCGTGAATTATGCGATAGGCCGCCATTATGCGACCGATAAATTTCGTTTATGTAAGTCCCCTGCAACAAAATTCCGAAATTGTATTCTTCTTTCCTTTCAGCTCGGATGGTCTTCGACCTCTTCGGTCGTCGATCAACTAAAGTTGCGACGCTTGTAATACGTAGATTTATTGTAAATTACCTCTTCTTTTTGATATTTACGATCATATTACTCGTTGTATTAAGTCGCGATATTGTCGTGAATTGGAAGGAACATAAACCTTCCATTTTTCCTTAAAATAATGGCTCGATAATAATTGTGTATACGTGAATTACCTACCAGCGGCCTATTCCGTTGAAGACATCCAAACAAACTATAAATTAACCGTATATCTATTTTAATGGGCCATAAAAGCGAACGAGACAAACGTGAAATTTAAAATATTTTTAGGACCAAACTAACCTATTTTACCTTTCGTTGTGTTTTTACTGGGAACATCAGGAATTTTGGCTCCGGATCGTCGACAATACTACACAGCGTTTTTCGTCGGAGAAAAACATTGGGCTCGGGCCAATTTCGACGCGAAAAAAGGACCAGAAAACCCATCGAAAGCTGAACGTTAATGTCGACTTAATAGGCTTATTTATCGGAAAGTTTTTCGAATAATCGTTTACTCGGAAACGTTCTTAACAAAATAGGTATTTAATGCATTTTTAAGAAACCCGTCTCATTTACAAGTTTCTCTAAAATCTCGCATAACTAGTTTGATTCCGAAAGAATCCGTTACACGAATTCCTCGACGTATTCGGTAAACTATTGGGACAATTAGGACTCGATCCCGCTTCTGATTACACCTGGGAAACCCCCCCGAAGCTCGCCCGCTATTTTTTTTCCTCCTTGCGATTACTTGCATTATTACTGATTCCAATCGATACGAAATTCTAAATTGTAAAGCTCGACCGTGCTGATTTCGTAAAAGCCGAGTGTGTGCAGTCCACACCTACTTTTCCTGGTGCGTGTCTTGCATGGCTGGAACGAATCAATGGGAGAATTTTATCGATTTCCATGCCTGTTCCTACAACGCTTTTATATGGACTTTTCTAGCCGGTTTGTTTCCACTAAAAGTTCGAAAGAAGTATAATAGTAGGTTGTGGAAATCTAGGGAACTTGCGATTGCCATCACTGATAATTTGGTAACAAAATTTAGTTCAGTTATTGGTCCTTTTTTTGGTAGAAATTTTTTAGCTATAAGTTCTTTCCATTAGAAGTCCGAAAGAAGTATAATAGTGGGTGGTGGAAATCTAGGGAACTTGTGATTGGCAACACTGTATTCAACTGGAGTAAAAGTAGGCTGTGGAAAACTAGAAAACTTGCGATTAGCAACACTGATAATTTGGGAAAAAAATTTAGTCGTTATTATCTAATTTTTGATATGGACTTTTCTATATAGCCGGTTTTTTCCACTAGAAGTTCGAAAGAAGTATATTGTGGAAATCTAGGGAACTTGTGATTGGCAACACTGATAATTTGGTAACAAAATACTGAATGTAAATTTCCTATTTTTGTTCAATGTAAAAATAAATAATAGTGAACCTGTATAGACAAAAACCAGCATTTCGTCCGAAGCGAAGGAAAATTTTTCCTGTTTGTTCCGACGATAAAACAGAAATATTAATTTCGCTGTTGTTGCTTTATTTTGTATTTTCGATTTATTTGACTTTTGACCGCCAGATAAGGTTTATCGGGTTTCAGATAAAGCTCGTGTTGTAGGAATAAATACACAAGAGGTTATCGGTTATTCGGCTGT